TCTTATCAATATACAGACTACAGAGATCAAGGCCTACACTGATTTGATTGATGCAGAGTAGAGTTTCTAAGCCTGGGTTCTACATGACCATAACCAAGGCCTTTAATTTAAGATCTGGTACAGAATTGAGGACAGTAAATAAAAAAACAGTTTAGAAACAGGATTGTTCACTAATTATTTTAAGGAGAACTTCACCAAGAGCAAACAAATGACTAACCTTGTGTTTTCTGAGCTCCTCTCGCACAAGGGCCAGACTGGATTTCTTCCCAAGCATGGAGGTGTACCAACTAATGAAAAAAGAGAAAGAAAAGAAGGTTAAGATTATATGTGTTGGGTGAAAATACAATCATGTCCTTCATCAGATATCTAAAGTTTGCATTCCTACTGTGATCTTATAAGGCAATTCTGTGATAACAGAGCAACACACAAACACAAGTTCTGAATTTTGAATGGGAAAGATTTTACTATATAGCGGAAGCTTTGATTCAATAGCCATAAATTTTTATAATGCTTGGAGCAAGGAAATATGGTCAATGTTCCTATCTTTGATAAGTTATCAAAATTGGCTTCAACAATACTGTAGTGGGTTTTTTGTTTTACCAATGTCACTTGTTTTACTGGAATTTCTCAAATCCTGTTTATGCCCGAGGATTGATGTCTTTCTTCATTCCACAGCAAATATTTATTAAACAAAATCTATATAGACCACCTATCCTTCAAATTTGATAATAATAACGATAGTTTCTTATATCACACTTTTCTGTCATGTTGTGACATTCCTGTTGCTCTAACCTTATTACCCCAGTCATAGTCAAGTGGCCAAACATGTAGCGCTCTAGCATATTGGGTATCCATTCACATCAGGATGCGGATTAATGTCCTGCCAAAGGACATTAGTGCCGTGCTGTGATTCAAAGCCTAAACCCTTGGATTAAGAGTCAAGTGAATGAACCATTATACCACTTCACCTCCACATTACGATTTCCTTAAGGGGAAAGGCAAATGTACGGAATGCCCATTTTCTCTAAGTCCCCCATACTACATGCATTTAGACTGATTGGTGACTTACACGACTTGATGCCTGAGACACAGACTCTCTTCAAGCATCCTGCAATACAAACCCTAAGCCCTTGGATTAAAAGTCAAGTGAATAAACCATTATACCACTACACCTCCACATTACGATTTCTTTACAAAAGGGGAAAGGCAAATGTAGGAAATAACGATTTTATCCGAGTCGACCATTAGACTGATTGGTGACTTACACAACTTGATTCCTGAGACGCAGACTCTCTTCAATCATCCTGCGAACAAACTCCACCTCGCCTCCCTCCGAGATCATCTCCAGCTCGGCAGCGGTGCTGACGGACTTGGGCTCCGGTCGGCTCATGCTGCGAGACGTCATGATGCCCTGTGCCTCCAGAGAGTTGCCGAAGAAGGGCGGGTTGCACATGGTGAAGTGGTAAAGAGGCTGCCTAGAGGGGGCGCTGTTCAATGCCTGTTCGAACATGCTGTCTTCTAAGGTCTCCACGACTGTAGAGGCAAGGGAAGGCAATTTTGGTTATTCTACTAGTTTGGCCAGGAGGAATTAGACCACCCAATGTGGTCACTGCCAGGTGGTTATTTCATCAAATCAGCTCTCAATTAAAATTAGGAAAAAGGGATCATGGGGGACCAGCGGTCATCGATAAGGCATTGTTTGCTATATAAAGAGGGCGCAAGTAGCTATAAGTAGTGCAGTGAGGCTTTAAAGGTTTGTTGTGGTCATATTTACCTTGGGTTTAGGGTTACAGTCTTTGATATTATGTTCAGTATTGGATCAAGAGCTGTAGTTTAAAATTCACCAAGAAATAGGTAGACAATTGTTGTCAGAGCATGTATCATATAATAAATCCAATTAGTGGCTTTTGTGTACTAGTTAATTTTGATTCTCAGCATAACATAGAAATCTTGAACAGTGCTTTATTACCTGTTATTTTGTCATCGAGTCCATTGCGTGTGATGTTTTCCTTGGCGTAATAAATGGCTAGTGCATCTACCTCAGATGCAAGGAAGTTCCATCCATTCATCTGAGCCCCGAGCAATGGATAGATACAAGATGCCCCACAACCTGTGAGATACCATAGAAAATAGAACATTATATATGAATATAAATTGCATTCACAAAGTAATGCAGATTTATATGGCCATTTAAAAAAAATCTTTGAAAACCTAAGACAGAAAAAAAGGAAGATGTCTCTCAAATTTAGTTATGTGTTATGTGTCCATCACATGTCTGAGGAGGAAGAGGTAGACAAGCAAAAACATACATACATGTAGATGTGCCCCAAAAAGATACAACACTGGAAGTTGAAGACCTAGGGAAAGCCAAGTTGGATAGTAAGTACTGGATCATCATAACAAGAATCTGAAAGGACTCAATGAAGTATTGGCAATCAAATGATGAAGAGCATGAAAGTGTATATTTTATAGAATGACACAATTGGAGTCAAGAGGATAAATTCCCATCGAACAACAGTAACATTTATTCAAATTGTTGCCATTTACTGTGGGTCCTGAAATTTCATGAAACATGGCACAGTATGTCCAGAATACATGCTTTATCTTTGGATATGATTAAAAAGGTAAAGCACCTTAAGAGTTTGAGGCCAAATTACTTCCATGAATTCAGACGAAAAGATTTTTTTTTTCAAGTCCCTCTTGTTTTTGGATTTATATCTTCATCCCCAGGTTAAGTTAATGTAGAGTCCTGTCTTACAAAGAGTTATGATTGATTGATTGATTTGGATCAATCGCAACTCTTTGTAAGACGGGGACCAGGTTTTAACTGACAAAATGAACAAAGTTGATTGAGATTCTCACCAGTGTCAATGCCCCACACTGTCTCTTTGCCATGGCCTGTTGATGCTAAGAGATCCTCTATCCAGTGAATGTAATTGAGTCTTAGTGACAGGGTGGGGATGAGACGATCCAGCGGCAGCTCAACCTCGAGTCCAAAATCCTCCTTCAGTAGCGTGCACGTCAGCGACCTCAGAGACTCTGAGTCATGGAAGTCCAGGGTCGCTTTGCCAGCCTGGTTTCTGATCACATGACGTGCAAACTCCGGGTACTTCTCGGCCAGCTCGTCAAAGTTTGGTTTGTTGTCCTTGTAGCGATTACGAGGGTGCATGAATTTGTTGAAGGCCATTCTTGCAGTCTGTTCTGAGTTTTTAAAGATAAAGACCAGTTATGGTCATGCGATTGCATTGTGAAAGAAACGTTGTGGAATCGATCGGAAAAGGTTGATCATCTAGCATTATATTGATGTGTACTGCAAGGTTCTGGAATCATCAAAATGATAAGAAATTTGGCCCAGTCTTTGTAAAGTTACAAGCACTGTACACAGAAAGATGTGCGTGACACGTGCGTTTATCCCTCACACATCAATAGATAAACTAATTTACCGAATATATCAATTAGTAGGCGGTTTCCCAGCAAAATTTGTATCATCATGTCCAAGTTAAAACATACTCTTTCACATGATTGGTAACAAGAGCTTCCATTTCATTTTTTTGAAGTTGGGGCGTTTCCAATACTGGTCTTTACCTTTAAGGTGAAAAAAAAGCACAGGTAACAATGATTAATTTGTTTTGACTGCAACTTTTATTTACTTAAAAATCACAGATAAATAAGTTTCTTGACACACAAAAAACAGAGACAGATTTCACAATTCTTTATGATGAGAGACAGTCAAGAAAGTCATTTATTGATTAGATTGACCATGGACAGTGATACGTTTGAATTACCAGTTGAACAATAGTATGCGCAAACCTATACAAATTTTTGTAACAAAATTATACGACATCACCGATGCGGGGAACATTTTATGCGCGACCATTTTGCACTTGTTATAGACCATTCAGCACCAGTTTATCTAACTTTGAGTACCAATTTCCACTTCCAGTGAAACCATGAGACTTTCCTGTGAATTTAGCAGAGTTCACTAATCTCTTAGCAATTTCAGACATTACTGAGCACATTGCTGCTCGAAAACTGCGCATACGTGAGAAAAATGGAGTCTACGTCATCCCTTGCAATATGCTCGCACAATATTATAACTTCTCATTTGTGGATATTATTCATCGAGCTGTTTTGAGTCGCATGATAACACACGCACAATATGCTTATTAGCAACTGTGCAGCGGTCTGACGGAGAAGGTATTGAAGGGCAACGTACTTAAATTTACTACAATTTACAAATGTACAAATGATGAAGGGAAAATATGAATTTTGATGTTGACGGGAATTTTTTCAAAGGAAAGGACAAGGAGGAAGAGAAGGCCGAAGGATGACCTAAAAAGAAACAAGAATAGTAACATCTAAGGCTAACAATGATGCTGATGAGCAACGCAAAGGTCCAACAAAGTTCAAACCAAAACAAAAACTGTCTGAACTGAAGTGAAAAAGCAAAATTTACCCCAAAACGACAAAAAAAAGTCTGATTTTATTTTTTAACTTACAAAAATGACAGTAAAAAATAACATTCGATTCGAATCTAGAAGTCTAGGCCTAAGACTAGACTTTATAGTCAAGATAAAAGTTGTCTATGACTTGTAAGCAATTTGGACAAGTCAAGGAAACTAGACCTACAAAATATGAAGAAAACAAATCTTCAACTCAAGTTCAACATCGATGCCTTCACAATGCTAAACCGAATGGTCCCAAATTTGGCAGTAATAAACGGTCACTCAAATTATATCAGAACCATATTTTTAGATTAATTGCGAGTAAAGGCTTGATGACATTATTTCTGAAACCAGCTTAACAAAACATACATATTATAAAAAATAGTGATATTCTTAAAAATCTATATCATATGAAGAATACAACAAAAATGTAACCCAAATTACCGCAACTCGACGTCAAAGTGCTTCTGCAGACGACGCCACACTAGTTTAGTGTGCGCACAATTCTTCTGCGCAGAAATTGCAGACAAGTATCGTAGGGATTTCTGGGTAAATTTTCAACGTGTAGAAAATATATGCGAGTCGGAAATACGGGAACAATATGCGCCGTGAGAAAGCTTGAATCAACGGACGAATACTGCTATATTTAGTTGATATATGACTATTGAATTCTTTATTTTCAGGTGAGTTATCTCTCATCAATGATTATTTATACCATTTAATTTGATATCCATTTAGCGCATAGTTTGGGTGTGTGCATGGAAATTGCGAAGGTGTCGCCATGATGGGCGAATGTTCATTTGCATCAGTTTGCTCCGTAGGCGTTGACATTTGTTGTGTTTGACTGCATAGGCATAGCGAGCCACTAGCCAATGCACTGCCACTGTGTGTGATTGTGCCTGTGATGTGAGTGAATGAGGATGGGGGAATTTCATCGTGTTCAAGTCTGCACCCAGAATTTGACTTTAACAAGAAAAAACTAAATGACCTAAATAATGATTACTATTCGCTCTTTTGCTTGGATATAAGCGATTGTCATGGTGTGAAATAAGAAATCACAAAATCAATGAGGATCGTCCGCGTAAACGTGGACAAAATAAATTGCGTCCTAAAATTTAAAAAATAAGGACCGTCTGCATTTTTGCGGACGTTTTTTTTCTTCAGTGCTCTGCGTTTTTGCAGGTTCCTGATCCGCGATGTGAAAAACAGATTTCATGTAAGAAAATAACCCCAGTTTACTGTCTAGATCTACTTTTTTATTGTTTGCCCGTCTTCCCGAGGATTTATCGCTCACAACATGAAAGTCTCTGTACAAAGTCAATGTAAATTGCATGAAGATACTTGATGAGGTAATCCCTGAAGCAGCTTTTCCAAGCTATACTGGGATGGAAAATCATTGCGGAATCCATTTTTTTCGCATCGCATGCTCGGATCCAAAATCAGAAATGTCTGCGAAAATGCGGCCGATGCGTTTAGGTCTGCATCTACGAAGACGATCCTTATTCACGGACCAGCGCCCCTGCTGGCAATGGAAAAACAGATTCCGCGTAGTAAAATACCCCCATTTTACTGTCTACTTTTACGGGGTTGTCTGTCTTCCCAAGGATTTATCGTTCATAACGTGAAAATCTCTGTGCTGCGTCAATGAGAATGCATCACGGAGCATCACCGTGGAATCCCTTTTTCGCATTGCCAACGCGCGGATCCTTAAAAAGGATCGTACACGAAAATGTGGACCATCGTTATTTTTAGGAAGCAATTTGTCCGCGATAACGAGGATGACGGACGATCCTTATTCTCGGACCAGTGCCCCTACTGTACAGTGCAGAGTGGTTTCCTATTTCGATAATTTAGCTTGATGCAAAGCGAAAACACTCTGATATCAGTCAAGAATTTTAATGTTGTTTCTGCAGCATATAGGGCAGAGCTACCAAGTATCACGCATTAGGTGTGATATCACGCATTTCGAGGGTCTGGAAATGCTCTCACGCACGACGCGCACGCTAGATTTTGAAAAAACGCTATACCTATGCGTGTGTTATACCCTCGCCCGCGTGCTTGCGCGCCGAATCATGCAAATGTCACGCATTGCTGATCTTTGAACTTGGCGTCTCTGTATACTGTAGGGACACTGATTTTCCGTGATGACGGAATTCACGGAAATGACCATTTGAAACGGAAAACCCTTTTTTACCTCAAAACTGTTCATTTTTCAAGAAGAAAAACTGAAAACTCACACTATTTTTGTGATTCGTTATGCAGTGAAAAAATCTCGGGCCTCAAATCATGGTTAATAATTCCAAATATTTAGCGATATTCGTCAGATTCTTAGGAGACAGGGCGCTGCCATTTTGTTTCGCTGGACCAATAGAGATCGTTAGGGGCGTTAGCGTGTGCGCCTAGTACTTGAAATTCAATGCTAGTATTACGTAGACGTAATACTAGGCACACGCACGCCAGCAGCGGGCGCTAAGTGCGGCGTTATTGTACACACGCTGTTGTCCAGTTCGAAAAAGGGGCTAGCATGTGCGCCTAAAATCGATCGATCACGGATCGCTGATCCATGACATGACAGCCAAGACTGAAAAGTTTACATCGTTCGTCGACGTCGGTACTACTGTATCCTTCGTCAGGAATATGTCGTGTTCTGACACATTCTGCTAACTTTAGTCTGCTTGTCTAAGTTTGAATTTGAAGTTGGTAAATCTAAACATTTGATAATTTGTCGCAGGTCTAGCCTAGACCCTAGGGTAGGGGTCTATATTTAGTATTTTGCATCAAGTTTATCCTGTCCCGTCCGTATGTTTTTGAGTGGTTATCAGTGGCTTGTCAAAGGCGGCGGCTTTAATAGAACATTTGTACCCTACAAGTTCATGTTTTAATGAAAATCTTATGTAAACAGAATTTTAGTTTTTTCATGTATACAAAGTCTATGGCAAAACGTAATTTCCGTTTTTCAGCCCATCTGAAACGGAATTCCAGATTTTTTGAAACGAAAATCAGTGTCCCTAAGCATTTATGTGGAGAATGCCTGTTTCCGCATTGCCATTTGCCAGCTTGATATTTTCTATACAACAACAAAAATGACAACACTGATTGTGCCACAGTTGTCATCTTTATAAGCAAGATCAATTTCAGCTTCTGAAAATTGTTGAGGATGCTTGGTCATGACCCATGTCAAATTTGACAAAGCTTTTTATTGATTTGATTTGAGATGTTGATCATGCTTTTTTTCCCACAAGTAAACTTCAGAAAACAGTACCAAAATTTTAAAAAAATATGAGAAAACATCTTTCAATAAATGAATTACAGGACTTGATTTAATTAAATTGATTGACAAATGGTTTTGCAAATATCGGAAGTAAATGAATTTTTAAAGAGTACCCGGTACGTAATAAGATGTCCAGAGTGTGCACATAAGTTTAATTGTGATTTCTCAAAAGCTAGAAGCCACAAAATGAAAATGAAAATTATGCACAAGTAATCAAAATCCCGAAGTTCAACTTACAGCTACAGTTTGATGAATTAGCTTGTGGGTCACTACCAATTTTTCTTTGCATTGTAAAGGTTTCACAGAGACCTTGTATGGACCACTTCCGAATAGTCAACTTGGAAAAGTGAATTATAAATTGATACTACTACATGTAGTACTACATGAGCTTGGAGCTGGACAAGACAATCCTTGATGCAGAATCTTTGGTATCAAAAACGCAAAATCCAATACTAATATACATTATGTGTCATGTAATTTTGATTTGTTTGCTTTTTACTTCCAGGTTGACCAGAGATGAAGCAGAGGTAGCAAGTGTGGAGGAAGCTGCTGTGTAGTTGTAGTGAATTATTAGAAAGAATTCTGACAAGGAGAAGGAGGAGAAAGATAAGAAGGAGTGCATTCCCCCCAGTAGGATTACTCTGATGGTGTGACGGAGAAGAAGGAGGAGGAGGAGGACTTGATTCTCACAGAGAGGGCTGATAGTAGCCAATAAAACACACAGTCATCATGGTGCTGTCACAGAGGCAGAGAGAAGAACTGTAAGTACTGTACTATGGCATTTTTGTAATAGAAACTAAAAAACCTTCATAGCCTGAACAGTACTTGGGACGTAACCAAATCATATCTTCTTGTCTGACTTGCAGAATTTCTAATGAGGTAGGAGTCTGGATTTGTAAATTGGTAAAAGCCTTGTTCAGGTATGCTGCTGTTTTTGTTATTAGGATGTACAGTAAGTGTACATTTCTGACAGCCATAACCTATTTTTAAATCCTGTCATTGATGGCGTTGGTTGATAGGCCTTGTTGTATTTGTACCATCTGTGGTCATGATGTAACATGTGTACCCTTATCAACTACAGTAGCAGATATGAAAATCTTCAACAAAAAAAAACAATCAAAACTTTTTGGGCTCCATGCAGACACAGTACAAATTCGTAGCGAGCGAGATTGAATAAGGCTAAGCTTTGAAGTTTGAAACAACAAATATATCCTCCTATAATCCACAACAAATAAACCATAAAACATCACCTTTGCCTGAACAAATGATAACCAAAATATGCCATAGATATGATTCTAGACATAATTCTACTGTATACCACAGAGGGCAGCAGATAAAGGGAAAATGTCTGCCAGTTGCAAACATACACTTGTTTTCTTATCTGAATTTGATGCTGATACAGTTTTAACTCCACAAACTACATGTATTTCTGTTAGATATTTTTGCTTGCCAAAATGAAGAATATCTGTGTTGTAGTGAATAAAGGTGAGAATTCATTTAATCTATTTTCAAGCTCGAAGCCATGCAATGTGACTTCGTAAACCCATGCAGGACCTTTATTTTACTGCGAGGGTGCAGTTGAAGGTGCCAATTTGTGATTGTGAACTTGTCACAAATAATAGTAACAATGTCGTTTTTAAAACTAAAATTGACAGACAAATTTTCCTCCAAGTCCAAACAGAAATCCAGACATTGGCAGCTAGTTTGGTTCTAGTTTCCGAGTGGTGAGTTGACACCCTGTGAATGATTGAGCTGGGAGACATTTTTACTCAAGGTGCAATGCCGGTGCTCTTCCGAGCATGAGCGAGCGTTATCCGGCACAGGGACAGGTGGAGGGGCATAAATCGACACACAAAAAAACAAAAACAACATGGTAGTCTGGTACGATTTCTCGTACACGTGTAGTTGTCTAACAGATGTGTACCAACAAATCTCTGTGTATAAGCATAGACGTAACAGAAATGGACTTTTGACGGCAAGAGTAGTAAAAGTAATGATAGCTACCACCTGTTCTTATGTCTTACTTTCTTCTATGTTTTAAGTCTGACCGCAACGCTGCGGGCATGTTTTGATAAGCTCCGATAAGGGTCCTTTGGTCCTATGAGATCCACCGGGATTTTGCCGACCTCTATCGGCCAAGTCGCTTCGCACTGACCAATGCTTCCCACGATTTGCGCTTCTCATTTCATGAATGAATCGTGACAGGAGAGCCTTCTGCCCATGCGCAGCTAAATACTACGTCAATAATGCCCCGGATGTAAACATGAGGTTTACGTCCTGTTCATGCTCGCCAATCTGTAAAAAAAGCCGTTGAAATCGGTGATTTCTTCGATTTTTTACGAATTTGTGTTGGTGTGTAGCAAACTCATCATATCAGCAAGGAAAGTTACCACAAGAGCTTACAAAATACAGTTTAAAAAGTGTTTTTTTCTCCTGTTTCCGTTAATTTCTCTGTGAAACCAACGACGTTGTGGTGATCACAAATCCTTCGCTGGTCGAATACAATGATTCGTTATTTGTTGCGTTTGCGTGCGTTTTTTTTATAGGCATTGGAAGAATGGGGTTGTTTTCGTGAGTGCTCAGAAAATCTGTGGTAATGCTTGACTTCTTCGCATCATGACCACTAAATTGCCGTGCCTTTGTCTAATCCAAATTGCACACGTAGTCCCATTGATAGAGATCGGCGGGTGCATGTTTTTTTCAAGTTATATTTTGGACTTGTTAATCCGAGAGTGACTGCTTTTTTTTTTCTTCCCTCAGATTTTATCTTATTTTATCTTGATGTAGGCCTACTATAAATTATGTGTACGTTTTTTTTGAGAATCTAGGAATTAGGATAAATATCTGTGTCCGTAAATTTGGGAATTGACCATTGCAAAATATTCAACATTTCCGTCGTCTGCTATGTCGATATAATTATGGACTGCCCATCATAATCATAAAGTTCTTCCTTATTTATGTCATGTAATGATAATCCTGCCCTTCTAATTACTTTATAAACAACACATGACTCATGAGTACGAGAAAAATATGTATTATGGAACAAAACACACATCGAAATACATAATAATTGTTAGTATAAATACAACGCTGAAAACAATAACAATAATATCGTCAGGCACAAAGACGAAAACATGTTCGCTACGACCGCATGGCGGAGAGCGCTCATACTATTTAACACTAGGTTCTCAACGATTTGAAGGAGCAGCGAACAACCCCAAATCGCGAGCTTGCTGTTGCGATTATGAAAGATTGCGCAAGTGATCGCATCCAGCTGTCGGGTTGCGGTGGGACCACCGCTGGGTTTTTGCATCGGCGCGAAATTTAAACCTTGCCGGTGGAACTCATAGGATCAAAGAAACTGCTTCGTCGATAGTCCATTCTATTACGTCTATGGTATAAGACACACTTTATTTGTTATATCGCATACACACCATACTGCTCCAGTGGTATGGTGGTGGCAAAAAAAAAAAAAAAAAAAAAAAAAAAACATTAAAAAAAAACATGGCGTCCGAATACTTGATTATTCGCTTGTAAGCTTGGGAGTGTACTCGGGTACCTCATTACACTGTTGTGCACAGCCTTAATAAGAATATTGAAGAATTTGGTATCTGTTTGTAGAAAAAATAGTGTTCTACAAGAAAATTATGATTTTGTTTGGTCCGTTTTTTTTTTCCTTTGTTTTGTTTTGTTTCTTTTTTTTTCCCCTCTTTGAAATGTCAAAGTTGAGGGTGCTGCTTATGCGGCGCTGCGGCCTTATCGCCGGCAAATACGGTACACGGTTCTTCCGTGTACGCGTCAAAGCCTTTAAAAATTGGAACAACTTTCCTCTTTTTCAAATGTTGATTGTCCATCAGCAGTCTCAGGAATGTGACTGGGTCTTGTAAAGTAATGGTGTGGAAGACAAGGGAAGGGCAAGCGTTTTGATGAATAGGGATCAATCAACAAATTATGTATAGCCTCCTGATTCTTTATTTTATTTCTAGAATACAACTTAAATGTAGGCCCCCCCAAAAAACATGTTGTATTGCCCTTAGGTGCCAAAACATACATTTTGTCAGTCGGTTGGAAATCTTTTTTTCTCCCTCTTTGGGCTGTTATTTCTCAGTTTTGAATGCTCTAATTTTTTTTTTTCTCTAAAAAAACAGCTAAATTTTTAAAATATTTTGTTTAAAGCCGACCATAGATTTCAAGATTTTCGGGTCGATCGCAAAGGGCAATACAACATCTTTTTTTTTTTATAGGCCTTATGCACATGCACAATATTGATTTGAATGGTATTGGGTAATCCTGTAAGTTGGGGCTCTGATCGGATCGGAAGGTCTGAGTGACACCCTCGCACCTTTGATCGGTATCGGATCGGAAGATCGACAAAAAAAATTGGCCGATTTTGTTGTTGTTTTTTTTGACGAAATGCATACCTACATTATAATTCAAGATGGCGGCCCGCATGTTTTGCCTCTGCTCTTAGACCAATATTATTAATTTCAAAGTCATGAAAAGGCACTAAATATCAACAAACATGGTCTACAACAGCTCCAAATGACAAAATAATCCCAGCCATGAATTTTTTTTGAGCATTTGATAGCCAAAAACTTGAAGAAAAAAAAAATTCTGCCGATTTTTTTCCGATCATTTTAATTGATCGGCTATCGGAAATTATTCTCCGATCACCCCTGATCGGATCGGTATCGGCGTCCGATCCGATGATCGTTTACAGGATTGGTATTGGGTAGGAAACGATCGTTTATTCCATGAGCTGATTGGCACACAGTGTACATGTATTTCATGAGTCGGCATGGCGAGTGCAATATTTACATGTTCCCTTGTACACCTCATGGATGAAATGGCATTCAATATCATAATTACTATTAATTGTATGATGTATAGAACTGTATCTCAATTTTTCCAGTTAGATCCTTATGTTTTTAATTATTTACAACATAAAATTCAGGGAGAAAAACAGTTTGTCCTTAATCAAGAATTTTGCATGGGCTACATGTATACAACCATTGTCTTAGCCTTTTGGCATTTAAATAGGCATTCACTTTTTCACCTTTTCGCAAACCCAAATCCTTGACACATGGAACCGTCCTGCATGGTCATCCGGATACTTTTTGGTGCAAAAACCCTTCATACAAATAATAATAAACAATATTGCCTGCAAATTATGGTAATGTACATGTACATGTAGGTCACCAAGCTGACACGGCATCCTGAATAGAACTTTTTCAAAAGCCCCCTGGGGGGTGTTTCACAAAGATCCTAAGTAGAACTTAACACTAAGTTTGACTTAAAAATTATGGACAGCCATTGGAGCCTTAAAATGAAATATACTCAAAAGCAGAAATTCAAGTATTTTAGACATTTTATAAATTCCACAACAAGAATATGAAATCTCCTTAATGATAGAAAATATGAATGATTTGAATAAACATTTTATGCCTTTCAAAAATATTTTTGCCAAATATTTTCAAAGATGCTAATGGCTGTCCATAATTTTTTAAGTCCAACTTAGAGTTAGGTTCTACTTAGGATCTTTGTGAAACACCCCCCTGGATGCAAGTCCAGACTATGCAGTTCATTATTGCTTCAAAACAAATACAGTAAGAAGCCAATATGCCATTATGATTATATGTAGAGCCTTACAATTTTTATAGGGATTTCTGTTTACTGTTTTTCTTTAGGCTTATTTACAACTGTACATTGCAGATAATGAAGAACCAATTTGAATTACCATTGATTTTTTGAACTACCATTTTACACAGCTGGAAAAAACCCATTTAGCATATTACATGTATTGTCTGCTTATTCTATTTTTAAAAAAATATTTTAAAAGTTAGTTTTGCGCATGCTTCACTTGTCGGTGCTCTGCAGCAGCATGCACAGAAACAGGAGAATCACAAAAACTTGAATGTCTCTGGTGTTTTGAGCGCGATCATTTACTTGCAAAAAACGTTTGAGTTTGGCTGGTATTTAAATAAACACCCTCCAGAGCTGGGTTTTTTAAAATTGTGTTTATGGGTAGTTGCCTTTTAACTAAACTCTGGATTGTGAGAAAAATCAACGGCTTTTCCTTGCAGTATAAACAAAGCTATTTCTTCTCTTGGAGATATCAAGAGATCTTATCGTTTTGATGCCTTTGCTAGGGTGCTTAGATGGTGCCATTTAATACGCTCTGTTATTTATTTCGTAAACCATGAAATAAATTATTGATTTGTTGAATTGATTTTCATGTACATGGCCATTGTTCAGTAGTCAGTACGTACAGGGTGTACATGTTTATCCCTGAAAAGCTAATGCCCTTTAATCCCTTTATTGATTGATTTTATATTTCTTTGATTCAATTCTAATACTGTCCATGTGGGATGCAGAAGATTTTGTGAAGAATGAATGGGAAGGATGCCGTTTCTGCCATTAATTTGCTAGAATACTGTACATGAAACTCATATTCAAGAACTACTGGTACTGTATCTTATGTGTGGTGTACATGTACATGTAATATTACTACATGGTGAATGATGACTCATATTGAGCATAATGAATTCTGCAGTGTAGCATCATGCATGCTATTATTATAATACACTGCACTGATTGATGTGCATGTAGCAAAACTGGTATTCGAAACTGTAATATTCTAATTCACTAGTGTGCTTGATATTGAGATATTTTAATACATGTACATGTACATTATACAATTTAACTTCTTTCACAAGCATGCCAAAATAATAAAAGTAGAACAATCGAGTTGGGATAAAGGATTACATTTTAGCCCATTAAAAAAGAAAACAAATAATGTTTAGCGTCCCAGTCCGCTTCCTTTTTTGAGGCCACCTCCTTTTTTTTTCTTTCTTTCTTTTTTGTAATGAAAAAACATGAAAAACATACTGCTGAAATTATGTTTTTATGAATTAAAAAAGAAACTACACGTAAACATAAATGCTGGCGACTATCTTGATAAATAGCCCGACTGGCTGGACATCCTGGAAAATTTAATGAGCAGCCATTTTGAAGAAGAAAAGAAAAGAGAAAAAAAGGGCATCCTCCTTCCTAATTTTCAAAAAGGCAGAATGCTAAACATGTTTTGTTTTTAATGGCCTTACATGTGCAGTGTAGGAACGCATTTATTTGCTATAAAATGTTCATAAAAATACCAATACCTATAAATGTACATGTTACTTCTGTAGTTTAATCTTTTATTGTCATAATGAAAAATGAGAGAAAAAAAAAAAGAGTTTCAGTTATTAGTTTAGTTCACTCACAATAAGTGAAAATTATGAAGTTTATTTATGGAGCACAGTTTTTATCACAATACATACTGCTTCGTCTATGAAAATTTGTTTAAATCAAACAAGTATTATTCATTTAATGTATTCATTTGTTGCTTGCTTTTGTACTAATTGCGATTTTTACTCATCCTCCCATTTGTTTTTTTCCTTTTCTTTCTCTTACCATAGAAATAAAGCTATTGCAGATTACTTGCGTTCAAATGGCTATGAGAAAGCACTTATGGAATTTCAGAAAGAGGCTGATATGGTAAGTTCCAAACTGTCTCATTATTCTCATAAGACCAAGTACAAAGCAATAAAGTACAGCAGCAACCCACGTGTGCATGTGTGTCAGTGGACTCGCACACTTCAGGGCTTTCTGCATTGGCCATCCCTGCCATATGGACAAATGCTTAGGGGAGGAAAATGCAGAACTTTGTGCATTTCAAATGGTAACCCAATGCCCAATCGTTTTACCTGTTGGGAGATCCAAGTCTGATTCAAGGCTTCTGAATCTCATAGGGAATAATCATGCATTTTATACAGTACTTATAAATGCATCATCTCTCTATTGCATTGTCTTTTCACGCCACTTGAAATCTTTAAAATTACATCTTCGAGATGGGCTGCATAACCCTTTGAAGATTGCTAGAAAAAGACAAAATTGTGTATGAAAACTAAACAAGTTTTAAAAAATGGGGGTTATTAGGCCATGAAAAAAAATAAACATGTTTAGCCTCCCCGTCCGCTTCCTTTTTACGGGCCGCCTCCAATTTTTAATTTTTTTTAAAATTTAATTTTTTAAAGAAAAAAAACATGAAAAACACTGCTAAAATTGATCTATTCCTGTTTTCAAAAAAAAGAAAAAAAATGTCAAGGGCATCTTAAAGAATAGCCCGACTGTCAGGAAAAATGTAACGAGCGGCCATTTTGAAAGAAAAAAAGAGAAAATACAGGGCCTCCTTCGTATTTATAAAAAAAAGAGGACGCTAAACATGTTTTTTAAATTTTATTTGGCCTTATGTGCTGACTGTTTTTTGTTCATTTACATGTTTGCATTTACAGTCTTTATATTTAACTTTTTGCTGGCTGTACTTGATTGCATCATTGTAGTTTAATTAATTTGAAGTACAGCTATCATTGAAAATTGGTATGGGGACTTCAAAGAGATTGATTGGGAGAGGCAAGACAGGGATGAGAAGAGATAGAGAGAGAGGGGGAGAGACAGATGGAGAAGGGGAGAGAGAGATAGTAGAAATAGAGGGGGTGGGAAGTGAGATCTACCAACAATGGGAGAGATATACCTTTAATTCATAAAATGTAAGGGATTTCTTAAAGTGAAGATTAATGATTGGAATATCTACGAATCGACATGTGTACCTGCAGCACATATAGTTGAGAATTAAATACTAGTCTGTAGAAGTTTAATAATGAAGATGTAATTCCAATCTCACTTTTTAATCAGAAAGTCCTAAGAGAGCCCTTCTACTGTAGGCATTGTTTCCCTTCTATTCACACTCTTGTACAAGTATATATAATACATAAGAAATAATAACACTTAGGAATGTGAAAGAATGCATGTAGGTTACTTAACAAAAATATATACAATACAATTAAGGGGGAGGGGAAGGGGGTAGAGATAAGATGAAACAAATCATTGAAAAAATAAATACCGTACATGTTTTTCAAAATAGATTTCTATAAAGGTTCTGGAAGAAAAATGAAAATGTTCAAGTTGTAAGAGAAGACAATGAACAGGTATTACACTGTACAATAAAATAACGGGGGAAGTGGAGAGGGTAGAGATGAGATGGTACTGGTAGAATTTTCAGTTTGATATTAAGAAAAGAGAGAAGGTAAGAGAGGATGAGATGGGATGGAGAAAATGAAAGAGAATCAGATGAATGGAGAGAAGACAATAATCAGTTTATATCATGAAAATTTTGTTGAGGGAGACCAAGAGAGAAAAGACAGAACATGAGCTCTAAAAAAGCATGGGTGCATATATGCATGGTATGTGGAATACATGAAGTAACAGTATTGGATGTGCATGTGGGGGTGAGCAGCTGCATCCTCTATGAGGGCCTCCCTACGTCTGGAGTGGGTGAGTGGATGTGTGTGTCTGTGTATGTGGTGCTGTGTGTGTGTATGTGTGAGTATGAAAGGGATGCAGTGGTGGTGATGCAGTCGGTGATGACGTGGAAGTAGTAGTGGTCTGATGTGATGGGTAAATAACCTTGCTCTCTACATCAGATGTGGAGTGGTTTTTTATGCCTCCGCCACCGAAGGTGGTGCCGGAGGCATCATGTTTTCGGGTTGTCCGTCCGTACGTCCGTCCGTCCGTCCGTCCGTACGTCCGTCCGTCCGTACGTCCGTCCGTACGTCCGTCCCGTTTGACCGTTATCACAATATCTCAAGAACCATTTAAGATTTAAACTTAAGACTCGGGAATAGTATTTATCACCATAGGAAGACGATCTGATTAGATTTTGGAGTACGTAGGTCAAAGGTCACAGGTCACAGAGGTCAACTTATGAAATTCCTTGTATTGAGTTTGTTAGCGCGATATCTCAAGAACCATTTGAGATTTAAACTTCAAACTTAAGGATAGTATGTATCACCATAGGAAGACGATCTGATTAGATTTTGGAGCACGTATGTCAAAGGTCAAGGGTCACAGAGGTCAACTTATGAAATTCCATACATTGAGATTGTTATCATGATATCTCAAGAACCACTGGAGATTTAAACTTCAAACTTGGTGATAGTGTGTATCACTATAGGAAAACAATCTGATTACATTTTGGAGCACGTAGGTCAAAGGTCAAGGGTCATAGAGGTCAACTTATGAAATTCCATACATTGAGATTGTTATCATATCTCAAGAACCACTGGAGATGTAAAAACTTCAAACTTAAGGATAGTATGTATCACCATAGGAAGACGATCTGATTAGATTTTAGAGCACGTAGGTCAAAGGTCAAGGGTCACAGAGGTCAACTTATGAAATTCCATACATTGAGATTGTTATCATAATATCTCAAGAACCACTGGAGATTTAAACTTCAAACTTAATGATAGTGTGTATCACCATAAGAAGACAATCTGATTAGATTTTGGAGCACGTAGGTCAAAGGTCAAAGGCCACAGCGCACATTATGAATGCAAAAACAGCTTGTGATCGCGTTATCTCAAGAACCGATTGATGGATTCATGCCAAAATTAGGTCATGTTTGTTACTTGCAGAGCCAATGAACTGAGTAGATTCTTGGTTCATAAGGTCAAAGGTCAAAGGTCATGGGCCCATTATGTATGCAAAAATAGCTTGTGAACGCATTCTCATTAGAACTGACAGATGGATTACTATTTAACTCAGAACATCTTGCAGAGCCAATGAACTGAGTAGATTTTATGGTCATGAGGTCAAAGATCAAAGGGTCATATATGTATATGAGAAATTGCTTGTAATCACAATATTCTGAGAACCTGTCAATGGATTACCATTGAACGTGAATTCAATTTTTTTTTTCTGTTTTGGTTTGTAAAATTGCTCTATAACGGAGGCATCATTTTCGACTGCGCGCAGTCGAATTCCATCTAGTTTTCTTCTTACTTGGCGTCGTCCCTCCCACTCTCCTCGTCGCTCATCACTTGTGTATTTAACGCATCGTTTGCTTTTCATCACTGCATTAATTGGAAGATCTAGTCCTCAGAAGTTTAAGATGGATATTTATAATCTTCAGTTCACATGACTTATAATGAGCACATGCATTGTACATGTACTTGTAGATGAAATTTAATTTTGGGAGAAAATGAGACTCCTTTCATGTATCATTGTATTTGTAAACCAACCAAACTAAACTATAGATCTCCCTTGCTCTCCGACTTCCCATTCACGGTTCACCCCATCCTACCCCATCCAACTCCTCCACCCCACTCCTCCACTCCTCCACCCCACTCCTCCACTCCACTCCTCCACCCAGTGCACCCACTCCTCCACCCCACTCCTCCACCCCACTCCTCCACCCCACTCCTCCACTCCACTCCTCCACCCCACTCCTCCACTCCACTCCTCCACCCCACTCCTCCACTCCACTCCTCCACCCAGTGCACCCACTCCTCCACCCCACTCCTCCACCCCACTCCTCCACCCCCCTCCTCCACCCCTCTCCTCCACCCCTCTCTCTGTCTCTGTCTCTCTGTCTCTATTTTTTTGTCCCTCAATTTTTTTTGTCCCTCGATCTATTATTGAATGTGTAAAAAAGAAAATAAGAAAATAAAGAAAAGCACTCCAATGTAGATTCTTTGACCCACTTTCCTGTGTTTTTATTCTCTTATTTCTTTCTTCCTTCTACGATAACCATAACTTTACACTGTACATGTATGTACATTTACATGTATTTACCACAATGATGTAGACAGATACATGTACACGTACAAATAGGTCTGTTGATCTGTGTTTCAAGGAAAAATCACTTTCTGTTTCACTTTTATCACAAATCAAATACATGCACACTCTATAAATAAAGAGCTCATGCTGTGCTCATACAGGTACAGGTACATGTACATGCACCAGTGTTGCTCAATCTTCAGTCAAACTCACCAAATACATTAATTTGTATTGAATAAAATCATTTGGTATGTAATTATAATGATAATTATACATGTGATCAATAGGGCCCTTGGTAACACTCACCTATACATTGTACCAAAAATGAAATGCTCATTTTAAACTCAATTTCCCATGATCGATTCTGTGTGATTATACAGTGTATGAAAGAAATGCTGATTATTATTTTATTTTGTTTAATTTTGTTTTTTTAATTGTTGTTTGTACCTGCATGTCTTGTTATGTTGATGCAATTATCTAGTCCCGTGCATCGGTTTATACTACAGGTACATTTCTTTCAAAATTTTGGAATTAAAGGAGAAGGGGCCTCATGAGTAACCTTTAAAAATGGAGTGCTTTTGTTAAATTATATGTGTTTAGAAAGCAATGAGTTGGACTGCATGTACTGCATGTACATGTATGTGAAAGGCAGGAAGTTGTTTATCTGTATACCTACTTGCGTACTGTATGTGTAAGTAATTATTGAAGTAGTTTTAGATAGCAGGTCATGAAACCTAATTGTTATCCTACATCATCGTCTGGTAATGTAGTGCTCAGACCTACCGGTAAATCATGTGCAACACTACATGTTATTGTAGAAATGTAAAATTATTCTCTGTGGTAAAGAGACTGACATTTTTTGTCAATAATCAAATACAAAATCTAATTTATTTTCTGTGTTCGTGTTTTGTTTCATAAATCGAGCTTCATTTATCCTTTCTCAAGTTATCTGTTTACATGCATACAATTCAGGATGAGCTTAAAATTTTTCATAACACATGTATTTGATACCATTTGTTGTCTTTCTGTTACAGCCTGACGAAGTAGAAAGAAAATACAATGGTCTGCTGGAGAAGAAATGGACCTCGGTAATCAGATTACAAAAGAAAGTTATGGACTTAGAAATGAAGCTGAACGAGGCGGAGAGAGAATTCAGCTCGGGAGGTCCTAACAGGGACAAGCGTTCACCGACAGAATGGCTCCCCAGACCCCCAGAGAAGTACTCTCTGAGCGGTCATCGCAGCCCTATCACAAGGGTCATCTTTCATCCCGTCTACAATGTCATGGTCTCGTCATCGGAAGATGCCACTATTAAAGTAAGCTGCTCCAGTTTCCAATCTTCAAGTGTGTGTCGTAACACTTTTTCATGACTTGATTTGATTGAGATAAGCCCTTAAAGAGAAGGTTGAGTTCTGGAAAGAGGTGAAAATAATTTGTGAGCGTTATCATTGTATTATGCAAGTGTGGAAGAACATCAAATGAAAAATGTACCCTGAAAAGCATTGCTCTTTAAATGCCTTAATATTCTAAATGTTCTAAATATAGCATGTAACATGAAAATCAGTTCAGATTTTTATGCCACATGTTTGTGTACATGTAGTCCCATATACATCTTTCTGTGTACAGTGCTTGTAACTTTACCAAGACTGGGCCAAATTTCTTATCATTTTGATGATTCAAGAGCCTTGCAGTGCACACCAATACTTCTGATCGATTCAACAACGTTTCTCTCACAATGCATTAGCATGACCAGAACTCAACTTTATCTTTAAGGCCCGTTACTAATTGCATTTTGAAAACAGGTACATTTTAAAATACATCTGATAATTCATGTGATGATGCAAAATAGACTGTGTCAAAAGACTAAGGTTTATTGAGCAAATAGAAAGATTTACAACTTGGAATTATAGCTTGTAGTTTAAATTGAAATGTAATTCCAGTGCCCCACTTTTTGCAGGAGGTCCTTACTAGAATGTTCAGGTTCTGTATGCATGTGTTCCTTGTTCAAGTTTAAAAGTTTGGGGGTCCAATCATCAATATTTGAGAGCCCATTTGCCCTTGTTATTATCATGAATTCTCATGTCTCTTCTTCACAGGTATGGGACTATGAATCGGGAGATTTTGAGCGTACGATGAAAGGACACACAGACTCAGTTCAAGATATATGTTTTGATCACGCAGGCAAGATGCTTGGTAAGTGCATGAGTATCATTTTATAGGATAACAGTAGAAAAAGTAGGAATCTATATTATGTTTTTTTGCATGAAAAGTCCCATTTACACTGTCAAAAAAACAATCTGATTTTTTTTTTTTTTTTTTACGGACAAGTATAGCATACGAGCATCATGCTTGGCGGACATGAGCACTTCATAACAAGCCACCATCATTATTATTATTTAAAATTCTGTAATAACTGCCAGTGTTTGCCAGTTCTGGTTTATTGGTGATTGGTGGAGTAGTAAGCATGTGTGACCTGTTGCTACTCAGCGAACAATATCATGAAAGCGAGTAGAGTCACATGACCAAAAAACAAATTAATTTACCAATGTTTTTGGAGCTGGAATTTACACTTCAGAAACTGGTGTAGTTTTGGTCAGAGTGTTTGTTGGTAGTTGCCTAGCAACCTCTTACAAAACTCTAGAATGTGACAAAAACCAAGTTTTTTTTTTGCTTGCATTGTAAATGTTCGTATTGTTGATATTTGTGACCCCTTATATTTTTGTATCTGTATGACCTCAGTAAACAGAGCAAAAAGGAACAAGTAGTCCATTTGAACCTAGTTAAATCCTTATTTTTCACACACATTTTGTGTCGGTGTATCTGGAGTTAGGCTAATGCTGTAAAGAATTACAGACCCATGACCAAACAGAACAATACACTTCAGGTACACTATTTCAGGACTCTTTCAGGTCAACACATTTAAAAGATATTTGTAACTTAACAAGGTAACTTAACACAGTGCTCATTGAATATGCGTAGGACCTTTGTTGCACATAGTTGCCATTCATTTACACTTAAAATCTGCTGCAAATTACCACTTCATATCTGAACAAGCCTTAAATGTGATTTAATTCAGAAAGATAAATCATGGATTTTCCAATTACAATGTTTTTTGCTCACCCCAATGGACTATAGCAAGATATGAGGGTTATTTATTTTTTTACCCATCAGCACATTATGACCCCCCCCCCCCCCCCATGATTGTACGGCTCACCCAGGAATTTACCCATATTGAAATAAGTACATGTATAGTACTGTACACAACACAGTTTGCAAGCTCATTCATGAGATACTTTCTTTTGAAAGCTGTATCTTTCATGGGATAAATATATACAATAGATGGATTATAGGTGATTATCTACCTGCTCTGTGTGGTCTCCGTTCATTGTTCATGGTAGTAAACAAATCTGAACTTGACCTTGGCCTGGAGTACAACCTGACACACTTACAATGCTCAGAATGCAATGCATGTTTGTAGTAAACTAAAGCCTTTTTCACACCCTAGACAATAAACCATACCCCACCTAAGATAACTGTTGCAACAAAATGATAAAAATGAAGCCACAGTCAGTGTGCTTCACATTGTATGACACACAGATTAGGGGGTATGAGACCTTTGTTCCACACTTTTTCTTGATCCCAACTTGCCATTCATTCACATGTATGATCGTTTTGTAGTTTGCTGTGCCAGTTTTTCTGAGGTGGTTAACCACACCGTGTATGAATGAGGCTCCAGGGTTTAAAGACTACATGTACCTGGGACCTGTTTCATAAAACTTGTTGTCGATAACAATTTACGATAACTGTTATAAGCTAGTGAAATCCGTGCATTTAATTGGCTAAGAGCAACTTTGTCATAGAAATTTAACATAGAAATTTAACATTTGTTATTGATAACAAGTTTGATGATACAGAGCCCTCTCCTCCAGAGGAATAAAAGGTCTATCATCTAAGAAGGTCCTATGTTCAATATGTAATGTTTTGAATGTTGTTTACAACCATTTGTAATGTTGCATCCAATTAAGCCGGCTACCACACATTGATTGCATTGTGTGGTGGTGGTATAGTGGTGCATAGAACAATCCCTCTGACTTCTTCCTCTTGTACCCTGGCTTCTTCCAGTGGTAGAGGTGCAATGAAATGTCAGATATACAGAAATATATAATCCCAGGATACGTCTGAGCGTAATTTCATCTGAACGTGTGCTCGGTACATTTACCATTGATAATGTGATACTTAATGCAGTCTAATGGCTCTTTCCCATACCAAAGCATGATAACCATGTTTGGAATTTACTGTACTCATTAATATGAATGACATTGTTCACGTAAGCATTGGCAGTATTCTAGAAGGGTAAATGAAAAAAAGGTTGCTTATGTTTGCTGTTCATCTACATACTGCAGCTGCCAACGATTCCTATTTGGAGCAATGACTCCTATTTTTTGGTCTTCAAACTACATGTAGTGTTCCAAACCTTGGATTCTTTAATACTGTTCTAAAAACAACTGTGTTAACTGCATACAAAGTACACTATATTCCAAATTTTGTTTTGAGAAATTCCTCATTTTACAGTTGCCACAGTTGCCTGCTTTGGCGATTCTTAGCTTTATGCCTTTATACAGAAATGAATCATGAAAACTGGAGATGATATGTACCTTAGATCATCAGGATGATAGTATTTAACACGTCCAGGGGGAGTTTCAAGAGGACTAAAATTGACGTAAGTTGGACTTAACTATGGCAGGCCGTTCAGGCCACTGTTTGCTCTCACAGTTATGATCTTTAGATAATATTTTTTCCTTCAATAATGAACTATCAAAAAATGTAAATTCTGTAGATTTGTGACCGTGCTTTGTACATCCTTTGAGAGACCAGTGGCAGTAAATGGTGAGAGAAAACAATGCCTGCCATATTAAGTCCAACTTAAAGTTGACCTTAGTCTTTGTGAAACTCCCCCCTGTATTTTGTATCAGTTTTTCTTTTGCTACAGGGTGACTAAAATTATCAATTTTTCACTGTTCCGTCCCTGTGCAGCTTCCTGCTCTGCTGATATGACGATCAAGCTGTGGGATTTCACCACCTTTGAATGTATGAAGACCCTCCACGGCCACGACCACAACGTCTCCTCCATCAGTTTCCTATCGTCAGGAGATCATCTAGTCTCATCCTCCAGGGATAAGACCATCAAACAGTGGGAAGTATCCACTGGGTAAGTAATACCTCAGCAACTTTAAAAAATGATATTAATAATATTATTTGATATTTATATAGCGGACATATCCATCATGCATGGTGCTCAAGGCGCTCCAACATTTACCCGGCTCTGCTAGGCAGTCGATTTCGGCGCTCACAGCATTCAAGGAATTCCTTCCTACCGGTACCCATTTTACACCTGGGTGGAGAGTGGCAAATGTAGATTAATATCTTGCCAAAGGACATTCGTGCCGTGGAGGGACTCGAACCGCAATTATACAATTGATACATGGGAATGAGGGAATTATACGATCTATCTGCACCCAATGTTTAGTGCAAAGCCGTCAGGTGGAGTATGAAAGGTGTATACATAGCCTCAATAAAGGTGGATAGAACCTGTAGTGTACTAATGAAAACATGCATAATTTGGTCATCCGTCACCATCTGGTCATCCCTTCTATTGACCAGACCATCAAGTGAAATTTAAGTAGCCACTCCACACTGTCCCTATCAATCATCAATTCATGGATGAAAGTGCCCAAAATATCTTCTACATTTATTGTATCTCAATAAGGAGGGCGGGACAAGATACAATTTTTTTTTTACAAGGGTAAGCATTGTGGTATTATTATGCTTCTTCCTTATGGAAATGATATACCATTATTCAAAAAAAAATATGTGGTCAACATACAGTCGGTTTGCAAGCAAAACAATTTGCCTTGTCTGTATCCTTCAAAAACCCACAATTATATACTTTATTGTAGCTAGTAGTGTGTATACAGAGAGAGCCACTTTACTAAAAAAAATACCAATAAATCATGATAAATCTCCCTCTCCCTTGAACAATAGATGTCCCTTTCTATGAACCCCATCAAGAATCATTGCTATGCATACACGAGCTGGAAAATCTCATTTTGCCCTTGAACTTTGTTCAATAAGACTAGAGTGCTTTTCTTGTTTTTACATAAAATTCTCAGCATTATGTGATTCAGAATGAATTGCTAATATACATGGACTGTATGTTGCTAAGTAGTGGATGGAAGATAGGCAAACGTGTTTCTCCTTATACCTGGGAATGACCTACTTAACATGTTTTCTCCGTTTGCTTTGCCTGTCCTTTTAAAGCGTTTGTCTTTCACACTTTTCAAACATTTTTTGCAATTTAATTACTCTTTGGTAGTTCTGTCTTAAATTTGTAAGGCATCGTTTAACAATGTTAAATCTTAGATGCACGGCCCTACATGTACGTGTTATCAGTGTCTGTGTAGTGGATATGGTGTCTTCTTGAAACCCTAAAAAAATGCACTTCAAAATGACCAAGAAGTGTCTCAAAAAAGTAAAAATCTTTGAGTGACCGGTTTTACCATACTCGTTTTCCCCAATAGACTGTAGTGTTATGAAAACCGTTAGGAAAACACATCATTTGATTTCGATTGCCAATCATAAATATCTTGATAATCAGACAGGCGGTTGGCTTGTAAAAGTCATGAGGTTCCTGACTGACCTAAAGGTTTACAATGATTGCAGCATGAGCTAAATCCAGGATTTTGTTTCAGAATTTTTTCAGACAATGTTACAGAGTTACACTTTAAAAGGCAATTACCAACGTCTCCTTTTCATCCAAATCCATCATTTATGTTGAGTTGTCTTTGAGCAGTTGCTCTTGAGTTGACATGTATGTGAAGCACTTCAGTATTTATATTTACTCAAGAGAAGCAAGGTTTCCCCCATAACTTGCAACATTTCCTTCTCAGTTGCCATGGCATGTAAAATTGAAATCCTCAGACATATTAGGAGCTTAATTCCAAAAGGAGCTAAATCCACTTTTGATGAAAATCAAGTCCTTGATATCAGAACATTGTTCACTTAAGTACCTGACTTTGAACAAAATTATATACCTAATTTTTGGTAGCAATTATGACAAAATGCACCTTCTAATATCACTTTTCCATAGACACCTGTACAACATCTGGTAAAAAAAATTCTTCTTTCTCTGAAGTTACAAAAATGGATTTAGCTCCTTTGGGAATTAAACCCTTCATTATTATACAGGTTATAAGAAAAGGCTGAAATTTGATCCTTTGGTGTGGTTTGAGTGTATACTAGCTGTACTTCCTGTGTGTAAGATTAGACATGAGTTGAGATACATGTACAGTGTATGTGTGAGGTGTTGTATAATATGCTTCTATGGCAATGAACTGTTAATGAGGAAATGAATGATGGATTCTTGCCAAAAAATACTGTGCACAGAATGAACTTTCAATACTAATGTGAAATTATTCCCAGATATATTTCTTGGAAATAGGAATACCGGTATACAACGACATACAAATATATAAAATTGGTTAATATTAACTATTAATTATGCTGCTAAGTTCAAAATTAGATACCGGTAGACATGTATAGTTTTCCTTTTCTCACATTTCGTCCTTGTTTTCACGAAGTGACGGTAGCGAGGAAAATCGTAACGCAAAGTGAATGCAATTTTTTTTCACTACCGTCACTTCGTGAAAACAGCGACGATTTAACTACCCGTACTTGATCCTCAAATATATATTGGTTTCATATATGTTACACAGGCTTCCTATGCCTGCGCCGGTTCAATTAATTAAGATTAGTAAACACGGAGATCCATTAAAATACATAAGTCTGAAACATATATTTTGTGCCAAAGATTCCAAAGAGGTGTTTATTAATATTCAGTGTCGAAGGTACACCGATAATAAATTCCCAGTGTGACAACTGGCATTTCGATTTCAAACAAACAATTCTTACAAAAACAGCTACATGCAAAGCTTTACAATGTTTATTACAAGAATGATAGCAAAAGAGCAAAGTAAACTACACTGTACAGTAGAAACATATTAGGGAATAGAAGAAAAGAATAGATGTTCATATGCAGTACAAATGATAAAACACAAGTCGTTCGTCAGTAAGCACTAAATACATCGATCAGGCGGAGAGCGTTGCCTGAACAACGACAGCAGTCCCAACTCTTGTCCCGAGGGAAATGGAACTGGAACCATGGTGGAACCATGGTGAAACTCTGTTAAGAAACAAAATCAAGGCAGGTCTTAAAAAGCTGCGACATAGTAACTTCTGGGGGAAGTTACATCACACGTCTATCTGCCTTGAAGTCTAAACTTGCTCTCCTACTTAATCAATAATAATTCTTCTTTATATGGAACACAGTAATTCAACAAGAGTATTTATCGTCTTACAAGTAGTTATTGGGCTATCACTAAACTATCTAATCATAAGTATTTTACAATGACTGAAATATCTATAAATACGTCTGGCTTGTGGAAAGTGGTATCTTAATTCATACACAGTCACAACCATCTTGTATCAAAGGTTAAGGGACAAACACATGAAAATATAATAAAATGGGTTTTCCAACGCAAGGAGAATCACACTAAACAATATCATACAATTAATTCAAATTGCATTAGGAACTTGTGATATCTCTATAATTTACTAGAATAGAACATGAATATACTTTTAGGAAGGTGGGTGTTCGCTTACCTGTTAAGAAACAAAATCAAGGCAGGTCTTAAAAAGCTGCGACATAGTAACTTCTGGGGGAAGTTACATCACACGTCTATCTGCCTTGAAGTCTAAACTTGCTCTCAACGAGAAAGCCAATCTTTCTTCCTAACCAGGCAAACAACCCCACTATTCCCTATCCCCAAGACAAAGGGGTACCAGTAAGTGTATCCACTGGTCATTCATGATTTATGTACTCTACGAATAAAGGAAGTGGTCTGGGTTTAAGACATAAACAAGGCCTATAGAATAGGGGTATCTTTGTTCCCATCTCTTTGTTTCACCAGCAGCATATGCCAGAGAGGTGATCTTAATAGAAACATAGTTTAAAGGTACACTTTAAATAGGGGTTCAACAATTTAAAGTAATATAAGCTTACTCAAAAATAGAAAATAGGTTTACTCAAAAAAATAGAATATACCTTAATAAACAGGGTCTGACACTCTCCCCTCCTAGAACCATGGCGTCCCGACATCTTTAATTACAAGTTAATACAATAATACATTTCAGCAGACTTTTAGAGGACAGAGAGAGATTGACCAATCTCATACTTTCCTACCTAGATGGCAAGATGTAATTCTCTGTAGATGACCTCAACATGGGGTGCATACCTCTTCAGTCAAACACCGCATCCAGCCGAATGATTCCTCCTGCCACTATGCTTCATTCTTGGGTAGAATGAGCTTCACCCGAAAGGTGGTGGCAATGAAGGATATCATTGGTTTGGTGCTAGTACTTGTGAAAAACTTGTAAAATAAAAATAACCAGTGCCAGCGTCGTCGTCTCTGACTGAACGCAAACCTAATTGTCAGTGTGAAAATGCAGATGGGCCTCGATGTACCCAATGTATGGAACTTCTGATTCCACCTGCACCAAACACGAACAGGTCGTCATGGATTCCAAGTGACGGTGCGCTAACTTTTTGTGATAACAATAAGCAGATATGCATGTCACTTGGGATCGACCTAGTGTCCATAAGGCACTCATAGGGCACACACTCCGTCAACCTCAGCCCAGACAGTGAATTGGGTACCCACTACTAGTGCGGCTGGAGATTTATCAGATGTGGCCTGATGAGATGGCGTCATCTGCAAACTCATAATTGCAGATCGCCTTATGGGACACTTCTTAGGTTTATCTTTGGCCACCTGTTCGGCCAGAAACTTCACTAGCTCTGCCTTAAACTTAGGGTTAGAGTCAGACATTTTTTAAAAAGATTATAAAGCTAAACTATCCAAAAACAGGGTTAACAAAATAGTTTAAGATATTAAGGTGCCTAAATATACTATTTATAACACCAATCAGGATTCAAAAACGTGCTAATTATTATATAAAAAACAAAAATAATTATATGATGAGAATATTGATATAGTAAAATAGAAACCACAGTAACAACTAAGCTGGACAAGCTACCCCTTGTTTACTGTTACGCCTGTCAGTAGTAGGGCTGCTACTGATTTGACCTGAACAACAGCAACAAAAATTGATTAGGTCACACTTCAAAATTAAGACCACTTTCAAATATACGCTATGTCCAACTTAGTGTTTTACAAGTTGTGGCAATCAACACAACAATCATATACACAGAATATTGTTAATCTCTACGAAACAAAGAGAGAGAGAAAGAGAACCTAATACTCAATTAAAGCCATTTGAAAAATGTATTATCTAAACAGAATTTTCCTTTCGGAAAAACAACAATAATTTTCTAAGAAAATTTAAGATCCGGGCAGTGCCTCCATTTGTTACACAGGCTTCCTATGCCTGCGCCGGTTCAATTAATTAAGATTAGTAAACACGGAGATCCATTAAAATACATAAGTCTGAAACATATATTTTGTGCCAAAGATTCCAAAGAGGTGTTTATTAATATTCAGTGTCGAAGGTACACCGATAATAAATTCCCAGTGTGACAACTGGCATTTCGATTTCAAACAAACAATTCTTACAAAAACAGCTACATGCAAAGCTTTACAATGTTTATTACAAGAATGATAGCAAAAGAGCAAAGTAAACTACACTGTACAGTAGAAACATATTAGGGAATAGAAGAAAAGAATAGATGTTCATATGCAGTACAAATGATAAAACACAAGTCGTTCGTCAGTAAGCACTAAATACATCGATCAGGCGGAGAGCGTTGCCTGAACAACGACAGCAGTCCCAACTCTTGTCCCGAGGGAAATGGAACTGGAACCATGGTGGAACCATGGTGAAACTCTGTTAAGAAACAAAATCAAGGCAGGTCTTAAAAAGCTGCGACATAGTAACTTCTGGGGGAAGTTACATCACACGTCTATCTGCCTTGAAGTCTAAACTTGCTCTCCTACTTAATCAATAATAATTCTTCTTTATATGGAACACAGTAATTCAACAAGAGTATTTATCGTCTTACAAGTAGTTATTGGGCTATCACTAAACTATCTAATCATAAGTATTTTACAATGACTGAAATATCTATAAATACGTCTGGCTTGTGGAAAGTGGTATCTTAATTCATACACAGTCACAACCATCTTGTATCAAAGGTTAAGGGACAAACACATGAAAATATAATAAAATGGGTTTTCCAACGCAAGGAGAATCACACTAAACAATATCATACAATTAATTCAAATTGCATTAGGAACTTGTGATATCTCTATAATTTACTAGAATAGAACATGAATATACTTTTAGGAAGGTGGGTGTTCGCTTACCTGTTAAGAAACAAAATCAAGGCAGGTCTTAAAAAGCTGCGACATAGTAACTTCTGGGGGAAGTTACATCACACGTCTATCTGCCTTGAAGTCTAAACTTGCTCTCAACGAGAAAGCCAATCTTTCTTCCTAACCAGGCAAACAACCCCACTATTCCCTATCCCCAAGACAAAGGGGTACCAGTAAGTGTATCCACTGGTCATTCATGATTTATGTACTCTACGAATAAAGGAAGTGGTCTGGGTTTAAGACATAAACAAGGCCTATAGAATAGGGGTATCTTTGTTCCCATCTCTTTGTTTCACCAGCAGCATATGCCAGAGAGGTGATCTTAATAGAAACATAGTTTAAAGGTACACTTTAAATAGGGGTTCAACAATTTAAAGTAATATAAGCTTACTCAAAAATAGAAAATAGGTTTACTCAAAAAAATAGAATATACCTTAATAAACAGGGTCTGACACTTATGAAACTTGGATTTTATCCTTCTTGTTAATTATTTGTGTGTGTAAATGCTATAATATTTTTGCAGATGTCCTTTTCGAGTTTTTTGAAATGGAAATGTTTTTCTTCATTTTTGACTGGTCATGCTCTGCAATTAAAGTAAGCATAACCTTGTTCATAAAAATAAAAAAGCGATTACCTTCTATTGAAATCTTGTTTTTGTCTTTATAGATATTGTGTGAAGACATTTACTGGTCACAGAGAGTGGGTTCGTATGGTGAGACCAAGTCCAGATGGATCTCTTCTGGCTAGTGCTTCTAACGACCAGGTGAGCCCCTCCATCCCTTACAGCTGACCAACAAAAGAGATGATGAGAGCAGGGCCTCGTCTTACAAAGAGTTGATATCAATCACAACTATGTATATAAGAGATAGGAGACTGCAAACTTGCGATTGATTGGAGGACTTGCGATTGATTTTGACCGATTGCAACTCTTTGTAAGATGGGGCCCTGATCTAAGATAAATAAGCCTTTCCTTCTTTTTTATGATAGAAATTTCATGTTTCTTTCAGGAACTGCCAATAACCATATCGCTTACATCACAGAAGATGTTATTTTAGTGGAACTTTATACACTTTATTTCACTTGAAACTTTTCAGGGCATGGATGATGAGGGGGGGGGGGGGGGGGGGGCTTGATAAAGATGGTGCACGTCATTTGCTCTCCAATATGGGGGTCACAAGGTCTATCATTTAAGAAGGTCATAAATTAATTATGTACTGTTTCTAAAAGTTGTTTACAACAATGTGTAACAATGTTGCATCCAATTAAGCCGGCTACCACACATTGATTGCATTGTGTGGTGGTGGTATAGTGGTGCATAGATCAATCCCTCTGACTTATACTGTTGTACCCCGGCTTTTCCGGCAATGGTGCAATGATATGTCAGATACAGAAATATAATATTAGGATGCATGTCTCAACTGAATGTTATCTGAACTTGTGCTCGGTACATTTACTGTTGATAATTTGGTGCTTCATTTAGTCTAATGGATCATTCCCACTCGAAAGCATGAAAACTATGATTGGAATTTACTTTACTTGTGGGATATGAGAAAATAAAAGATGAATGGAACAAGGCTTGTTATGATACTAGTTGAATCCTGATGGTTGAATTATTAAGAACTTCCCATAGAATGAGAAGCAATACATGTCATTTTGTGGAAAAAAGAAACAAACATTAGAGAAGATAGATAATTATAGTGAATTTCATACCTGCAATTTTGACCAACCATTCATGTTGGGATTTTATTTTCTTCCATGCAGACTCTACGTGTTTGGGTGGTAGCCACCAAGGAGTGTAAGCTGGAGCTACGAGAGCATGACCATGTGGTAGAGTGTGTCGCCTGGGCTCCAGAAACAGCATACCCCACCCTCAATGAAATCAAAGGAGTAGAGGTATGTACCAATTATAATTTGTTTATTTTGACAGCGCTGAAGGTTAATTTGTGGGGTGGGGGGGGGGGTGGGGAACTGAGAAGGGGATGGAGGGTTCCAAGCTAGAATATAACCCATGTTATTGTAGCATGGACTCTGGGCCCTGTCTTACAAAGAGTTGATATTAATCGCAACTTATTTGCGATTGATATCAACCGCAACTGTGTACATAAAAGACAGGAGACTGCAAACTTGCGATTGATTAGAGGACTTACGATCGATTTGGATCAAACACAACTCTTTGTTAGACAGGACCCTGAATATGCATACTGTTCCCCTTCTTCACTGAAAGTACAGACCACTTCTGGGCCCTGTTTCATAAAACTTGTTATCAATAACAAATGCTATACTTCTATGACAAATTTGCTCTCGGCCAATCAAATGGCATGATTTCCGTAACTTGTTATTGATAACCGGTTTTATGAAACAGGGCCCTCTTGTACCATGCCTTCAATGAAGCAAACTGGAATTAAAAAAAAGAAGAAGATATCTGAATGATCCTTAATACTTGTTTCAGATAAGAGTAGTATGCTAATGGATGGTGAAAAATTAACTGGTGCCCATCTGAATTTTTTTCGAAAAAAAATGAAGATGACTGTAACAAATAAGTAGTGAGAACATGATTTATATAGATGGAAGAAATAAAAAGTACATGCAATCTCCTTTTTTGAAGTGCTTTTCCATTTTAAAAACTAGTATCCTCTTTTCATCTCAAGTATTCTTCTCTTTTTCCCTATCTCTGGTGGTGATAGCTGAACAACTATGATGGTCTAGAGGTAGATAATGGCCTTGTGTACAAGCATTGTCTCCCTGTGTTTTGTGTAGCATTTGACCGTGCATGATAATAGCATCATGAACCTAGATTTACAGCATGTCATTTGAGAGTGATGCCAAAGGGCGTCCTTAAAAGGGAAATCATCTTCACTATGTCCATTTGTTTGTTTTGATATGACATTTCACTCCATGCTTGTTTCGTGGGCAAAAGTACAAGAAAGAGCTCTGATTGGACTGTATGTTCCACTAATCTTGGGACAAACTGGATTAGTAAGAGGTGATGAAGACAGCGACGTGACATCTGCTCCTGCGATAGTTGCTCTGGGATTTATTTTGTCAAATGTATAGGGTTAGGATGCAATTGGGTTGTAGATTATGTTAAGTGTTAGGGTTGAGGTTATGTACCGCGTTAGGTCCAGGGTTGAAGTTTGAATCAATTTTTTCATTCAAAGAGTGAGATGTGCCTGCAAAATACATGCTTGTACATGTATGTACGCATGTTAACCCTGAATGCGCTAATCTAGATTTCTTTAAAATAACATATCTGTCAAATAACTACCCTACATGTCTAGCGGTGTCACAAATCAATTGTGTTACTTGACTCAAGCTAGGATTATAAAATCCATTTAGTCTCAATCTAGCTGTCTTTTAATTTTGGAGTGATGCTAGGTCTAGTGCCAGTGTAGTTTTCCCTTTATAGTGTGTATATTAAAAAGTCAGTTTAGTGAGACAACATGTTGATATAGCTACTTGTAATTAACAACTGTCAACATAGATTGTGTTGTGATTATTTGTGACCTGAATAACCCAACCCTATGTCATCAATTTTCTTTTCTTCACCTCCCACCCTTAATCCAAGCTTTCATTAGGCGTACCCCATTTCGTGTGATTCCCAGTTTTGTATAATAGCATATTCCAAAGCTTTCATGTGTTCCTTTTTATTTTATGGGGATAGAGAAATTGTGATCATCAATGCTTTGATTAAAGACAATAAATTGGCTTACAGGTATCTCTTCAATTCAATTTTGCAAGATTTTGCAAATGGGAGACCTTACAAATAGTTAAATGCCATGTATTTCCTTGCCTAGTCTTGCATGGTTAATTTATTATGTGTATAAGCCCTCCGTTAGTGGTGACACCATTTCAGTTGCATTTTATCTTAACAAATACAACAATCAGTGTTATCTTTAGATGACAGAACTCCACTTTAGTTTTGAGTTATAACCAACTTTTCCTTACTTCTCATAAAAGACCAATGTACAAAGCAGTCTTTGATATGAAATTAACACTGAAATCAATAACGATGAACCATTTATAGATTGTGATACAGAAAGCTGTCAGTTGAACCATTTTCAATGATTAGTGTGCTTCTGTGTACTATCATGCACAATAAGGAGGCTTATCCCATTCTATACTTTATGTCATTATTTTAGTGGCTGATTCGAGTCTTTGATCCATCATTATTATGCATGGAATGTAGTGTAAAACCAGAAACTTTGTACGCATGAAATGTTCACAAATCCCATAATTGGTTCAGACTTTCATGCCGCAAAATATACCATTGATTACAACCGACACGACAGTGGGGCTTTGCAATGTGTGGAAGTGTCTTGCCATGAAAGTGTTTTGTTTTGCAATAGAACATGAAGCTAAATGGATCTGTTTTAAAGTGACTCTGTAACATTGCCTCAGATTCTCAACAAAATCCTGGATTTGGCTCATGCTGCAATCATAATTATAAACCTTTAGGTCAGTCAGGAATCCCATCACTTTTACAGGCCGATCAACTGTCTGATTATCAAGATATTTATGATGGGCAATCAAAATTTCTTTTTTCTTTTTCCTGACAGTTTTTATAACACTACAGTCTATTGGGAGAAATGAATATGGTAAAACCCATCACTCAAAGGTTTTTACTTTTTGAGGCCTTTCATGATCATTTAGAAGCACAGTTTTTTTAGGGCTTCAATATAACACCAAATCACAGACACTGATAACACGTAGGGCCGTGTATCTCAGATTTAACATTGATAAACGATGCCTTTAAAACTGATTTTCTGAATGTATCGTTATGTTTTGCAGAAGAAAGGAGCTCGCTCTACTCCATTCTTGGTGTCTGGTTCACGTGATAAGGCCATTAAGATCTGGGATGTGAGCGCTGGAGCATGCATCATGACTCTGGTAAGTCCAAACTGCCAGAAAAAGAACTAGAATTGTTTGTCAGTGTGACAATTATTCTATGACATACCTTTTTCTTTAGAAATATTTTCCAATGTTTCCACTGCACTACTTATAGCTACTTGGGCCCTCTATACAGCCAACAATGCCTAGGTTCTCAACATATCACAAACCAATACATTTTTGATGCAGGATATAATAATTACTAATTTAGTCAATTTAGGTTAAGATAGAGGCTATAGCAATTAATAATTTTATTGTTTGTATCTTTAAACTCATTTTCTTGGCATCACTTTTCTCTCTCTCTGTATCTGCACAGACTGGACATGATAACTGGGTGAGAGGAGCCGTGTTTCACCCTGGCGGCAAGTTCATCATCAGCGTGGCCGATGACAAAACATTACGTGTGTGGGACTACAAGAACAAACGCTGTGCAAAGAAAATGCTGGCCCATGAGCACTTCACTACTTCGCTAGGTAAGCAGAAAGTTAAAAATTGCTTTGTGCACTCTACTCTGAGATTGGGAAATTTCCCTAAAATAAATGCACTAATCTGTAAAAACATCACTTTTTGAGGCAGAAAACTAGCTCCTCTGTGGTCTTGAGAAGTTGCTTTACCCCTTGACTTTGTCTCGGGGCACAGAACAGTTTCAAGATTACCTTGGGCAAAATTTTACACTGTCAATATTTGTATTCTATGTCATGGACCAGACAATTATTGATGGTCATTAGGTGAATGGTCCGATTGAATTTAACACAAACTGGTTGTAGGTGGTTCTGCTGTTTAGCTCAAATGACAATCAGCATTATCAGTTTTGAACTTGAAGGAGAAATCTTTCAACACAAGATAGCTCTAGCAGTTAGAAAAAATAAGTTGTAGAAAGCCAAGAATAAACTGCATTTCTTATTTGGAACTTAAGGTGGAAATATTCTGCTAATCCTCATCTGAAATAGTCTCAAGAAATATCTGGATATTGCTTTTGGTATTTATGTCTCTCAGGTTCATATTGTAGCCCCACAACTTTTTCTTCTGAAGATATGAGCAACTCACACTATGCTTCACACTATACTACCCCCTCCCCCTCCTATTCCTTGGGGTGATACCTTTTGATATTTGTTTTTAAGCTTGGTTTTCATAAAATACTTTGGGAAAAACAATACCTATCAAGTCGAGTAAATTTAGATGTGAATTGCATGCGTAGGATGATTTGATCATGAACTGCATGTCGTCCACTTCCCATAAGAAGGCAGTTACTGCCATTGACAATACATGGGGCATACAGCCTTTTACAGGGAGCTGGTAATGTGTTATCTAGCAGCTATTCCTAGACATTGTGCATTTGTAAAGCGCTTTGAGAGGGCCTGTGGTCCTGGAATGCGCTATATAAGAACGAATTATTATTATTATTATTATTATTTGTTCTCCATGGCAGATTTCCATCGGTCGGCCCCGTACGTGATAACAGGCAGTGTGGATCTAACTATCAAGGTCTGGGAATGCCGTTGATGACCGACGGACCGTCATCGTTAAAAGCAACCCTTCTCCCACCTCAGTTTATCCTGGATATGCTCTGTAACCAACTATGTCACCTTCACTCCTCTTCTCTTTACTCTCTCCTGTATGATGAGGCAATGCATAGCCAGCCAGCGAGTCACCCACCAAGCAGGGTGACTGACTAGGCAAGTCAGGGTGGAATGCATACAGGGAGACCTTATCACAAAGCATCTGTTGTATGTCGGCGCATGAATGGTAATCATATTGAAGCACAAGTTCGTTGAAGCAACTATAATATTTGATAAACGCTCATCAGCTCATTAAGCTAACATAGCATATATTTAGGACAGAACACCATTTAGAAAGCATTATTTTTCTCTTTTTAGTTCTACATTTCAGCAGATTAGAGGTATGCACAAATGATCTTAATTAGTAAGAAATCTAATATTGAAGTTACAATGATCATACAATTGATGTACAATGTACCAAGTGCTTCACATATATCCATATTTGCTCTCTAAACATTCATGTTGACGTATCGACAATGCCGGACTGGAGAGGAGGAGCTGAAGAAGACAATTTTAAGGCGTGTTTAAAAAAAAAAGAAGATGATTATTTTTGTTGCAATACTGCTATTCAGGAATATTTGTTCAGCATATGCAGTCAACAATGAGTGAGGTTCTTAGGATATTAGTGAGACTGTAAGGAAGGAGGATTTAGTATTTGGAGAGGAGTAGCTTGTGCGTTTAATTATGCTTCTTATGCATCATGTATCTAACGTGAATGAGTTTACGAAGCGTGCGAAATTGGCAACACTATTTGGACTATTATATTATGCTATGATATAACTATTACGAGCTGCACTCATTATTGTAGTCGACCATTTTGATTTCATATGTATATCTTTATTTCACTAGAACCTGTCCGTTATGAAGGACACCCTCTTGTGGTTCGCATTGTCCATCTGTCTACAAGTCAAAAGTCTCTTTATTTTTATTATGCAGAACTACTGTAGAGCCAATACATTTTGGACAGGATGTTTCGTGTAGCACATAGCCTAAACTGTTAGTCATTGATTGGGGCTTGATGTAAAGTTTACAGTGTGAATACAAGAAAATGACAAACGCTATCATTATTAAATCTAAACAGTCATATTCAGCAGCTCAGCAATTTCATGTGAATTCTGCGTCGGTGAAAGTGGAGCCTTGTCATGTGATGATATTATTACGCTCTGTCCGATCAACGTATCACTTGGTTAATCGATGTATATATGAAGTAATATTGAATATTGAATGGTTACCAAATTGCTGTATAAAAAGCACAGAATTCTAAATTTAATTGGAGAGTGGTCTCTGATAAGATTTGTAGACACAGGTAGTCTGTGACTTGTAGAATAGCTTTTAGAGCTAGTGTAATGTAATGTATGTGTGAATGAATGAATGTAGTACATGTTTCCACAAAGAATATCTCTCATCCCTCCTATAAATATATAGTTATGATGGTCTGTACCCATTGACTATGAAAATGTGTGTATTTGTGTCTTTTAGGGGGGTGCACGCCCCCGAATGGCATACTATTTGCATACCATTGTATAGATTACGTGCAGGACAGTCCATGGTATGATCCGATTAATTGAAAGGATACACGTAGGTGCAGATGTCGCGTTATTGATGGAACTATATTGTAAGTTAGTCAGTTAGATATTTATGGCGGAATACACACCTTGCATTCATCTTCTTTATGCGACACCTGCTTCCAAATCTACTCTTAAAAGATAGCAGAGTTTCTTACAGTATGGACAACACCATTCATGATCCCGGTTTATTGCGTTGCTGGAATCTTTGATGAATATAATGAGGTGGGCATTATCTAGGATTGAATCTTATGTTTAGTAATTCAGCGTGAAATCGTCATCGTCTAGGAATTTGACAATATGCATGTTGACTCTACCCATGTAAACTTTTTGTAGAAATGAAGTGTGTATCAGTACACAATTTATTATTAAAATGTGTGTAGAGGTGTCGTCAAGGGGTTTAAACACTTGTCGGGAGATGCAGAGGTCGTGGGTTCAATCTCCGGCACTGCACTTGTGTTGTTACGCAAGGCATTTAATCTACATTGCTTCTCTCCACCCAGGTGTTCAATGGGTACTCACTAGGATACCGTAGGAATGATAGTCTGGTTAGATTAGCATGTGTGTGCTTTTAAAATGGCGCCTGGCTGGAATACTACCCAGGAAGTGGAGGGTGTGCATTACCATGTGCGGAATAGAAAATAAATCCCAACGATCGGGATAATGAAAATTACTATGTAAAGCGCTTAGAAACGTATATTGAGCGCCTATTGTAACCTATTCTTCAAAAGTCATTTGAATTTTGACTTCCAACCCATTCCTGCTGTGTTGTTCCTGTGGACGAATGAATGAAAAACCAATAGATATATTTGCTATCATATCTGCCTTCATGGTATTAAGTTGCCTTGCTACCTGTTGTAGTTATTACAGTAATGTGCATGCAGTTTATAAGTTGGATATATTTAAGGACACTAATCACGAGGGCTTTTATTTATATTAACATATACATGTATATTTTTTTTGTATTTCAGAGAGTGAGAAAGAGTTGCATTAGTCCTACATATCTTGCTAGATCTGTTTCTAGATCTGTTTCTAGATCTGTTTTCGAGATCTGTTTCGTTTCAGTAAATTCACATTTGATTTCAGGTGTCAGTCAGTACTTGCAACCTCATTAGATATCGTGAAACACAGACCCCATGTTCATGTTTACCTTGTGGAAAATGTACCCTGGATCCCCTTTTTTGTCGATCATAATGTTATGTTTTGATATCATTGCTGTAAAAAGAAAATCAGAGGATATTTTTTTCATGCACACAATTAAATATAAATATTACAGTATGATTATGCCATAGTTAATGTGATATCATTGTCCCTGTTCGACCTTAGAGATTGGTAGATTTAGGAGTAGCTCACTGCACCATCAACTTTGTGGCTTTCATGCAATAAGTTAATCAGCTGTAAAATTTTACAGAATGTTGAGATTAAATACCATATAGGCATTAGGTTTGTGAATCTTAATACATGTATCATCTGGTTACTGCAATGTCGGTATATTTTTGAAAAATGAATATGTTGCAAGTGGAGGAAATAAAAACACATCAGTGCGTTTAATCTCAGATACAAGTATATAGTATTTGGGTGAAAAAATATGATGGTATAGTTTGTTTTTTAATAAAGCAGTATATGTTTGGGGTTATTATCAGAAGCATGAAATTCATGGGGATCATGCATGTATGTCTTCAACGTTCAACGCAAACTGGTATTTCCGGTGATTGAGTTCGTGTGGGGAATTTGCAATTTGTATGATAAACTGATATGTAAAAAAAAAAAAGAGGAAATGGGAATTTACTAACATACATACATGTAAATGTTTCATGTCTTATGTAAATTTGGTGTAAATGTAGTAAGCTGCTTCAAAAAATATATAGACTAAGATGTGATGAATCCAAAAATTTATTAACATGAAGCAAATTAGGTGTGTTGTCAAAGTCAACTGCAGACATAAGTGTGACGAATGAAATCAAATAATGTATAACAGGCTATATATTTTTTTTTAGTGGTGGTTATTGTACCTGACTGCTAAGAAAGCATAAATGCTTGTTTGTAAGCAACCAGAGAACGGACAGCTTTAGGTCCTCTCCGATATATTTTGAGGCCAGTATATTAAGCTGTGGAAGTTATCCTCCTGTATTAATGTCTTGGCTGAGTGTCATAGAAGTCTGCCAGTGGTGCATTTACTATTATACTAGGAAACAGCTTTCAAGAATCAACTACATGTATCTTGGAAGGCGTCGCTTTGAAATTTGCTTGATATTCACTTTCTTACCTTCACGGCCAAGCTAACAACTCATTTGCTCATCAAACACATCGTAGCATTTTCTCGTAAATATCGAGACAGAGCTATTACTAGTCTGCTCCATGTTGCTCCGAGTGTGTCAAAGGCCTTTAGTATAGATTGTCACAGTTGACAGAATTGTACTGCTACCGTAAATATATCAAGCGATAGGAACTATAAGCCACACCTTCCTTTGTGGGACCCTTGTCGACGCACTGTGCTACTATCAAGCCATTCAGAGTAACTATAAATGTCACGCAAACAGTAGAAATTAATTAACTAGTAATCATGATTGTTCCGAGATGTACATATTTCTGCAAATCTAAACATCTAATTGCCTTGTTTTTTTCAGGTAGGTGAAGAGGCGATGTAAGGGTTTTCCTTTGCATCGATTGCTTTTTATGTTCCATAGGAAAGAGCTTCATGTATATCTTGAATGGGGAAGGGGGGGGGGGGGGGGAGGTGAGCAGTGATGTCTTACAGGGGGGGGGGGGGCAGTCAAAGAATTCTCAATTCACTTTACACCTGTATGTCCCACATGTGAAGAAAAAAAGTTGGTTTTCAGTTTGTGACGTTATTGCCTTCACTATTTATCAATTGCTTTATATATATTTTTATCTCATTAATTTCCCTTCATTAATTTCCCTTTTATTCCCCAAAACTTGATTTCCCCATCCCTTTGCCCAGGTTATATGATTTGTGTCATATTGCGTGCATGACATTTCACAAAATGTTTTATGAACTTTGAAGAATTGATACTATTTTCTGAATATTGTATATTCATAGTCATTGATTTGTATACTAATAGTTTATTAAAATTCACATTTTTCATGATTTAACTGACAAAATTACTCTTTATCAACTATAGCGCTTAGTTGAAAGTGGTGCAGATTAATTTTTTTTTTTAAAGATCTTGAATATACATGTAGTAGACACAAGGAATGTCTACATCAGAAAATCTATGGGGTAAAAAGATAAAGAATTGTATCTATTTGCATATATCCATGTAAATCTCTTAACAAAGTTAGCCTGTATGTGTATTAAAGCAAAGAAGCGCAAGTGTAACTATGTTATAATGTCTTTTGTGTAAATAATGTTAGAATGATAAAGATGTCATGTTTAATGAATCAATCGGCCTGTGTTATGCTTCAATATTAAAACAATGTGACATGCTGTGTAACACTAATGATCCAGATCTGGTTGTTGTCTTTCTTTGAGTGATCGACCGAATGGAAGTATGGATTTGTTGAGTCGTAAGATAAGTGTGTTGCATCTATAACAGACTGCTACACATAGGTCCTTTGCTGTGTATAGTTACATTCTCAATCATCATTTACAAAACGAACTGGTTTACCAAGTCATGTGTGAATAGACCCCTCCCCTCTCTTTAAACACCTTTATGTCTGCATCTCTATCTTTGTATTTCTCCCCTTTTCATTCCCCATCTCTCTCCTGTCCTCTGCTCCTTGTCTTTCTCTCTCACTCCTACCCTCTCTAGTACAGTATTATCCAAGTGTACCGATTTCTCTCTACCTCGTAGCTGTACAATTTCCTTATTTCCTTTTCTCTCACTTTTTCTCTGCACTACAAGTTTGCTACCCCTAAAACCTGCACCCACTTTCCATGGTTCCATGGTAATGTATATTTTCACAAAAAATAAACCATTTTTTAAATACTATTAGTGAACCTGTGTTTCACTTTTAGTAGTTGGTGAAAAAAAAGAAGCAAATACTTGTTTTGGGGGTCACTAAATTCTGCTCAATTACTTCTCATTTTCATCATGTTTAATAATGCGAAAGAAGGTGCAATATTCACTTGTAGGCAAGCTCACTCACTTGTTCATCAATCCAGTTAATGGAATTTAGTTTCATGAAAATTTTGGTTGACTTCTGGGGGGTGTTTCACAAAGATCCTAAGTAGAACTTAACACTAAGTTGGACTTAAAAATTATGGAAAGCCATTAGCATCCCTGAAAACATTTTGTAAAAGTTATTTTAAAAGGCATAAAATGTTGATTCAAATCATTCATATTTTCTATTATCATGGGAGATTCTATGTTCTTGATGTGGAATTTTTAAAATGTCTAAAATACTTGAATTTCTGCTTTTGAATATATTTCATTTTAAGGCTCCAATGGCTGTCCATAATTTTTAAGTCCAATTTAGTGTTAAGTTCTACTTAGGATCTTTGTGAAACACCCCCCAGGTTTTACTTTTAGCATGAGTGTGCTACTATGTTAGATAATGCTCTGACAAACACATAAACATAACAAATAATCACGTACTTCTAAATAAACCTGTATGAAACTGACAAAACAAAATTGCAAAGTTGAATTTCTCTTCTGTAATTTATTTTAATTCAATACAGATTCAATTAACTCCTCAATTTGTTTCGAATAAATTGAGACCACAACAGACTGAGAGACAAAGAAGAAGGAAATAATAATAATGTATCGTTGAAACATGATCAGAATTTCAATGAATCCCAAAATGAGCTAAATTTACCAATAAATACATCTTGGTAAGTGACAAACTTTCATGCATTTCACTACAGGCTAAAAAAAGGAAACCTAGGGGAATAAAATATAGAGGAAAAGCCAAGAATTGATCCCTACTTGGTGAGCAAGTATCTGTACAATTGTCATAAATTAACTTTGATTTGAAAATTTGTCTCGAAATGCCTGTTCCTATTGATAACTTAAGCATATAACATCTGAAGTTTTAATGGAAGAAGTAATTGTTCCGTTTCTCGAAGAAACATGTGGACCTTCGTTGTACAAAGACATCATTAAAAACTTGAGTTTTTTGATAGCCTCTGCCAACCATGGCAATTGAAGGGATTAAAGTTCACCTTAAGTTGTGAAATTAAGAGTCAAGCCAACATTGGGACGAGGAATTACCATTACTGAAACTGTTGAGTTCCAAATAACCATATACAGGATTTATACTGACGATACAACTTTATGAAAGGTTAAGAGTACGCAATTTTTTTATTGGGTGTGAGGCTTGTATCATTATAACAGACTAACACTTTCATTATTAGTTTTTATTAATAGATGTATTTCATGATGGTGACATCATACATAGGTAACAATCTCAGAAAATAAAACAGAATATAGAATCCCCATCTTAAACACAAACAAGAGCATTTTACAGAAATCTTTCAATTGAATATCTAATGATGGAAAGATGATGATGTCTGAAATAACAATTGTGTTAATATTAAGCACCATACATCTATGCTCTTATTTTCACTAGTTAGATAAATGGAATCTGTTATTAAATATATAATAGAAATCCAATGCTACAGACAGATGGAATCACAGGAGATTTAGAAGATCCTGTTACTGACAGACGTCATGAAGCTTGCCTAGTAGTTCCGCCCCTGGTCACGATTTCTTCCTCGACCTGTAGTTACAAAAGAAAAAGGGAAGAAAATACTTGATGAGTAACTCTGTTATTGCTTTTCACAAAGCCCATAGAGATCCCCGAACACGTCTATGCGAAGAGATGCACGGTGTATCTCTATATACCTGCTACAGATTGCAATCCTTGACTACCGCAATGTTTTGGAGTGTATCCACATGCATAGGCTATGACACAATAATACATGTGACAAATTTTGACTGTGGTGGCCCACTGTTTGTCCCATTAGTCTACAAAAGCAGGTAAACAGATTTGTTATTCTCTGTCATTGTCAGCAAGATTTTAGTGTATCGGATACTATCTCCTTTACGTACTCCAATACTACCCATTTCTTGGCTGAGCCTGTAGGGCACTCACATTCCACATTTAAATATGGAATCTTTCATCACATCTCAAAACCCAACTTCAGCATGCAAAGGCCTACTTCAGGGTACGTCATCCCCCGGTGTGTGACACATGTGTAAATAACACCCTATCACACCTATCAAGAATTAATGAATTTGGTTGAACACAAAGTCAAAATACAATACATTACTTATTCATAAAATGATATCATGGCTGGATGGTACAATGAATATATACAATCATCACTTTTTAAATTACATGGTTACCAATAATTCAATTTAAGTAACCATTAGTTCTACTACGTTTACTCTGCCACCGAATGCTCCATGGTCAATCATCTACACTAATGGAATTGCTAACTTTATCCCTTCGACCCAACTCTGTAACTAAACCTAACCTTAAGCTCAAAGCCCCACTACACTACTTACAGCTACTTGCGCCCTCTATATAGCAAACAATACGGTGCCTCTTGGTCCCCCATGATCCTCTCTTTTTCTTATGTTAATTGAGAACTGATTTGATGAGATAACCACCTGTCAGTGACCTTGCAGAGAGGTCCAATCCCCCTGGCCAAACTAGTACAGACAGGATTTAAATGCCAAGGCAACATTGATCTCAAACTTTTCCTTCTGAATAAAGAAATCATAGAGCATAATGTCAGATTACCGGATCAAAGAATTCTCTTACCTCCTCGATCTTGATATCCACCTCCGCGGTTGTATCCGCCCCGGTATCCACCCCTGTATCCACCGCTCTGGCCATCCCGGTTGTAGTTGTCTCTTCCACCACCGTCTCTGTTATAGCCGCCCCTCCTACCGCCGCCGCCGTCTCGGTTGTAACCGCCCCTCCTACCACCTCCGTCTCGGTAGCGGTTGCCTCCCTGATTGTCTCCGTGGTAGCGGTTGTCCCTGCCTCCTCCCCTGTAGCCACCGCGGCCACCATCCTTGTAGCCGCCTTCTCGTCGGTTGCCGTCCTTGTTGAAGTCGCGACCCTTGAAGCGGTTGTCGCCCATGCGGGCGTCGATGAGACGCTCGTTGTTCTCGACCAGGTTGGAGACCTTGTCGGCTAGACGGAGCGAGAGGTGCTGGAGACGGGTTGGTTCACAGCGGTGCATCACGATGGTAGCAGCTGGCTCATCCCATGAGGCCTGGTCAAAACATAAACATACATGGTATCGATGTTATCGTATGTGACCAACACAAGGTGGTAATAATAATAATAATTCTGCTTTATATAGCGCTTAATACATCTTGGATGTCTCTTAAGCGCTTTACAGATATACTATTATGGTAAGTGATTCAAGGATCTATACAGCAGAAATAAAGATCTGTAACCATTAGAACTCAATCATAATATTTCAATACCATCATCCCTCCAGTCTCCACCATCATCTTCTAATTTGGATGTTTGGGTACATCATATGCCTTGCATTAGGCATGAGTTGAGTTTTTATCTGTTCATATGGGTTAGCTGCCCGTAATATTAAAGCTAGCTATATCACAGCACAAAAAGAAAATCAAGAGGATATCTTACCATGAGTTCTTCATTGATGATCATCTTGCTGACGATGCTGTGTACTGCTGTCTTCTCCAACTCAAACATGTCAGACAGAGTAATCAAGCTGTAGAGAACAAACAAGATAATAAAAATAACACACTCTGATAATAAACTGGTTTGCAATTTTTAAAAGTCGTATTTTGTAATTTTTTAAAATTTATTTACAATTTAATTTGTTGAAATGTATATACCTGTTTGTGTTATGAAGGGCCTCAACGAAAATCAGTATTTATTTGCTGATTGGGCTACCCTTCTTTTTAAAGATGTGTAATAAATTTATAAATAAATAAAACTCATTGCGTTATCTATAAGCTAACATTTGTCATTGACACCAAGCGAATAAATATCTATTTCTTAAAACAAATATTTATCGGACAGTTTTCAAATCATAATTGAATGGGCATGAAAAAGTCACAACTGACAATCTAAAAAATGTTTGATAAACCGCCGGTGAAAGGATTAAAAATAAAATGCAGTTGGCATCGTCAGTGTGCAAACAGGAAGTGATGTGTACAGAGGGGTACAACGATCAATTAATAACCCATTGTGTATTTACATACATGTAGCTTGCCAATGGTTATGGGGTTTTCTTTCATGTCAATTGGTATCTGCATTTGTTTTGATTAAATATTTTTCATCAGATAAACATGTTTCGATGAACCAGTTTTTCATTCATGTGGCAAGGCTCCACACTAAATTTTTCAGTCTCTATACATGAGCCCTATGTAAAAAAAAACAACAAAAACAACAACAACATCCAAATTTTTTGGGGCCAAACTTATATTTCAGGCACCGCTGTTAGGGTCGAGGCCTGCATAAAACAAAAGCAGCCAAACATAGGACATATAGGTAACCCCAATACCTGAACGAGAGAACTTGGCAGTCAATGGATTAATCAATTACTAGTCCAGGGCCCGTTGCATAAAACTTACCATTGATGGTAACTTTGCAATCAATGGCAACTACCATGGTAACAGGGCTCAACAGCCAATCAAAGTCAAAGTTTCCATGGTATTACCATTGATGGCAAAGTTACCATCAATGGTAAGTTTTGTGCAACGGGTCCCAGGTGAATACAAGCAGATGTCTGTTCTTAGGAATAGCTTACCTCAAGGCATCATACACACTGCCGTAGGTGAAGAGGTAGGTCCTCAAGCTCTCCTCCTGTATCTTCCTGTTAGGAGATAAACAAACACAAACAAACGCATGATTTACAGGTAAAGGGCAATAGCAGAGCTGCCAACCTTGTGTGACCAAAAAAAAGGAACCATGATGGCAAACAAAATATTTCCGGGATAACGTAATGGTTAGCAGATCTAGATGACATATAAACTACCTGGGGTATTATGAGTACATAACAAAATTCTTAAATATGTAATGAAATTAAATTATGGCCTATGGGCAAATTTTCATTCAGAAATCTTAAAGCCTTTCCGAGGCGAACAATAACAAAACAGTAGTAGAATGGTAAAAAAGTTGAATAATATTGAATTTCGGTAAAGAGATAATGGGGAGATTGCAGTCAGTGTAACTATGACAAGATAAAATCCACATAGCTGATGTATGTCAAAACGACAATCAGCCCGTCAACAACTACAAAAATTAACATCATTCTGCATCTCCCCTTTCCTTGCCTAACTCAGTAAAACCAGTAGACTAATAACTGAATCACAAATTTAAAAAATAAAAAACAAATAAAAAACAGTTTAAACATTATTCTTTTCAGATTTCTAATAAACTATGAAAAGAAATGAGCAAGTTGACGGGGAAGTTGGTGATATTGATGGAGAGGGGAACAGATACCGATAGAGACTGATAAAAGACATATAGCCATAGAATTTGAGAAAAAGGTCCAGGAAAAGAGGACTATTGTGGGCCTTCTTAACCATCATCATTTAGTAAGGTATGCAGAAAAGGAACAAGTAAGTTGACAGGGAAGTTGGTGATATTGATGGAGAGGGGGACAGATAGAGACAGAAAACACAGGTAGCGATAGAATTTGAGAAAAGGGTCCAGAATAAGAGGAATACTGTGGGCCTTCCTCCTTACCTGGTGATGAGTTTCCTGACGTGGTCAGAGTCCTTGAACAGGTTCCAGACCTTCATGTTCATCTTCTCGTTGATGAGGAACTTCTTGCAGCCTCGCCAGTCACCGTAGCGCATGGCCCTGGAGGCCGCCACCACGTGCTCACGCATGCTCTCAGGGGGCCCTATCAGGGTCTGGCGCTCGCTCAGACGCAGCTGGTGGTGGAAACTCTTGCTGATCATGCGACGACGGATGTCAAAGTGGTGGGCTGGAAATTCAGTAGCGGAAGAAAAAATGATTTTATGATCAAATGTACCGATCCAGCGTCCAAATACCAGTCAAGAATGAAGCCAGATTTGCGATAGCCATATGTCGTTCCAAAGCAACTGCATGACTTGTATCAGAATGTCTCATTAAAAAATCTCAAAGAAGCTTTCCTTGGTGAACAATAACAAAACAGTAGCAGAATGTTTGAAAATTGATTAATATGGAATTTCGGTTAATGAGATAATGATCTACATAATGGGGAGATTGCAGTCAGTGTAACTATGACAAGATAAAAATCCACATAGCTGATGTATGTCAAAACGACAATCAGCCTGTCAGTAATTCAAAAAATTGACATCATTCTGCATCTCCCCTTTCCTTGCCTTTCACAGTAAAACCAGTAGACTAGTAACTGAATCACAAGTTTAAAAAATAAAAAACAAACAAAAACAGTTTTAATAGAATTCTCTTCAGATTTCTAAGAAACTATGAGAATTCTTTTGGGGGATATGGAATGACTTCAGAGCCTATTCACTCAATCATCTACAATCTTTTTTTTACAAATGGTAAAATAATTTTCAAATAATTTTTAATAAAGTTAAAAAGAAATGAAATTAGCATATGAAATGAGAAATCTCAAGCCTCGATGAACTCACATGCCATGTAGGGGATCTCAAGCAGCATAGCAGAGACCAGGTAGACACACTCTAAGAGCTCTAGGTTGATGTGCATGTGGAAGGGCAGCTGACGGCTCTTCTCTATCTTCTCCTGCTGTGCGTCACGCTCCTGCTGCCTCATGAGAAGACCCTGTATCAGATGAGATTAACATGAGGGAGAATATACAAGAAGATGAAATATGATAACTGCCTGTTGCAAAATTCAAAATTCATCGTTACATAGTTTCAGCTTCTACGAACCTTAATAAAGGCATCGTTTAAATATGTTAAATCTGAGATGCATGGCCCTGCATGTTTTCAGTGTCTGTGATATGGTGTAATATTGAAGCCCCCCCCAAAAAAGTAGAAATCTTTGAGTGACCGGTTTTACCATACTCATTTTCCCCAATAGACTGTAGTGTAATAAAATCTGTTGGGAAAACGAAAAATGAAATTTTGATTTCCAATCATAAACATCTTGATAATTAGACAGGCCATCGTCTTGTAAAAAAAGTCAGGGGATTCCTGAGTGACCTAAAGGTTTTATAATTATGATTGCAGCATGAGCTAAATCGAGGATTCTGTTTCAGAATCTGAGGCAATGTTACAGAGTCACTTTAAGGTTGGAAGATGTTGATTTTACATGTTATGAATACCCCAACCAATGCAAGTTTCTCTACAAAAATGATATCCGCCTTACAAATCATGCCATGCAGAATGTAAGAGGGTTGATCCTTGTCTTACCTGAGCTAGAAGTTCCTTGGCTCGTCCTCCGCTCTGGATATCAAGCAATGCATTGTGGGCATCCCTGATGTTACCATGACGGAATGCACACAGACCGAGCTGAACCATGGTACGGTTGTACAGAATCTGAAGGAAGAAAACAAATGGACCTTTCACATTTTGTTTTAGTATTCGCTATTAATTTGACAAGAGCATCGAATCAAATCAAATCACGCAGTACCTATGAAAAATCTTATTCCAAGTACTTTGCAAAAAATTGTTCCACCAACTTTAACTCCATGCAGTGGTTGCCAAATCCTCCCCCAAATTGAATAGTGTTGTTTCGATTTGGAACTAAGAACCCGTTCTCACTCATTCCTAGCCCGATCCAGGCTAGACTGATCCAGCGGATTGCTCCACAGGTTCGCTTCGTTTTGTGTACACACTCACGAGCTAGACCGCTTTTGTTGCTATGGTATAGTGCGAATGAGCTAAACCGCTCCTGTTGCTGGGGGTTGCAAAGGTCAGCGGGTCAAATGTTTTGAGTGCTGTACACATAATTTCTTGCATAACACACACACACCGGCCAAATCGCAATTCCGGTTGAAGATCGCTTCCTAGCACGATTTGTGTACACATTGCAAGCTAGATCGGTCTGGGGCAATCTAGGAAGCAAACTGGTCAAGAAGACCACATTGCCGATGTGGTCTTCTGGATTGGTCCAGAAGATCGCTTACTAGACCGCTTGTGGGTTAATCTAGCCTGGATCGGTCTAGGAATAAGTGAGAATGGGGTCCAAGAGTTTGACTGTAGTGTGCTTACCTGCGTGGGGATATCAGAGAACTGGATGGTCTGTTGCAGATGGGACATGAGCATAAGATCTCTGGCAGTGTACCAACGGTCATGGATAGCATAATGATAGATGTGACACAGCATCGTCCTGGTACGGATCAGATCGGTGGTGTCCTTGGAGTAGATGTACTTGCACATCCTGTCCATCAAGGTCAGAGAATCCTCTTCTATTATACAAAGAAAACAGACAAATTCCAAATGAAATACAATCAAACCTGCTTTAGTGGTCATCTGTCTACAAAGACCACCTGTTTACAAAGACCACATTTTTTGTTTCCCTTGAAAATGGTTTCTCATTGAAACATGCACTGAAGGAACCTGTCTACAAAGACCACTTTTTGTGTTTTCCTTGGGCGGTCGCTATAGACAGGTTTGACTGTATTTCAATTCAAACCCATCGGAATGCACAAATTTGGTGCAACAAACATATACATTGATGGGACCACAGTGCAAACTTTGATGGGAGGGAACTGCAACTCTAAAAAGAAAGTAGGACAATCAGAGAAGCAGACGACTGGTGACATTTTTAATGAATTCTGACAAAAAATAATAAAGTTATGAATATGTTAATGTTGTAATCACTATACAAAGTAAGGCTGCGACAAGTACTCGGATACTCTCCCATATAGGTTACTTTCCTGAGGCCGTCATCACGTTCAAGCTCTAGCTTAAGATGATGGTCTCCTGCATTTTTTTCAATTCTGAAATGATTTGTTAACTATGCATTTTATAATTATTTAATGGATTTACATTACATGATTACATTATGTTGTGTTTTTTTACTTTTGATAATATATATGTACCTAGTTTGTATACTACTTTGTATTATGTTGAAAAATGCAGGAATATAATCAAACAGGCCTTAAATTTCAATATTTTTAGGGCAAGGCCAATTTTCTGTAGGGCACATTCCTATATAACAGCACAAATAGGAAGAATTGGAAAGGGCACAAAAAATCTCCCAAGGCCAATGAGAGGGGCATTGAGGCCAATCAAAGGGGCATCCACGGCCATGGCCTTAGTGGCCTTGGATTAATTCAAGCCCTGAAACAAAAACAAACAAACAAACAATTATTCATTTGCTTTAATTCTTACCTCCCTTTCCCTTCTCTTTCTCTTCTTCTCCTTCTTCTAGTTTGACCTCTTCTGTTGGTTTCTCTTCTTCCTTCTTCTTTTCTCCCTCACTCTCATCTGTCTTTTCCTGACTCTCTCCTTTCGTCTTTTCTTGGCTTTCATCCGTCTTTTCCTGGCCCTCTCCCTCCGTCTTTTCTTGGATCTCATCTGTCTTTTCCTTGCTCTCATCCGTCTTTTCCTGGCTCTCTTCTTCCGTCTTGGCACGCGACTTCTCCAGTTCACGTAGCTTCTCATAGTCGTACTACAAAATAACCACATCATATTCATCACTATGTGACTAACTTCCATTGGGAGTTCTGAGCTGACCACACAAAAATTACAATACATTTCATGCCTCATGCAAACAATTTCAAAATGACTGTGATTTTTTTTGCCCTTCAATATTTCATGCTCATTTACTGTGATTTTAGATGACTTCAGTCCACATTTTCAGAAACAAGATAACTAATCACGGATGATCAGTCGAAAGATGGTTTGTTTTGCATCATCATGAAATGTGGCTCAGTTATGGATATATCCCAATTAATATTTGATTCTTGAAGTACGATACCTTACCCAATTCATATTCATGTATATAGAATAACATGAACATTATTCACTGCATGGAATAGAAGATGCTTAAAAAAAAAATTCAATTACATGTGGGATACGGAAATAACATATGGAATTGACTTTCCACGCTATTTCTTAAACCCATATAAGTTTGCTAAGAATGTTGTCCAAGCCCAAATTTGAGTACAATACTTATATTTCGGGCTTGGATATTGAATTGATACCATTCAAAGAAGGTTGACTGACTGACTGACCTTGTAGTAGATATGTTGGATGTTCCTCAGGTAAACCCTGCAGATCTCGGAGGATGTACTCGTATTCTCAAGATGGGACTGCAGTTGCACGATGAGGCCTGTCACAATAGTCTCATCCTTCAACCTGTAAGACAGACAACACAATCAGTTTTAGATGCTGCTTATAAGTATCGGCTTGCATGGTGATGTAGATATACAGTATGCTTGCGGTTGCACCATGCGAGAGACGGATAGTCAACCTGTTCGAAACTTTGAGCCACTCCTACTACCCATCCATTCCAACCAGCGCTATAGTTCTCCTTAGGACTATAAGCTAAGAAAGATAACCAATAGTCTTTTTCAAGACTGCCAACTGTCCTTTTTAGGACTACACACTTTCAAGAAAGAAAAATTACTGAGAGTCCTTTCCAGGTCTTCCCAATCCTCACCCATCTCTCACATGGTGCAGCCGCAAGCCTACTGTATACAATCGGTTTTTGTTGCAAACAGATCTAAACTTACTGAAACAAAAATGTCATAGTCCATGGCAAGAAATTCAATACAAATCAATGGATAAGATCAGATTTCTCCAAAGCTGACCTGTATGTTCACAGATCTTTTGAGAAATGCACCAATTAAAGGAAAAGAGGTATTTTTTGAAAAAAATGGAAGGATAAATTTCAAGAAAATCGAGAGTTCCGGTAATGATAGAAAGTGCTGGATGGACCAGAATGATACCTATTACAGAACCTTGGTAGAATATGCAGAATACCTCAGTAGCAAAAAAGAACATGTTATAAATCACTAATTCATTCATGCACCCCATTTTAGTCTAACCTTTCCACATATTCTGTAGAGTGGGCATCCGTTGCTTGAAGCATCTTGGTGAATTCCTCGTCTAGACGTTCAGCCACCGTCAGAATGCAACCTCGGACCTTGTACGGAGGCTCCTAGGTTGGGGAAAGAACAAATCTCATAGTTAACATATGTATCACCTGAATAAATCTGCAGTGCTATTGTCAGTCAGTCATTCACAGGTTAACTAAGCAGAACATGCCTGACATGGCAGACTGATGAATAATCCACACCAATTGCTGAAATTTCTCTCTTTCTCTGAGGGGCAACGTTTCCCTGATTTCAAAATAGGGTTTAACTGAAATACTATCACCGTTATCAATATGATCATCATTGCTTTCATCATCATCACCTTCACCACTTGTACCACCAACATCGCCACTGAAATAAACCATTGACATCACCGTCAACATCACCATAACCACTATCATCAACACTATCACCATTATTATCATCAACACCATCATCAATATCACAACCAGTAACAGAATTGTAACCTCAATACAACATTCTTGTTGGAGGTTTCTGCCCATCAAACAGATGAAGAGCACATTTCATACTTTTATTCAACTGAACCCTGTTCATACTTCCATTCAACTCAACCCTGTTCATGCTTTCATTCAGCTGAACCCTGTTCATACTTTCATTCAATTGAACCCTCTTCACAATTACATTCAACCGATTCCTGTTCATACTTCCATTCAACTGAACCCTGTTCATACTTTCATTCAACTGAACCCTGTTCCTACTCTCATTCAACTGAACCCACTTCATACTTTCATTCAACTGAACCCTGTTCCTACTCTCATTCAACTGAACCCTGTTCATACTTTTATACAACTGAACCCTGTTCATACTTTCATTCAACTGAACCCTGTTCATACCCTCATTCAACTGAACCCTGTTCATACCCTCATTCAACTGATCCCTGTTCATACTTTCATTCAACTGAACCCTGTTCATACTCTCATTCAACTGGACCCTGTTCATACTTTCATTCAACTGAACCCTTTCCATACTTTTATTCAACTGATGCCTGTTCATTCGTCAATCAATCAATCAATCAATACTTACTGATAGGCTTTCAGCATCTTCATTCAAGTTCTCAGAGACAAACACATCTGGGTTGGCCATCAGGATATCAAGCATCTCCTGCATAAGAGCCAAGCACCTGCAAGGAAAGCATGCCCATAAAAAATGTTCAGTCTCTCAACGTCTTTAGAACATATATTTGGTGAGCAAAAGAGTCTGAATTCCCACCTTCCAGGTCCAGTTTCTTGCCTCCTCCCCTTCTTAGGACAGGTGTAGACAATTCTGTTTATCAATATTTTTCATCTATGATACTAAATGGGTTGGAAGCTTTGAATATAGACTCACCGATATGTAGCCATACACATCTTTAAAAAAATAGACCCCCTCCCCCCCCCCCCCCCCCCAGTCCTGCCCTGCCTTGAAAATGGCCTCAACAATCATCAGATTTCATACATGTGGCTATGTTAGGGTTGTAAAGAAAATCAGCCGACATGGCACGAAAGGGGGGGGGGGGGGTAGTTGATCTATTATTGATTAAAAAAACATGAACAATTCTTACATTTCCCAGATGGCAGGCTTCATGCACGTGGCCACGTTAGGATTGTAATCAAAGACGGCCGACATGACGTGGAAGGCTACCTTCAGGTCGACGCCCAGTCCGAGGTTGTGCTGACTGGCAATGTTCCTCAGCTCCTTCAGCAGCTCAATCTGGTCTGCACGATTGGTCGCCCTCTTACCTCGAGCGCCGACGATCTCGCCGAGTTTCTTCAGGACAACGGTAGGGGTAATCTCCACATCCTTGGCAAACATTTTGGGCTTCTCCTGTTAGGATGTAGATTAATATTCAAACTTTATTTCTACATTTTCAAAAAATAAACCGAATGGAATTGAACATTTAAAGAGAAGCATGAGAGAGATATTCAATAATAAAATCTCAAGAATAACTCTCCCAAATCAATTTTCATTCCCTTTGGCCGTATTTAATAGCTAGTGTGCAAGTGCAGAACACAATAAAAGAAAATTAAGACAACTCTGTATTCAAATTGTTTTTTCATTTGGAATATAGTACAAACAGACCACATAGATACAAATAAAATGTTGAGGGTTCTTTTCTCTTGTTATTATTTGCTTTAATACCTCAATATAAACAGTAATTCATGAAACAATAGGGAGCTACGAAAAATAATAATCTTTACAGGATAATGTGTATCCAGTTAGGGCTGTTTGGGGGGGGGGGGTGTAAATAATTCAGTAATCTATTATTCTGAAAAGGAAAAAATAAAAATACTTATTCAAGAACCAGAAAAATCAAACAAAGAAGCAATGTGATTGAAAAGAATGACTTCAGTCCACATTTTCAGAAACAAGAGTACTAATCATGGATGATCAGCCGAAAGATGGTTTGTTTTGCATCATCATGAAATGTGGCTGAGTTATGGCAAAATCCTAATGGTAAAGCAGTGGTCTTGAAACTGGGGGGGGGGGGGGTACAAAATACCTCAATATAAACAGTGATTTAAATAATAGGGCACTACGAAAATCAAGAATCATTACAGGATAACGTGTATCCAGTTAGGGCTGTTTGGGGGGGGGGGATGTTAATATTACAATGATAAATTATTCTGAAAAGAAAAAGAAAAGAAAAATTAAATACATATTCAAGAACAGCAGTTAGTTCAAAGAAATGACTATGACTGCACAACCTGCTTATTTAACACAGAAGGTGACCTTGAACTGACCTTCTCAAGTTTGATGCCACCTTTGACCTTTTCCCATTTGCCTTCTCCGTCTTCATTTTCTTCTTCCTCCTCCAAAGCTTCCTCATCTTTCGGTCGCACTCTGTCCTTGCGACGCTCCTTCTTCTTGGAGGCTTTGTCATCACCAGTCGTCGTCCTAGGCAAAGATTAAAAGACAGAAGACAACATAATGATGGCATTATCTAACTCTTTGCCTGCTTTGGACAACTAATGGAACACACACTGAACTGCCACAGTCGACTTTTGTCACAGATACGTAGTATAGTTCACAAAAACTTCTGAATATGTTACTACAAAAAGCACATTGGCTCATTCCACATGCAAGTTGATCAAAGATGGCTACTGTCGAGACATTAGAGCGTCAGAATAAGCCAGTTCGTAAATACTATCTGCGCAAAAGTCATTTGTACCTAAATTTTAAAACCCATCGCGACGAATACTAGTTTCGTGCTCGTGAAAGTTATACACTGCAGTACATTTGTCTGATACACAGGTGGAAGTATTTTTCTCAAGAGGCAAACTAAAAGGTATTCATGAAGCACCTCAATCACTTCGGCAGTGATTATTCTAAAATGCACAAGTGGGACATATCCATCGTGTTGAAGATCTGTGGATATTTTGGGGTCCTGAAAAGCACTTACTTCTTCAAGAAGTACTCCGCTGTGAGGGTCGTCATTCCTGGTACGTCGTCATCAGAGGTAGAATCCTCCGACATGGATGCATCCCAACTATCATCAGACTCATCATCCTGTAACAAAGTCAAAATAATTGTAACATCTAGTTATCTTAACCCTTGAAATCACTCAAGTGGAAAATCCTACCCAAGAAGGTCAATGTTCTAGCTAAATTTTGGACTAAATATAGCTATGTCTTCTTTCTTCATGTAAAGCCATGTCAAACAATTTTTAGAAATTATTAAAAAAACATATGAGGTTATGAGAAGAAAGAAACTCAAACACTGAAAGGCACAGGCACACAAAGTACATGTACACCAAACTGACAATCAACAAAAATACATATAGAATTCCCAAGCGACAACAGTGTTTGTAAATGGAAAAGACATGACTTTTAAAGATAACCGGACTAGAATTATCATTAATTCTATCCTCTTATCCCTTCCAACGCAGATTGAGGACCCGGTAGGATGACGAAAGCATTTGTGTTAGTAACTGACCATACGGTAGGAATACTCCTAGAAAGTGGAGATGGTGCACATTGTGCGTGAATGGATCAGGAGACCGGAGTAATAATATCTGAAAAGCCTTTAGAGACCTAATTCTGTGTTTAGCGCTATATAAATCCAGATTACATGTATTATTATTATTTCTACCAAATCTACAATTTTGACCATCATCGTTTAACATTTAACAGTGATCAAAATCAAGACATCTATGGGAAGAGTGACATATTGATTGGTACTTACATAATCTCCTTCTTGTTTGACCTTTGGAGGTGCGACCTTCTTCATGACAGGAGCAGATTTAGGTTCATCCTCTTCACTATCGCTCTCTTCATCTTTCTTCTCCACTTCGCGCTCCTCCTCTTCCTTGTCTTCTGCATCTGGGTTCTAAACGACGAGATGAAATTTGATTAAAGGTAAAGACCAATTTTGGAAATGCCCCCCCCTCTCAAAAAATGAAATGGAAGCTCTTATTACCAATCATGTGAAAGAATGTGTTTCGACTAATACGTGATGATGCAAATTTTCCCGAGAAACTGCCTACTAATTGATATATTTGGTAAATTATTATATTTATCCAGTCTGGATAGATATAATAATTTACTGTGTAGTCCCATATATATCTATCTGTGTACAGATGTTATGTCCTTCACCTATGAGAGTACAGTAACCATGTCCCTACAATGGGATTACAAAATATATATCATCTGATTTAAAACCGGAAGTTTTATCACAAACAATTTTACAAATTGGTAATTTTGGCTTCATCTTTTGCAGCAAGAAATTCATGAATAACATCTACACATGAAAGAGTACATTATGATTTATAAAATATTGAAGTAAGATGCTCATAGTCTCTCTTTAATGGTTAAGATTCTTTCAATGGCTTTAGTCCACATTTTCAGAAACAAGATAACTAATCATAGACGATCAGAACAAAGATGATTTGTTTTGCATTATCATGAAATGTGTACGAGTTATGGTGAAATCCCAATCATACCTTACTCAATTCATGTATAATTATGTACATAGAATAACATGAACATTATTTACCGAATGGAACGGCATGATCCACACACGGAAATATGAATTACGGTTATCAAAATGCTTTTGGCTCAGTTTTAAGAGCTTTTAAGGTAAGCACTGTGTACTGCTTGCATTATCAGATGAGTGGTAGCGAAAAGTAATTATCATTACAAAAGCATATCTCCCTTTGAAAGTGGCCCGTTAGTTTCCAGCTAGGCAAGAACCTTTTGTCCATGTATCTGCAAGGAAGATCCAGTTAAACACATGCCTGACATATTTTCTTTTGGCGGCTTTGAAAATGGTACAAAGAGAATGAGCTAGATATGACTCCATCTCTTAAAACTCATTGGTAAAATAATGAAGATCACTACAACAAGTACATAAATGCTTTTTAATTTAGCATGAAATACTTACATCTTTGTATTTAGTAATCTGTGCGTCGAGCTCCTTCATGTATTTCCGGAGCTTCTGTCTCAACGAGGAGAGCGACTTGGCATTGGCCTTGTTCAGCTTCTTCTTGTCTTCCCATAACTAACATTTGAATAATGATAATAATAATAAATTGTTTCTTTTATAGCACTATATTTAATTTACAACTGATCAAAGCGCTTTACAAAACAAATACATCAATGAATTAAAACTCAACAAAAATATGATAGAAAATGTAATGCAGTTAATTACAATGTAAATAGGTGTGTTTTGAGATGTTTCTTAAATACTTCAATTGACATACTACATCGTAATTCACAAGGTAACCTATTCCACGTAACCGGACCACTGTAGTTAAGTATCAAACAAAGAGCAATGTGATTAAAAAGAATAACACAACCTAAGTCACATATCAGAGTCAGATAAGATGCTCCTAATCTCTTTTTAATATTAAGATTCTTTAAAGATGTTCATGCGTGGGTACGAGTCGTTCGTGAAGTACGCAACTTGGCGATCCCTACATAACACTGGGCCAATGGGTATTACGTTCCTGTGCATACGTCCGTGTGCTGCCCTCTATATACCCACGCTTGAGCAACTTTAAATGACTTCAGTCCACATTTTCAGAAACAAGAGTACTAATCACGGATGATCAGCCGAAAGATGGTTTGTTTTGCATCATCATGAAATGTGGCTGAGTTACGGCATATTCCCAATGGTAGACCAGTGGTCTTGAAACGGGAAGGTCCCAGGTTCAAAACCAAGTCAATGCGCTGATTGCCCTCGTGCCATTTGGTAAGGCATTAATCCTCATTACCAATTCCCTAAAAAGAGGACTTAAAGCCATCGGTCCCCAGGTTGTTTACTCATTAGCATATACATGCTTTCTTGGCAGTCAGGTAAAACAATCATAATGAAACATAAAAAAACAAAAAGAAACAAGATCTATGTACAGGTTTTCTTGGAACTATGTCTAATCATTTGTCTTGATTCCAAATTGACTATTATGAATATTTACTGCTTGAACAAATATCGGAACACCATCTATTACAACTCCAGCGGTAACAACATATCTTAGACAAAACATGAAGCAAATTTTGCCTGAGCATGTCGGACCACCACAGCAAAAATGTGTACATCCCAGATACAGTAGTTGCCATCATTACAGACGACTGCTGAATCACCAAGTAGTTTTGGCGGCACAACCAGGGGTGAAAGTGAGCACTTTTTTCCTTCTCAACCTACCACCCCTGGAGTTTAAAAAAAAAAAATAGAATTCGGGGGGAAAAAATGGCATTTAACAACATTCCCCCCACTTTGGAGTAAGAAAATTTGGAAAAAATAGGAAAATTCAGGGAAAAAAGGGAAAATAGGGGTATAATCGGGGAAAGAACAACAACAAACAAACAAACAGGAAACCAATTTTCCTGCACAACTTACTTCATTGACGAATTCCTCCAGTTCCACAAGACAACGGATGTAGAACCGAGGGCACTGGCCATCGTCGGTGTTGAGCACATTCTGAGCCTTGGTATACACTTTCATCATCTCCTCAAAACTGGTCAGGACCCGGGAGACATCTCGTATCTTCTTCTGATTTTTGATCTGTTTGATGAACTCCGATATCTCGTCATGTCTACAAAGGAAACAAGCAAGGATCAGTGACTAGATCAAGTAAGGATCAATGACTAGATCAAGTAAGGATCAGTGACTAGATCAAATAAGGATCAGTGACTAGAACAAGTAAGGATCAGTGACTGGATCAAGTAAGGATCAGTGACTGGATCAAATAAGGATCAGTGACTAGATCAAGTAAGGATCAGTGACTAGATCAAGTAAGGATCAATGATCAGTGACTAGATCAATTAAGGATCAGTGACTAGATCAAGTAAGGATCAAAGATCAGTGACTAGATCAAGTAAGGATCAGTGACCAGATCGAGCCAGGACTGAAGGTTTAATTTTCAGCCACAAATTTACGGAAAAGAATCATCCAAGTCATGTAGGAGCCCATTACTTTGTACAATACATCACTTGAAAAAGAGAGGCGGCAGTGCTGCAAATAAGGCAAAAGCCTGAAAACTGGAATAAACATAATTTAAGACTCCTCTGTTGGCAAGATGTGTCAGTTGCTGGCTCGTAATGCCCAAAAGTCAATAAACAAGATAGCAGAGTATATTTCGTGTCAAACTTGACTCTGGGAAACAACAAGATTTTTTTTTATCATGAAAGGATCATAAAATGATATAATGTGAACATAAAACACTTTGTGGGAAATTGCATTTTGAGCTTTTCAATGTGACCTCATTCTCTATTGATCAATGTTTTATGTGCACAAGTCAACATCTTTAATAATACCTATTCAGAATAAAAGAATTAAATCTTCTTTCAAAGGTTTTATCCTTGCATGCCTATTCATGCAAATTATTCCCCCCCCCCCCAGAAAAATGCAGCCTACCTTTTTGACTTTGCACTGCGCACAACACGCTTGGTCTCCTCTTCATCGTCACTCAGAAAGAAACGAGTCAAGGGGGCCTGCTTCTGTGGGACTAGGATCCCGTCGTCACTGGATTCCGAATCACTTTCCGTCGATGATCCTCCTGCAAAGAATCGCGATGCCATCGTGGATGCTATTCACTTTCTACCAGCTTCCTTGAAAAATATTTGCCACTGATTGGTGGAGTACAGATTTATCTGGGAAAAAAACAAAAACAAGGAGAAAATCCATTAATGAACTTTTGACTTGGTTTAATACAATATCATGCAAAAAATATCAAGAAGGGAATTATGAATAATGTAAGACCCACATTTGTAATCTATTGTTGAAAAGCAAAGAGAGAAAGAGAGAGGGGGAAGGGAGAGGAGAAAATGAAAACTGAATAATAAATGAAATTGAGGATTAAGTAACATGGCCTTTTCTGTCGGTGGACTTTAAAATGACCCGCTATTTTGAATACTTTAAAGAACACTTTCCACACAAAAAACAAACCCTATGGCTGTTTGCATGAAAAGGGGTACAAAATGGGCTCTGAAATATAACTTAACCCAGCCATGCACAAAACACAAACACGTCAATCAATCATGCAACACGGTCCTCGCCCTAGCGTCGTGTCGGCAGGCACAGCTCAGTCAGGGGAATAAATTATCATATCGACAGCTTTGGCATTTGCCTTACACAAAGCATAGAACATAAGGTAAAATATATTCAAATACAGTCCAATGACGTTGGCAGGTAGGATTGATTAAAAATCCAAGTTACAAATTGCTCCAACACAATTCACAGTCACAATGATTTTGCATTGCAGATCACACAGTCAATCGAGCCATTCCTGCAATCCTCACTCGCGCTCGTCCAGCTAGACATTCATAATTTCACTTTTACAGAGAGGGCCGAGAAGAGAATATTGAAATCAAGCATCCAACATGATAGTTTAAGATATTAAGTACTTATTCTTAACATTAAATTCGTAAAGACAACATTATTTTGGCGATTTTCAGGCAGCAATATGTTGGTCTACTTACCTCTCCTCAGAACGGAATGGCCGCCATTGCATATGTTGAATGAATGCATTGCGCGCGCTCTCACAGGAGTGATATAATAGCGCATAAAACGAACTCATTTCAATACCTGCCTGAGTGGTTGATCAAATTATAAGCACGAAGGAACTTTGCGCTAGTATATCCCGCGCGCTCGTACGCATGTTCTGTTCTGCTCCATGCCAAGGTTCCATATGCAGCAGTCACACGTGCAACTGCTGTGCATGGAAGATGTTGAAAGAGTCGGCCCAAATAAACTCAACACCATTGATTTCGCCTTATCAGTGTTTTTCGCCGGATAAATATAAATAAACTTACAATATCTCCCGAATATCTCACTGTAACTTTAGTCTTGTACGTTGTACCCTTCGACATGGCATGGCTGTGAGGCTTCTTTTGGTTGGTTGGTTTTATTTTCCGTATAAAAATTCAAATACATACAAGAATACAATACAAATCAAGAATTAAAAACGGCTGGAAGTGGAATGCTCTATTAAGAGCCATTATTAAAAGGCTCTGTCCTCCTATAAGGTGAGGTCCTTTTGGTTGAACAATATCTTTAAATGTTATGTTTGTTTCAATGATCATGACTTTTATTGACAATAAGGAAGATTTAGGTTGCTTGAAACATTGATCATGAAAAATTAAAAACCATCTTAAAATTCTACCTATAATCATCAGGTTTATCTTTATTATGGATTATTAAGTTGATTTTTTTCTATTTTTTTTGTTGTTGCTATAAAATAATCCCGATCAGCTCGATCTGTGGATCATTTTTTTCCTTAACAATCATAAAGTCCAGTGCTCACCACGGATCATACAGATGATACAGATCAGTAGTGATCTATGGCGTGGTATACTCACTGGACTGAGAGGCATGAAAAAAAAATGACTGAAGAATTAGAACAAAACCATATGATAAATGTGCAGTGAGATATTATAACTCATTGTAACTATATTATAGCAACAATGAGATGTTAAAAAGTTGGTTGTATAAGCTATCATTGCCACAGATATAATAGGATTCTGCTCTAGCTCCCTGCATGCTTTATAATTATTTTTTATTTTCATTTGCAAAGTTTTAATGGTAATTGAATAATTTATGTAGTCTAGGGCTAATTTGTAATGCAAATTCAGTATACCTTTACGTATATCCTTTACTTATCAAGTATTTTCCTTCTTAATCACTCAGAGGTAATATGAAATTTGCGGTATACAAATATATTATTATTATTACTAGATCTATAGAGTTAATTATACAAATTTATTTGAGACAGGCAAGCTTTTATACGAGATCGAGACGAAATTATGCTGAGTTGAAGTTGGGCGACATTGAAGTACCATCACCGTCCTTTTAAACTGCACAAACCCGCATGTGATCTACGTGTTCGAACACTGAACTTCTGCAGTGCCCGAGGTTTCGGCCAAGATTAGACTCAGACTTCGCTGATAGCTGCCATTGCATTGCGGTCGTCCATCAGTCTACAAGTCATTGGCGACGTAGACAATTTTCTATTTCGCGGGGCTAATTCGCTATCAAAATGGGGAAGAAAGCGAAAATTGGAAAGCAGAGGAAGGACAGATATTATCATCTTGCCAAAGAAACAGGTTTGTCAATCAAATGAATTGATAATAACGCATTTTGGGGTTCATGTTGTTTGTTAGTGTGACTTTTGTGAATTGTGAAGTTGTGAATGTGATTGTAAATATATCAGTCAGACTCGGTGCCACTTTTTTTTTTATGGATGATCATGATGGACATGATGAAGTGAGTTGTAAAAGAATATCTGGTTGTTGTTCAAATTATATGTTGACTAATAAAATGTAATAAAATCATTCTTAGGGGCGCTGGTCTGAGAATGAGGATCGTCCGCACAAAATTAAAGAAGGTCTACATGGACAATGCGGACGATCCTTATTTTCGCGGACGCGTCTGTCCGCGTTTATGGAAACGATCCTCGTTTGTGCAGATGATCCTTATTCTTGGACCAGCGCCTTTAGTGATAATATTTCTGTCTAAGTTAACCATTTTCATAAACATAATGATTTAATGTCATTCAATTCATTTAACTCTGGAAATATATAATGCATATAATTCAATGCAGTGGTATGTTTGTGTTTGTTTGCATTGCAGTCTTAATTGACATATTTGTGACTTTTCTTCTCAATCAGGTTACAGGTCAAGATCTGCCTTTAAGTTGATTCAGCTGAACAGAAAGTTCTCCTTCCTCCAAGAGTCCAGAGTCTGTATTGATCTCTGTGCAGCACCAGGAGGATGGTGAGTACCATGATAAAGTCCAAACCTCAGGACAAAGTAACAATATTGCAGGATTTACAGAAAGTCATTTAAAACCCATCTGCACCAGTTTGGCCTGGGGGGATTAAACCTCCCTGCAAGGTCACTGACAGGTGGTTATAGGCAAGCTTTGATCACAGTGTACTAATATTATGTCCTAAAAAAAAGATTGGCTCTCTTTAACAGGTAAGATGTTCTTCTTCTTCTTTGGTATAATCCTCAACTTCGCATTAGGAACCAAACAAGGATGAGGGGGTGCCCACTGTTAGTTAGTGGAGGATAAATAGAGAGAGAGAGAGAGATGGAAAAGAGAAGAAAGAAAAAGAGGAAGAAGAAAGAACAAGAAGACCAACAAATAAAGAGAAGAAGAAAAAAAGAAGGAGGAAAAAGATATCATAGGGCGTGTTCACACCGCAAGGGGGGACCGTGGGAGGACCGTGGATCAGGCTATCGTAGCGCGACCCACGGTCCGCCCATTGGCATTCGCCGGATCCACACCATTCGCCGTAGCACCCCCTTTTTTTGAGAGGTCCTGTTGTCATGACGCGTGACGTCATGAGGTCAGAGCGGTCAAAGATTTCGTGCGCTATTGCTAATTAGGAGTGTTGAGTTGTACCGATTCAGATTCAGATCGCACCAAAATAGAATGAGTGTAAAATTCCCGCGTGTAGAACAATGACTTCCAGCGTGCTATTGTAGCTCGGGTTCACACCGGCAGAGATAGCGCGCTAGACCGCGCTATCTCTCGTGGACCACCCCCAAGAGGTGCTCCAGTGGCACGCCGTGGCTCGCTGTTGGGCGGACCGAAACGACGTTGTACCTTCCACACCGCAGAGATAGACCGCGCTATCTCTGCCGGTGTGAACAGCCTCATATATAGAGCATAGACTTACAGTAACAGAGTCAAAGGGAAGATATGCCAGACATATGATTCATAACACTAGATTAAGGAAGAAGAGAAATAATAGCCAACCGGGTAATTTTAAGTCTGCTTTTCTATATTTCTTCCTTCACAGGCTTCAGGTAGCATCAAGGAACATGCCCATATCCAGTATGATTATTGGTGTGGATCTGTTTCCTATCAAACCCATCCCTAATGTGGTCTCCTTCACTTGTGACATCACAACAACCAAATGCAGAATGGTAAGTACTTAAACCAACAATCCATTCCCTTACCACAGTGTATGACCTCTTGTAGAAAATGTGGTTCAAATATTCAAGCATAATATTTCTGCTGGTTTACAAACTGAATTACCGGGTACCAACATTTATGAAGTGTTGAATGAAAATCTGAAATCAATTAGGAAACAAATTATAATTATTTGTACATTCACAACTGCTGCTCCCAAGCTGTGGAATAACCTGCCTATATTTTTTTCGCAAACGGCAATCTCTCAATTACCTTCCAAACCATCTGAAAGCTCACCTCTTCTGTGAATACATGCACCATAGCTGTAAAGCCCATATGAACATGTATATGGAAAATGCAGTAGAGTAATACATTACAGTGAAAAAAATACACAGGACTCGGGGCGAATTAGCCCCCGAAATGCTAAAAAGAGCCCTGTAAAGTCATAAAAGAGCCCAACAAAATTTGCATAGAGTTCAATGCAAAACAAATTAAAGAGTGTTATTTTCATGCAAGCAAGCTTGAAAAGTAGCCCCCGATTATTTTTAAGTATTTTTTACCCTGATACATTATCATTACAGCAATTGCGCAAAGAGATGAAGACATGGAAAGCTGATTGTGTTCTTCATGATGGAGCTCCTAATGTTGGAACAAGTTGGGTACTGGATGCTTTCACACAAGGTCAGTTTTCCTTATCAAAGCCAGAACCATTTGATAGAGTATGAAAGAACAAGTTGTAGGTTTTCTATTGACATAAAGCTCAAGAATGGGCATATTACCTATGCAGGGGCATTCTGTGGAAGTTTTGTTTGCAAAGGTAATAAAGAAAACAGCATTATAGATTACAAATATGTATGATACACTGCCATCTAGCATCTGTATGATCCCCCCTGCAATCCTAGGACCAAGGTTGTTACCACAGGGGCTTCGTTCTTGAACAAACTTTACTTTGTAACGTTTTTCAATTTTCTGCCTTTTCTAAATCTTATTTTGTATTATTTACTTTATGTTATGGTTATTGCTCTATCCTGTTTAGTGAATTTGTTTCTTATTATGTAAATTATTTGTAAATATTGTGATTTCCATTGACTTGCCATTAAAAACACAAATTAAAAAAAAGTAAGAAAAATAAAAAAAGATGTTGTAATTAAGTGCAATGGACCTTGAGACAGATTGGCCTTGGGCTAAACAAGTTATCCCATTATTAAAAATAAACTTGAGTTCTGGTAATGCGATTGCATTGTGAAAGAAAAGGTGTGGAATGGATCAGAAAAGTTGATCATATAGCATGTAAGTAATGGTGTGTAATGCAAGGTTCTGGAGTCATCAAAATCATCATAAATTTGGCAGAGTCTTGGTAAAGTAACAATCAATTACACAGAAAGATGTATATGGGACAACACACATGGTGTCGGGGCTAGTACTACCCTGATTTCCTTATCTTTCTATGCTCATTACTCAGCCAGTATACATTTTCTTCCAAAATTGTTTGGCACATGACATTTATTTGTAATCTTGAACATTCAGTGTAAGTTTCGTTTGATTCTGTGAGAATTATTTTTTTTTTTTTACCAGTACTGGAGTTTATCTTTAAAGGTACTATGTCCCTTTTGCAGCCAACCTCAAATGCTGTAGAACTTTGCAGGAATTATGAATATGTCATGTATGTCCTATCTGTGAAATTTAAACTTTAGCAGTGTCCTCATATTCAAATTATGCAAGGAAAACCGTTTACTTGCTAGACTTCACTGTCAGACACTATTGAGTGACTGACTGGCTTTTTTTTTTCTTTGGTAATAACATACATGAAAAGAGTTGTAAAGGGTACATGAGCATGTCTACATCAATAACCCACTTTTTGTGATGGCCAAGATTAAACTGATTGAATCTTTGTGCAGCATAAAGCGTATGAACATTCGGTACAATTGTCTGAAAATCAAGACTATTACTTTTGGGCTCTATAGCCCTAAAGTCGATTTGACAACTAATAGTCGTTATTTTCCCACTTGAAGACATTTTCAAGCCCCACCTTTTTTAGGGAAGTTCTAAATTAGTATTATCTTTCAAATGCAGTTGGAATTTAACTTTTTCATTTTTTTGGCCTGCAAATGGGACATAGTCCCTTTAAGTCTACGATTACTTCTATTACCACAAGTACAACTACTGCTACTGATTACTCCTATGGCTACCGCTACTGCTAGGTCACCATTTTACAGACTTGCATATACTAACTTCAACCCTGATGACGTTATTATCTTAACACCTTAGTTTAAAGCAGGAACAGTGTTGCTAAAATGCCTTTTTAAAGGTATAGACCAGTTTTGGAAACGCCCCCCCCCCCTCTCAAAAAATGTAATGGAAGCTTTTATTACCAATCATGTGAAAGAATATGTTTTGACTAATACGTGATGATACAAATTTTGCCGGGAAACCGCCTACTAATTGATATATTTGGTAAATTATTACAAAGTATGACTGGGCCAAATTTCTTATCATTTTAATGATTCCAGAACGTTTCTTTCACAATGTAATCGCATGACCACAACCGGTCTATACACCTGTACCTTAGAACTGTTTTTGTTTGTTTTTTATTTTTTAAACTTGTGATTCAGTTACTAGTCTGCTGGTTTTACTGTGAAAGGCAAGGAAAGGGGAGATGCAGAATGATGTACATTTTTGTAATCGTTGACAGGCTGATTGTCGTTTTGACATGCATCAGCTGTGTGGATTTTATCTTGTCATAGTTACACTGACTGCAATCTCATGACAAGAACTGGTCTATATCTTTAAAGGCCATGTTTGGTATCAGGGTTTTAACCCAATGACTACGGTATCTTTAGTTACATCTCCAAACCGCTGGACTGCGACACTTCTACATTGCAATACTAAACCATCTTCCTTCACATACAGCCCAGCTGACCCTCCATGCTCTGAAGCTGGCCGTTGAGTTCCTCAACAAGGGCGGTTGGTTCATCACCAAGGTCTTCCGCTCCAAGGATTACCAGCCCCTCCTCTGGGTCTTCCATCAGATGTTTAGGAAGGTCCATGTCACCAAGCCCCAGGCGTCCAGGAACGAGTCTGCTGAGATCTTCGTCGTTTGTCAGGGCTTCATATCGCCAGACAAGATAGGTGGGTTCTAGTCCTCTGCTAAAGAAATTTCAGGAAAAGATGTTTATATCATTGCCAATTTTAATAAGGAATGAGAGAATCCCTTATTAATTCAAATTAAGATCTTCGTTGTTTGTCAGGGCTTCATATCGCCAGACAAGACAGGTGGGTTCTAGTCCTCTGCTAAAGGAATTTCAGAAAAAGATGATATCTAGTTGCCAATTTTGATACGGCATAAGAGAATCCCTTATTAATTCAAAATGGATAAAGAATACCAACTTTCCTTTTGGTCCTGGGATCATTGGCTACCCATACATTGTTTTTCCATCCAATTTTTAGATGGATTATCTCTAATAAAGGAGCTCTCTCGTATCAGTAATTAGTGGCTGCAACATAGTTCTACAAATTAAATGAAGTCCATTTATTTCTGTGCTATTAATCATGAAATCATAGAATTGGTCTGTTCTTATATATTTCTGGGTTATATTAATCTTTTCTGACATCATTTCTTAAAAGCATGCCTACTCAAAATCCTCACAATAAGTTTGGAATGAGAGACATATCCTGGAAGAAGCTTCCACCCATGCTAATGTATACCCCAACATTTATAAATTATTTAAATTCCACCAACCCTTAACAGAACCCCACACTCATTCACAATTGCTCTCATTTCACTATCACTTCATCTGTCTATATCCAGGATGCACCCTCTGGGGTGACATGCTTTCGAGTAATAGCAATTTCAATTGCTTTTGTCACCCCTGACCAGCAGATTGTATCCTACGCTCTCTCCTGTCCACTTTCCTAAAGCTGTTTGCATGTATTATGAAATTTCTATGATTGTTACACTCATTTTATGTTTTCCGTTTGGTCAAATAAATAATAATAATAATATCCACTCACAGATCCAAAGTTCTTTGACCCCAAGTACATCTTCAAGGAGGTTGTAGGGGAGGAGACCACCAAGCAAAAAGCCACGATTCTGAGAGACCCCTCCAAGGTGAAGAAGGCCAAGGCTGAGGGGTACGCCGAGGGGGATTACACCCTCTACCATCCTGTCCAGGTGTCCAAGTACATGGCCAGTGAGGATGCGCTGGAGCTACTCAACAACTGCAGTGAGGTGAGAATGGGAACCCCTTAAGCCCCTCTGCACTACTTATAGCTACTTGCGTCCTCTATATAGCAAACGATGCCTAATCGGCGACCATTGGTCCCCCATGGTCCACTTTTTCTTCTGTTAATTAAGAGCTGATTTGATGAGATAACCACCTGTCAGTGACCATGCAGGGAGGTCTAACCCCTCCTGGCCAAACTAGTGCAGAGGGGCTTTACATTTTGTCATTTTGTGCCTGGTAGTTTGAAAGCCAAAGGGGGAATTTCGCAAGACTACTGTATATCTACACCACCATGCAAGCCGATACTTATAAGCAGCATCTAAGTGACATTTTATGTTCCACACACACAAAGATAAGCATGTCAGGATTCAATGAATTATTATTATTTTTCATTCATTTGTATCGGTTTTCATTTTCTCCCTGACAGCTTGTGTTTGACGATGACTCCATCGCCTCCCACCATCTGACGACCAAAGAGATCAAGATTTGTTGCCGTGACATCAAGGTTCTGGGTCGGCGAGAGGTCAGGGATCTTCTCAACTGGCACAAGAAGTACAACAAGGAGAAAGCACAACTAGAAGAGGAAACAGCTAATCAAGTGTAAGTTGTAGGCTAAAGAAAAAATTATGAAATACAGTCAAACCTGTCTATAGCGACCGCCCAAGGGAAACACAAAAAGTGGTCTTTGTAGACAGGTTTGTTTAGTACATGTTTCAATGAGAAACTTTTTTCAAGGGAAACAAAAAATGTGGTGTTTGTAGACAGGTGGTCACTAAAGCAGGTTTGACTGTACCTGGAAATATTGAAATGTATATGAAATGGTATGGTATGGGAACCAGGTTTCTACACATTGGAGCCACATACATTAAAAAAAAAAAAATCCAACCTGTATAAACAATCATATTTAATCTTTTACATACTTTGCAACAGGTATCAGATTCTTATCATACCTGCAGATAATATCTTGCATGAAATAGGCAAATTTCAATCACATGGTAGATTTCATGTCTCGTTGGAGATTCCTATGTCTTATGAGTTTGGAATGGCAATATAGCTGAACTATTTAGCACGACAAGTGCAGTGACAAGTTTGATCATTCTTAGCTGCTATACAGGACCATTGTGTATATTATTAAATAAAAATGTTTTTCATCTCGATCAAGTGTCAATGTAATGTAGAACTTGTTTGTTGGTGGGATTGATGTATACTGACCATAAAGTCTACTCCATGATTTGAATAGTAACGATTAATGAAGCCTTAATATTATTATCAAATAGATGGCTGCATGTTTCATAAGTACCTGGGGGTGTTTCACAAAGCCTTTTTTCAATGACAAAGGACAAAAATCAGTGACAAATCTGCTGATAACCAATCAGAAGCAAGGTTTTCAGTAGCTTATAACAAAAACTGTCATTTGTCACTCATGACAAGTTTTGTGAAACACCCTCCTGGTCTGAAGTATAAGTTGTGCATACACTCTTGTGTACCCTTTTTGGTTAAGCATGATGCTTTTCAAAAAAAGCGATCAGGAACAAATTTTCAAGAGAAAAAATATGTAGTGCTAACAATTGATTTTATACAAAATTACTATCTTTCAGGAAAGAGAAGTCCAAGCTTGAGGGCAAAGATGAAGACGGTGAAAGCGAGGAAGATGAGGATGATGTGGTTGCTAAGCAACTAGCTACCATCAAAGAGGAGGAGAGGTTAGCTGGTAAAAGGTAAGGGATTGTTCTCATTATGAGAGTTTTCAGTGCAAGAAATAACAATTTTTTTTTTTGGTGAAACGTTTGGGGGTTCATGAGATTTTTTTGTTATCAAGGAATGTACAAGGAGCTACAACAGGAAACGTGCTATGTATCCTTTTTTGTCCCCAGTCCTATGTCATCTCTACTATCCTTTGTGTTTTAGAACAATCAATGCATTTATTCTCTGTGAAGTTGTCTTTCCTGTTGAATATGGTTTGATTTTGGTATACTAGTAACACAAATAAATTTTGATAGACCTCTGCACAAAACATTGCAGGCACAGTTGTCAGCATGTTTTAGAAGCATTTTAGTCTTTCTTGTTGACAAATATATGACTACCCCCCCCCCCCCCCCTCTTCGATTGAATCCATGCTCAATCAAATTCACTGATTGTTTTTTTACTTTGTTCTTTTTTGATAGGAAAAAGAAAGATGCCCTTAAGAAGCGGAAGAAGTTACGAGAGCGACTTCACAAATCCAAAGAACTACAAAGTAACATGGGCGATGATACACAAGGGGAATCATTGTTTGGTCTGGTCAACATCAAAAATGCACAGGTAAGTAGCTAGGCAATCTATGAACCTGGGGGGCATTTCACAAAACGTGTCATCAGTGACAAGTGACAGTTTTTGTTATAAGCTACTGACATCCTTGCTTCTGATTGGTTATCAACAGATTCGTCACTAATTTTTGTCTTTTGTCATTGAAAAAGGGGCTTTGTGAAACGGGTCCCTGGTTTGATGGAATGAAATATCTCCTCATTGCTTGATTTCAACTGATTTTCTTTGTTGGATACAATTTGATGTAAAACAAATTTTCAGAACTCCTTCCAAGCGTTACCATAGACCTACTATTAAAAATGTTTGATTTCCTTTATTGCTTTGTGACGAATCATAAGTGTTGGAATTGAAAGTCGGTGTGATGAAGATTTCAAATTTTTCCAGCTAAGCATTATCATAGATAATAATAATAATAATAATAATACTCAATTTTTATATACATGTAGCGCTTATTACAATCACTAAGCGCTTCCAAACTTGGAGATTATTATCCCGGCTTTAGCTGTGCTTCCATTACGGCGCTCTAGCATTTCAAAGAATTAATTCCTGCCGGGTACCCATTTACATCACCTGGGTTGAGTGTGGCCAATGTAGATCAATGTCTTGCCAAAGGACATTAGTGCCGCGGACCTTGTGATGCACTATTCAAAATGTTTAATTTCTCTTCTGACTCTCTGCAGAAGAAATGATATGTGGGTAATCAGTGTCTAACCCATTTGACTCTCTTTGGATAGCAGCTTTAAAGGGGCATGTTCCCCGTATTCCAGAGGGCGCTCAAAATATGTACGCGCTGGCGGACGGCGCTATAGCTGCCTATTGACACCAACAGAATACAGCTCTTACGCAGATGGCATGTTCCGATAACTACACTGGCGGGAACGTGCCCCTTTAAACAATAATAATACAGATGATGAAGGTTATTCATTACATCTTTCATGTGACTCTCTTCGAATAGCAACTTCAAAAGGTGAACACAGATGATGCCGGCACCGTTGCCAATGACAACGATGGTCCTCCTGAAAAACAGAAGAAGCAGCTCCCATCCCTAAAGCCAGCCAAGACTCCTGCGGTCATCGACCAGGAGGAGGAACTGGAGGAAGGGGAGGAGGAGGAGGAGGATGATGATGATGATGGTAGCCTGATTGATAGTGATTTAGAAGAGGACGAGGCCAACGCTCTTAGAGCTGAGATCGACAGAGTCAGTGGAAGATATGATTCAGAATCAGACAAGTGAGTTCAGACGACTTAAGTTCATAGTATCTTCTTTGGGTGGTATTCTCGAAAGCAGACTAACTTTAGTCCATTGTGTAATTCACCAACTAAGTATGGAATGCCAAGTGTCCATATGAATATATTTTTGAATAATTTGATATGTCCCTAAATTACCATGATGACATAATTATATCATAGTTATATGGTTTATCAATTATGCTATTACATTTTATTTTAATTTAGTGACAGATTGATTATTCAAAAACAAATTCATATGGACATTTGGCATTCCATACTTAGTCTGTGGATTAAACCATAGACTAAAGTTAGTCTGCTTTCGAGAATACCACCTTTGAGTTTATCCAAGTAAGGTATTTGTTGATATACAGTTATGATTTTGCTGAACCCATTAATCTATCATTAAGTGTGGTTAAATGGGTGTGTGAGATTGCAGAATTTAAATCAGTGAGACAATAGGCATTTGAATTAAGGGAGAATCCTAACCTTGTCAGTTTGCTAGAAATTAGTCACTACTAAATATTTTTGACTGTAGACTGTCTTATAGAAAATTGATATCAATCGCAACTTATTTGCGATTGATATCAATTGCAACTATGTACATTATAGATAGGAGACTACAAACTTGTGATTGATTGGACGACTTGCGATTGATTTGGATCAATCGTAACTCTTTATAAGACGGGGGCCCTGGTTAGAATCTTCAGCGTGTAATGACTTCCCCCTCTTTTTCATTGCCACTAGGACTCTTATTTTCCCTCTAGTAGATACAAAAATTTCATTTAATTCTCAAAGGCAACATTAATGGAGACAAGGGTTTTCTCAAGCAGCTATGGAAACAATAATCAGAGCTGCCAACTAGTACGGATTTTCCGTAATTGGTACGGAAATCAACGGCAATTACGGAAGCACGGAAACCCCTTCAAAAATTACGGATTCCCTGATTTCTGGACATGCCTATGTATTAACACATGCATTATGCATATGCGAGTGTTTTAGCGGTAATGATCGCGATACTTCCCGGGCCTCGGCCCGGTGGTTAACTTTTGAGCGCACGGAAATATCATCCACGCCTCAGCCACGACCACTGCACACACATGTAGCTACCATCGAAAGATATGCACACCGCCCTGCCCATATGGGCTGCGTGTGCTAGCTTTCAGCATGCAATATATATCGGGGAGACGGCAAACTCGTCACAAGTCCATTTAGCCACCTTGCAAACCAACCCGTACGGTACCATGTCCATGTGTAGTTTATAGCAGGTCTACAATTTTTTTCCCCTTAGTGATGGGTTCTCATTGTTATGATAATAAAAGTACGACTCGACTAATGATGAAGATGATGATGATGATGATGATGATGATGATGATGATAATTGTCATAAGGAAAATGAATGTACTTCCTTGATTAAACTTGAATTTATATTCAACAATTATTGTCATTGTGTTTTATTTCACATTATTTGTTGGATCATGTTTATTCATTTCATTTTATTCATATACCCCTTTTCATTGTTGATAACAAAATATGATACACGAATAAATTTTGAATGAGCTGACACACAAAGTTTTGACCGATACGAAAGCGCATGCATGGTGGATGTGCTGAAACAAGTGGCACGATATTTATCTAGGCGAAATATGCATTGGCCGAGTGTTACACTACCGCATGTGCAGCAGGTCGGCCGTGGTCGCGTCAAACTTCGAGTAACCGACGGAGAAAAATGACTTCAACTTCATCGAAGAAGCGTTCTAAAAAACTGCAAACCTTCTCAGGTGAAATGGTAATGCATTGTTCCGTCGAAAAGGAATACAAACAGTGCCTGTTGTACACATTGCTCATCCGATTTTGGAATTGGTCATGGCGGTTCGAACGATATCCAGGTACATCTGAAGTCGGTGAAGCACCGGACTGCAGCGGCGGAGGCAAGTTCCAATTCCCGCAGTCATGACATCGCCCAGTTTTTCGTCGCAAAGGACAATTCTGTCACGAACGCCGAAGTGAAGTTTACTCAATTTTTGATAGAGCACAACTTCGCGTTTTCAGCAGCAGACCACCTTTCACAACTTGTCAAAAATGCCTTCCCTGACAGTAAAATTGCAATTGTAAAAACCTGAAGTGAATATACACACGTAAGTGAAACAGGGTAATGATACATCAATCCTCTAATAACCATTGTTTTTTTTATAGCACTTAAAATGATGTTATAAACAGAATGTTCTTGTTTTTACTTCAAGTCCTGTCATTCAGAGTGATGCTATTACCATGGTACTAGTATTTGTGTTGTGGTGTTGTGTGCAGCTCTACAATGTACGTGCAAATGCAGTCTTCTTGATGTTGAAAGCGCCGCGCTTGAAATTACTGATTTCCATCCAAAATTACTGATTTTTAGCTTTCAGATTACTGATTTTGGTTTCAGAGGTTGGCAGCTCTGAATAATACTAAAGAACAAGTTTATTTGTTTGTTTGAGTGATTTTATTTCTGCTTTCAAATAACAAATACAAGATTATACACTTTTACATAGGTATTACATAAATAGCAAATAATGTTTAATAATATTATACAATAACAAATACAAAGCATACGAAAAAGTATAACGGATATTTGTATATAATTTTCATTGAACTAAAGAGATGAATTTTAGAACGCAGGAGACTGCCATCGTGAGCGGTTAGGCTGGAAATGGATGGCGGGCTCGTGAAAAAAATAATGAAAAAGATTTAGCAACAAAGCTCTCTTGGTAAAACCTAGTGATCAAGTGGGTGCAGTGCAATTGTAGTTGCGGGTACAGCAGACTACAGTTGAGTAAAAGGAATAATAATAACATTGAGCATTTCCTTATTCTTACCAGGGGTTCAGATGACATGTACTCTGATGATGACGATGAAACGGGGAATCCCCTGATGGTAGATCTGGAGAAGATGGACCCCGAGGAGAGTGCCAAGAGGAGGACTAAGCTCTGGTTCAAGAAGGGAGTCTTCAATGGTCTGGACGAGGAAGACGATGAAGACGTAGAGATCCAGCAAGCATCAAAGAGTTACAAGCAGCAAGGAGGGGCTGTCCTAGGTAGGTACTGTCATCCCACATCTAGGATCCGTTTCACAAAGCCTTTTTGGCAATAAAAAATGACAAAATCAGTGACAAATCTGCTGATAACCAATCAGAAGCAAGGATTTCAGTAGCTTATAACAAAGACTGTCATTCGTCACTGATGACAAGTTTTGTGAAACCGGTCCCTGCTCCTTGAGTGTTTGGTGTGGCGATATTTGATCCAGGCTGTATTTTTTCAAAGCTTTTCTCTCAACAATCATATTTCATCAGTCATTACAGTGCATTGGAGTAATAAGTGAACTCTTAGTGGGAATATAACATATATATATATTGGTTGTGATTGGGTGTAAGGTTAGGTTTAGAATTAGGGCTAGGGATTGTGTTGGGATCAAGGTTTGTAGTTTAGGAATTTGAGAAGTGTTATAATTGACTGGAGCTATTGCTGATATAGCACAGGCTATAGAATCCGAAGAACTATTCAGAGAAATGAGACAGTGTATGATTTGGGTTTCCACAACCCAGGTCAACATGTAGATGTACTATTTCACTTTTTGGAGGTTATGGTTCGAAGGGTACACCAGGTATTTCTTTCAAACGAATACAAAACCTCATCTTTTGTTGCTACAACAACGGAAAAAAAACCTTTAACAAAACAAGGATGAAGCAAATAAAAAATGACCATACTTGTCGCACAAGTTCATCACACACTCAGGAATCATATCACAAATGGAAAATGTCCAGAAGAGAAAAAATAACTGATAGATTCTTCTCATTAAGCATGTAAATTATTGGTGTAGTTCTACTTCGTCCTCCTTCTTGTGCCCCAGTTCACTCAAATGACAGGCAGTTGTTAAATGTAACATCGTGATTCTCTTTTTGTCACGGCCAATATTTTGTGTGTACATATTGGTCAGAGTTATATGGAAACTTTGCTACATACTAGCCACATTTTATGATGATGCAAACTTAACCATCTTTCGGCTGATTGTCTGTGATGAGCTCTTTTGTCTCTGAAAATGTGGACTGATGTTCAATAATTAGTTTCGTCATATACTCTGGACATTGTACAATTTGTTAGTGTTCTTCATGTATTCATTGCATTACCTGTTCCTTTATCATCTCCAGAGAAGAAAGAAGGCAGTAAAGCCATGGAGGCCGAACCGAAGAGCAAACGCAGCGTGAGCTTCAAATCGACCGTCACCAGTCTCGGCGACAGCGGAGATGAAGAGGAGGACGACCTATCGTCGGAGAGTGATGACGAGGGTGAAACAAGGACTAAACAAAATGGTCTCAAGAAGAAGGGACCAGGGTCTGGACCCACAGGAGGTGTTGGGTCCAGGTCCAGGCCTGATGAGTATGATAGCGACAGCGACAGCTCCGATAGTGACTATGAAGAAGAAAGTATGATGAGGCGGGAGATGGATGGAGGAGAGATGAATGAAAAGACGAATGGAGTGAATGAAGGGAAGAGCAAGAAGAGGAAAATGGAGGACAGTGAAGACAAGAAAGAAGCAGCACCTGCCAAAAAATCAGGTAATTTTTGCTATGCGGTGGTGATTTTTTTTTGCTTGTACATTTCCTAATATAGTTTTTTATAATTTGAAAATAAATAAATGCATAATTTTGACACAAAAGATAACTACAGCAGTAATTTTCATGCTGTCTTGCTTATATGACAAGGATCCTCCATTTAGAAGCAAGAATTTCACTAGCTTTTAAAAAAAATGTCATTTGTCACTGATGACAAGTTTTGTGAAACACCCCCCTGGTCCTATTGTGATGTTTATGTTGTCTATCATTTATTTTGATGGTTCTTCTATGATTGTAAACACAACGATATAGTTTTTTCTTTTTCATTTTCATATTAATATATATTACATATTTTACAATGTGTGACCAAAACAAATTCCATGTATTCTTGTGAATTTGGATGAATAAAAAGAATTTAATTTAATTTAATTGAATACCTATTTCTTTTCTCTCACTTGCAGCAAAAATCAAACAGCATTTGGACCCTGAGGGACTGGCTCTGGGTACCATGATGGCTACATCTAAGAAAGCAACCAGACAGATCATTGAACATGCTTACCATAGGTATGCCTGCCATACATCCTCTTCATCAATGTCATCAATCTTGTAAAATGCATCACCTCAGGCCTTAAAAAAAAATATGTTGTATTGCCTTTTAGGTGCCAAAACATGGGTCGGTCGGTCTGAAATATATTTATTTTTTACTTTTACTTTTTTTTAAACTCCCTCTTTGGGCTGACATTTTTCAGTTTTGAATGCCTTAATACATTTTTTTCTAAAAAACTGTAATTTTTTATTATTTTTTTTTAAAGCAGACCGTAGATTTCAAGATTTTGCGGTCGGTCGCAAAGGGAAATACAACATCTTTTTTTTTTTAGGCCTCATAGTTCTACAGAATTTAGAGAGAGAAGTAAACGGTGCAATGAGAACTAATGTTCAGGAGAAAAAATGAAAAGAGATGGTCTTTCTGTAGAGGTGGTAGACAAAAATGGGTTTTACTATACTTTAATGAAGTAAGGCAATCTGTTTAGAATGACATAGACAAGAGACATAGTATAGATTAATTCTGAACATCTGATTGAATGGTGACGAACATCGGAATGTCAGCTACTAACAAATTTCTTTTGCTATATGGGCCAATTTTCTTATCATTTTGATGACTCCAGCACCTTGGAGTACACACCAATACTTATATGCTACATGATCAACTTTTTCTGATCGATTCTGCACCGTTTCTTTCACAATGCAATCGCATGACCAGAACTCAACTTTATATGTAATTAATCATTAAATTCCAAATATTGGTCTATTGTGAGACTTTTGAACAAGATAGGGAAATACACAAACTACACTACTAGTTGGTGAGGTTGTTAAGACTTCAAGGACAAGTCTCAATGAAAACGATTGTATTCTTTAATGTCAGGTATTCGTATGGAGACCAGGACAGGATCCCTGATTGGCTGAGATCGGATGAGACTAGGCACTGCAGGAGAAACACGCCCGTTACCAAGGTGAGATAATGAGCAGAACAATCAACCCCCTCTACTGCCTACAAGCTGGCCAGTAACTACCCCTGACCCGCCCCCTTCTAGACAATGACCACCCATGGAAACGTATCTCTTTGCGAGGATAATCTCAGAAATCATAGTTATTCTGGGGGGTGTTTCACAAAGATCCTAAGTTGAACTTAAAAGTTATGGAAAGCTGTTTGCATCCATGAAAATATTTTGTAATTTTTTTTTTTTAAGGCATAAATATTGATTTAAATCATTCATATTTTCTATTATCAAGGAGATTTCATGTTCTTGATGTGGAATTTATCCAGCGTCTAAAATACTTAAATTTTCGCTTTCGAATATATTTCATTTTAAAGCAACAATGTACAAATGGCTCTCCATAATGTTTAAGTCTAACTGAGAGTTAAGTTTGACTTAGGATCTTTGTGAAACACCCTCCAGGATGATTGCCACCTAGTACCATCCTTGTATTTCAAAAGGTCATAGTTGTGACTGCCTGAATGATACTTGATCTTGGGGCTAGTTGGTCTGTGGTACCACATGTAGGTGGAAAAGTCTTGAAGGTTTTTAAAGCCGGGGTAATAATAAGTGCGCCTTGGAATAGAATTTCTAGATAGATGGAGCTATAGAATTGCCTATTAATATTATTATTTGATAGTTGTAGGGTACTGTACCAAGTCCAATGCCCATCCCACCAAAACATTATCTCCATTACGATTACTATCCTTACCTCGTTACAGGAGCTTGTTGCAGAGTACCGTGCGAGGCTGCGGGAGGTCAATGCCCGTCCCATCAAGAAGGTCGCCGAGGCCAAGGCGAGGAAGAAGAAGAAGCAAATCGTCAAGCTGGAGAAGCTGCGGAAGAAGGCAGAGGTGATCAGTGACCTGGTGGACACCTCGGAGACGGAGAAGATGAGTCAAATGAAGAAGTGAGTCTCATCTTCTGTTTGTTTAAATCCGTCTGCATTAGTTTGACTAGGGGGGATTAGGCCTCCCTGCAATGTCACTGACTGGTGGTTATCTCATCAAATCAGCTCTCAGTTAAAGAGAAGGTTGAGTTCTGGGAAGAGGTGAAAAATAATTTGTGAGCGTTATCATTCTTATTATGCAAGTGTGGAAGAACATCAGATAAGACATGTTCCCTGAAAAGCATGGCTCTTCAAATGCCTTTATATTCTAAATATGTCATGTAACTCGTAAAACTCGGGGGATAGGTTTTTTACGCCACATGTTCGTGTAGTCCCATATACATCTTTCTGTGTACAGTGTTTGTAACTTTACCAAGACTTGGCCAAATTTCTTATCATTTTGATGATTCCAGAACCTTGCAATACACACAAATTCTTATATGCTAGATGATCAACCTTTTCTGGTCGATTTCACACTGTTTCTTTCACAATGCAATCGCATGACCAGAACTCAACTTCATCTTTAACATAAGAAAAAGGGCATCATAGGGGACCAACAGGCATCGATTAGGCATTGTGTGCTATATAGAGGGCGCAAGTAGTTATAAGTGGTGCAGTAGGGCTTTAAGATAGATGGATAATTTTGAAGATTATTTCACATTACTGTAACTGCATTACATACATTTTATTTTCTGTATAAAATGGAATGGATTCATATTGAGTTGTCAATTATTTATATAATTATTAAAAAGTAGAGAAGGGGGATAAATATCATTGGTATGATATTATTAATGAAATAATGTTATATACCCAGGAATGTAGTATTTTACTTCCTTTATCTACAATATTATATATTTTGTTTTCTAATCTCTAAATTATTTGATAAATTACACTTTATTATTTGTACCAGACATTGTTTTGCACGGAACATTCAGTTTCAGAGATGTTCTTTTGCCCTTATGTGATTATTTGTAACTCTCTCTCTCTCCCTCTCTCTCTCTCTCTCTCTCTCTCTCTACTTCCCTGTGCAGTCTATACAAGAAGATGAAGATAGGGCAAACCAAGAAGAAGGACGTCAAGTACGTAGTCACCAGGAAGCACCAGTCCACCAAGAGGGTCAGTCGACCCAGTGGGGTCAAAGGTCCTTTCAAGGTCGTCGACCCCAGGATGAAGAAAGACATGAGGGGCCAGAAGAGAGCAGAAGCAAGAAAGAAGAGGGACAAGAAGAAGCGTTGATCTCTCTCTCTCGCTCTCTCTCTCTCTCTCTCTCTCACACTCTCGTACGTCGTGAATGAAGGAACTTGATATTATAGAGGACAGCGTAATAGAAAACCGAAGCTGTGACATCATAAAACTCTATTTTTTGAATTTCTCAATTCGTTATGTTATGAACCAGAGCAAAATAACATTGAGTTCCTATAGGAAATTTATTTATTCCGATGGTCTTATCTCAGCCAATACTCAACATATTCAATTGATTTTCGACATTTGGATATTATTTTCGATGCTCTTTTGGAAAATGAAGTAAAAAATGAGAAAATCTAAAAATAGTTTTTTGATGACGTCACACTTCACCACTCTATTGCTTTTGTGTAGAGTACTGTGATGTCATGGATTACAATGGAATAATCTGGCATATACATGTACATTGATGAAACAGCATGGCCCCTTCAATGGCTATTTCACTTTTATCTGTAAAATGGCCCCAAACATTTAAATTATGTCAGGAATAGTCATATTTGTTTATCTGCACAAGATGAACAGCTGTAGAAATTGTGTAAATTATTCAAAGATCAATATTTTGTGCATTTGATGAAATGTATTGTGCACAGGAAAGAAAGATATTGATGGTTTTTATCATTCCGTATTGTGCCCATAGCCCGCTTCTTCCAATGATTTAAAGATTTTAAGATATCCAGTAGCAAGACTCTTCCTCAACCGCGTACTTGACCTAACAAATTATAAGTGACCCCAAGATTATAACAACTATTCCAATATTAGACATCTCTTGTCATGACACCAAACATTTCAATAATGTAAGGAATATTCAGGTATGCTTAGCAGCACAAGATGAACAACTGTAGAAAAGTTTAATTTCATCCAAAGGTCAATATTTTGTCAATTTTATTGCACAATGTTGTGTGCATTTGAGTTGAACCTACTCCCAAGACTTTTATAAAGGAAGAAAAAAAAGCCTATTCCCTACTTTGTATTCTTTTGGGGTCTCTGGCTATTTTGGAGATATTTGTCGTTCAGCAGACATGTGAACTATAATACTATCACAATCATGTCTATTGGATGGACGTCTATATGTTGGTATTATGAAGACATCAAAATAGTGAAATATTTTAGAAATAAATGATTTTATGTAACAAGTACATTTTCTTTGGTTTGTCATCTTTTCATTTCTTTTCTGTGGTAAGATAAGAGATCATATTTATAGGGAAGAGGTAACTTTGCCTCGGATCCAAAACAAGATCAATGATTAAGCTCATAATGCAATCATAATAATAAAATTTGTGTCCCATGAGTTTTACATGCCAATCGCCTATTTGATTATCAAGATATTTATTTCTTTCAATAGAAATCCCCTTTGCCAGAAAGGACGTTTATAAATACTCCTTTTTTCCCCCAAGAACTGGACGAGCGTGGAATGCCCTCGACCAGCAGTCTGTAATAGCCCCATCTGTTGAGAACTTTAGAAACACACTTTAGCATGTACCACCTGCTATACAAGTTAGCGACATGTGGAATACCGCCCTGCTGACTTCAATTTCAGAAGATTCAGAAGATTGGAATTCAGAATTTCGAAACCATATTCTAGTAGAGTTTTGAATGGTAGAATAGGTTGACAAGTACTTGAAGTTAGTTCATACTAAACATGTATTTCTGTGTGTCTACCTGTCTCCATCAGTCCTTCTTCTTTCTTTTCCCAGTATCCATAATGGCTAGACACATAGTAGATGTACTATGCACTACGTTGTCTTCATCATCATCATTCATTACCATCACTACCACCATCAATCATCATCATTCATTACCATCACTACCACCATCAATCATCATCATTCATTACCATCACTACCACCATCAATCATCATCATTCATTACCATCACTACCACCATCAATCATCATCATTCATTACCATCACTACCACCATCAATCATCATCATTCATTACCATCACTACCACCATCAATCATCATCATTCATTACCATCACTACCACCATCAATCATCATCATTCATTACCATCACTACCACCATCAATCATCATCATTCATTACCATCACTACCACCATCAATCATCATCATTCATTACCATCACTACCACCATCAATCATCATCATTCATTACCATCACTACCACCATCAATCATCATCATTCATTGGTGATAACCAACATCACTATCATCATTGTCACAATTACTATCACGATCACTATCATCATCGTCACTACCACCACCATCATCTTTTATTTATATAAATTAATTTAAATCGGCACAAAAGCCATGTGATAGGTACAGTTCAAAGAAGAGTGACAATTTTCATGCCATGGACAGACTAACCCCTACTCACAATACTTCTTACATAATTTATTTAATTAACCAAGATAGGACAAAGTAATTGTCTTTTCAACTTCATATTTATTCAAAAACATCCTCAATATATCATTATTTACAATAAAATCTCCCAGATTGTCAATAGCACCAATATTGAGATCAATAATAAATGGACATGTTCATCTAAAAAATTGTAAGCATTTTGGGTGTTTAAAATCATTTTAATTTAAATGATTTACTCTGATATGCAGCCATTTATTAAAATGGTTGTGTAAATTATTTTAATTTCCCAATGAAAAATGGAAATAATGTATATGAAGATTCACTTCATTAAATTTATAAATATGATGTTCTTGTTCATATTCAGTAAGTTAATTCATCTTTCCACATGGATTTGAATATAAAATCCTCCCACGCTTGGGTCTTTGTGATTTTTCAAATACTAAATTATACAAAGGTCTGGCATGATAATGTGATATATCATTATCCCTTTCCCCCACCCCTAAAAAAAACACACACAAAAAGGTATAAGATTGCTTTTAAATCAAATTGCCAATCTGTTACTCTGTTTTCATCGTAGCTCAATGAAAGTTTCCAATGGTTCAATTCCTCATAAATATTAAATGGAGGAATAGGTCATGCACTAATAATGATAAATATAACAAGAATGATAGAATTCTTATATCACCGAATACCATGATTCATACCAACAAGTGGCACATGTAGTTGTTAACCACTTCGCAGTTGAACTAAAAGGCAAGAATTATGTATTCTTACATCGTAAACTTGATTAAAGTTTGGAAGAACTTGCAATAGGACTTGATAGGAACATTTAAACGTGACATTGTACATGTAATTACGGAGGCTCCGAGTAGTCGTACGAGTAAAAAAAAAAAAAATCATTACAATGGGATTGCAGGCAGGTTTAATAGTGTACAAAGGGCTATATGATGCATCTTGGGTACAGGCAGGAAGGGAGAAATGTCTAATAAACAGAACAAAGGATTTGCCAAAAATATAATTTTTTCAGACGGAGCTTTTATATGAAGATGTCTCCATATTTGAATGTTGATACATACTAATTATATTGGCATTTGGTATTGCTCTTACAAAAGTAACTATGTATAACTCATGGTGACACTCCTACTATTACTACCCCAGTTAAATCCTAGGCTTGGCCAAGATTTTGTGTATACAGTAGGAAATACACGGCTCCTGTTCTTAAATTTTCTGCATTTACATATAAATATATATGAGTTGTTTTAGATTTAGAAGTTGAAACTTCCAATGGGGAAATCAAATTTGAGGTGGTAAAGAAATTCTCACAAATCATTTAACACAATACAAGATACACACATCTACCAATCCTTAGAAAATTGCACTGATTCCATCTACAATATATTACAAAATATCTATCAATATAAATTACTGAATACTTTTCTTGATTTGTCATATACATGTATTTCATTTCTCAAAATATATACAAAACAAATTAGACATTTACCCAATTTCCAACAACTAGAAAATGTAATGGAAAAATAGAAACATTGCATACAAAAATGTACATGCATGAGCTTGCCATGTAAATGACTGCTACCACAATAAAAACTTCCGTCACTGGTTTTGACAGGTCTTTTGATGAACTATACATCTTATGTACATACAGCTAACATAAACGATAGACACAAATTTGCAGATAAAAAATGGCAACACATAAGCATCAGACATATCAGAATTATTATCTTATCACAATCATTAACACTGCAGACATGTAATTAACGTAATCAAATACTTCAATTGGATGTGCCTCATCAGATGAGCCCCAAAGTAGACAATTGTAATACTCCAGTATTCTATATAAAAACAAAATAATTTTGAACAGATTGCAGCGAGTGTTAGAAAAGAAGGATTAAAAATTTGAAATATTTCTCATTGCCAGTCTTACATCGCAAAGATCTAAAGGTGAACAATACCTTATTTCAATTTTTGATGTCTAACCTTTCGGAGCCTTGTCGTTGAAGATTTCACATTTTTCATATAAAAAACAAAACAAGGCCTTTATTCCTCTTTCCGAAATCTGGTAGAAGTGAGATTGTTTAGCGAATGGAGAGCTTCACATTACAACACCCCTTCAATTGGTGGAACATAGCCAATTCTATCCCTCTAGACATATATATGCATGCAAATAGATTGCACGGATCGATACTTTCATCCACACTCAGCAATTAAATGCATGTTCAAGATACATCGTGTAATAAAATCATCCCGCAGGAGAAAAAGCACTTTGATTATAAAATCCCAGAGAAGACTGCTCAATATCCAAGAGAAAATGTTTCACTATCTCATAAAAGAATACGGTACAGGCACGATAGCTCAGTTGGTGGCAGTGGTCTTGTAATTCGGCGACCCGGGTTCGAAACACGCTAGTGCCCTTTGGTAAGGCATCAATCCTCTTTCTCAGAGAGGACCTAAAGCCGCCGGTCCTCTGGTTGCTTACTAACAAGCATTTATGCTTTCTTAGCAGGCAGGTAAAAAATGACCACCACTACACAGATTGAATAAATAGCCCGTGAGGTTGCAAACAAAATACAAGAGAAAATAACTAATTGACAGCACAGAGGGGATGGAGTTCAACACATTGTGCAATGGAAGGTGGTTCAGAGAAAGTTCATTGGAAATATATCCCATAATATACAATCTGTGACACTGGGAAGGATAGAAAAATCTGTTTTATCAAAGCAAATATTATTTTACAACATATGGATTGATGAGTCAATTAGTTACAAATGCTTTATACATGATTGTTATGATGCACCAAAGTTATGTACAAGTATAAGGCCCTTAATATGTTATTGATGAGATTGTAAAAAGACATGAAATATCTGCTGATCCGACACATGCCCTGGCGACATTTGCTCTGGGATTTAATTTGTCAAAGATGTATGTTTAGGGTTCAGGTTTCGATTATGCCTCAGTCACACCTTTGCGTATTCGGCTTGCGTATTGCTGTGTATTTATGGCAAGCCATTTTAACATTTATTCCTATTTCTTGATATCAAGAATTACCATTGCCTTACAACAGAAATTCATTTATTGATATCAAGAAATAGGAATAAATGTTTAAACGGCTTGCCATAAATACGCAAGCCAAATACGTGAAGGAGTGACTGAGGCATTAGGCTTCATGTAAGGCTAAGGCTTAGGCTTAGGTTAGGTCTAGGTTAGGGATTATATTCAATCCAATGTAGAGGCTAAGAAATTTGTTTGCATTTAAAAAGGAAGTATCCATCTATCAAGGTGTTAGGTGAACGTGGTATCCTGAGGATGGTAATCCGCCTGAATCGTATTCACGTTGTCATCGGTTGTTAGGGTGATGGTGTGTTCTCCTAGTGCCTCTCGCTCTTTTTCATGACGTCTGGTGTTTCCATCCCCTCCTCCTTCTTCTCCTTCTCCTTCATCTTCTCCTGTGTCGTGTTTGTCAGCCGAGTTCATCTCAACCACCACATTGAGCTGATTCAGGCTAAATTGGGGTTTCTTTGCAACGTAGTCATCATCTACATGATTAATTTGAAGAAAATGAAGTTAGAATCATAGTAGAGATAGGGCAGTTGTTTTAATATCTTCTCTTTCTGCTACCAAATTATCATCGAGGAAAAAATAGTAACTATTGCCAGTCCCTCCAAAGATACTTTCCACTATTCTTACAAACTAAATACTTGGTATATTTGTTTTATATTCCTTCTTTATGATCCGAGTATTCATAGAAGCGATATAATACACTCTATACAAATGATCTCAACATAAATCTTGAGATGAGTACCTTTAAAATAAGGATATATTGGAGCTTTTCATCTTGCACTCAGAGTTGAACACAAAAAATGAATGCTAATCAAGGTTAGCGTCTAGCTCTCTATGAACCAGCTAATAAAACCTTGCTATCTTTATCAGTTGCTTGTTCCCCTTTATTTCACATTTATATTGTTTGATTTTGGTGTTTTTATCATTCTGGAATTTTAAAAAGGCAAGTTAAAACAGTATATCTTTTTTTCAAAGCTATTCTTCACCAAAACCTTAATACAAACCAAACACATCTCATTGGGCGCCTTTACATGTTTGAAACAGATAAATGGCGCCATTCAAGTGATGTGGATCATCATCATCATCATCATCATCATCATCATCATCATCATCATCATCATCATCATCATCATCATCACCATCATCATCATCATCATCATCATCTCACCTATTTGAATGCCATGCTGATTGAGTGTATTTCTCAAGACTTCTATCTCTTTCTCCTGTGCTGCACAGTATCTTCTGAACTTTTCCATCTCATGCTCCACCTCGGCTCTTAAATGTTTCTGTTGCTCTATCTTCTTCTTAGCTTGCGTCTCTACCGATAGGATTACTCCTGCAGGGGAGGGGGAGGGGGTAAAGTGGTAACCAGCCATTAATTCATCAAATGGTAACATTTTAAAATAATAATAATGATAAAACAGCACTTTCTCCTTTTTCCGAAAGAGCATAACAAATAATCTCCAAATGTCGAAAACCAATTGAATTGGCTGAGATATGACCATCTGAATAAATAGATTTCCTATAGGACCTCAGTGTTATTTTGCTCTGGTTCATAACATTACGACATTTGGTCACAAAAATGTTTGTACATGGTTTATACAAACCGAGAATGACAGTTTATGTTCTGAGATTGAAGATTGTTGCTCACCACTATCGAATACTATGTTACAGAGTGCAAAGCAACTCTTTAATTTTGTTTTAATGAATACATAGGAAAACAGACCAAGACATTGATCTACATTTGCCACCCTCCACCCAGGTGAAGTAAATGGGAACCTGGTAGGAATTTATTCCTTGAAATGCAGAGCGCGTGGTAGCTTCACTGCTAAAGCCAAGATAATTTGCTGCATTATTGTAGAGTGCTTAACAGAGACTTGTGTTAGGCGCTATATAAGCAAATGTTATTATCATTATTATTATTCATTTTGACAGGATTTTTTACCATTGACTACCCTGACTATCCTCCACAGTCGAAGCAGGACTAGAAGCTGTAACACTGCAAACTGCTCCTCATAGATGAGAGATACAACGTCCAGTACAAACGATATCACAATGATGATTCCATCAAATACCTGTTCCAAAGAATCGAACAAAATAAGAAGAATAAACAGAGCTTTGAATCTTTAAACCTATGGTATAAGTGGTCACTGTATACATTGGCCATACAGGTATTAAAGGCATCGTTTAACCATGTTAAATCTGAGATGCATGGCCCTACGTGCTATCAGTGTTTGTGATATGGTGAAGCCCTAAAAGACTGACCTAAAGGCTTATAATTACGTTTGCAGTATTATCTAAGTCCAGGATTTTGTTTCAGAATCTGAGGCAATATGTTACTGAGTCACTTTAGTGAATGGGGATTAATTTACTTGTTTCCTACAATTTTTTTTTTTTTTTTTTTTTGGGGGGGGGGGGGGGGGGGGATAACTCCTCTAAGAATGAGCAGTGCATTACCCAACATCTTTAAGCAAGACATGGGTATCATTCAAATAGTATATATACTGAAATGCTCTTGAAAGCATCTATCATCATATGAGGACTGAAAATAGCTTTGATATGTCACATTTTCAAGAAACATGAAATGGGTCAAATTGATTTTTCACATACCGTTACATCTAAAACTTCAATACTTGGTAATAAAGGGTATGAATAATTTAGTTTTTAACTTTTATACTCAATAAGAATAGGTGATGGTAAAAACTGGTAACATTTTCAATTATGGTAAACTTGTCATACATACTAATATACTCTCAATTGGAATAGCTTGTGGTAAAATTGTCACATATATGTTCTCTTTATAAGAATTTGTTTTGGTAAACTAATAATATTAATAATATTGGATATTTATATATATAGCGCACATATCCACCATGCATGGTGCTCAAAGCGCTCCTACTATTACCCCGGCTCTGCTGGGCAGCCGATTTCGGCGCTCACAGTATCCAAGGAATTCCTTCCTATCAGTACCTTGGGTGGAGAGTGGCAAAGGTAGATTAATATCTTGCCAAAGGACATAGTGCCATGGCGGGACTTGAACTGCAAACCTTGTGATCCACAGTCCGACGATTTATCCACTGTAGACCACAACAACTCTAAAAGAGCTCTTTACCTCTAGCTTACTCCTGAAGAACTCCATCCGGAAAACGGGTATCTTGATGAGAAGCTCTATCATGAAGATAGAGAGGATACCAATACTGATATAGTGAAGGACGTTAGCTGCAGTGACCTCCTTTTCTTCTTTGTCCGTCTCTGTTGCATTGCACTGCCCTTCCTCCTGCTACTCAAAACAAAATAAAATTCAACAAAAAAAAAGCAAAATAAATTTAATCAAACAAATAAACACTACTCAGCAATGATAATAACTTACAAAGAGCATTTATTCATCAATAAGCCTGTTTGGAGGTAATTTTGTGCATATAAAGCTGTACATCATTTGACATTTGTACAACACTGCAAACCAATTGAGATGAATGATGAATACGTGATCATGAAGTTATGTAATCCATCATTATTAATTTTTTGCACCAACAGTATATTCTATAATAAACAGGTGAAATTTTTCTTTTCAATGTTGGCAATTTTTTAACTGATTACATTGTACATGTGACAAATCTATTGCAGGTAAACTTAAATCCCTTTTTACCTTCTCCTTCATTTTCCTTCTATTTCAAATTTGTCCTCGTTAAGTGTCCCTTTCCTTTTCTTTTAGTCTGAGCATGTGGGTATGAAATACCTTGATTGATACTCATACAAAAAAATGTTGAAATCCTAGTGTCATATTAAATCACTCCTATATTCAGAGGTGATAGTGAGCACTAAAAAAATTAGGTTTTTGTTTTCCCCTCAACCACGCCCCCCTTGAGTAAAAAAAAAGAAGAAGAGGATTCGCCGGAGAAAAATGGCATCTACATGTAACAACATCCCCCCCCCCCCCCCCCCCATTTCGAGTAAGAAAATTTGGGAAAAAATAAGGCAAAATAGGGAAGAATACAGAAAATAAGGGGGAAATCTAGAAAATCAGGATAACATAATGGAAGAAAAAAAATCTCGTAAAAAAAAAAAAAAAAAAAAAATCAGCATTTTTTTTCTTCTTTTTTTTAAATCGGGAAGAAAAAGAAAAAAAATTGGGGAAAAAAATAATAATCGGGAGACCGATTTAAATCTGGTTTTTATCAGGCCTGTATATTCAACCCAAACTTTTATCAATCAATGATTCTTGCAACAGCTAGAGATTAACTAATTATAACTGCAATAATCGTGGGTTGATTACAAATTTGAACCAGCAAAACATGGTTAGACTTTCAGTTTACAACCAAAGGCTCAGATCATTTCACCTGCCTGCATATTTATCCTCCATAGAGAAATAATTTACTTGGCGTGTTAGCAATCTTTTATCCCCACAAGTATCGTATCATCTGTTTAGTGTCACAAGGACGTTAACTTCATGTTAAAGCATATGAGTTAATGCTCTTCTGGCTCCAAACAAACGGCATGATTCCATTGTTACATGCTTATTTCCAACAAGAGAAACCAAACACTTTTCCATTATACAATCTTGCTATCAAACTCCAAACTGCAGCTTGGCTATTAAACCACAAACTTAATACATAGTAATAAAAGGTGTTTGTATGATGCCATACGGTATGTGATATCTAGTGGGCAATTTTTTTTTTTTTGGCCCCATTGAACGTTATCTAAGTGGGGAGGGGGTGCTTAAGTATATAGTACAGCATAAATTGCTGTGGGGTCCAGGGGCAAAGACCTTGCAAAGCTCAAGGGGCAGAGCCCCCACAAGCGCAGGGGTTTGAGGCATTTAATTACGATCAGATGAGCATTCAGGGGCCCGTCTTAGGGACCCTGGTGGGGGTCCACCTAAAGTGTACTCACTTTAATCTATGTGCTAAATAACAGGGATTCTGAAACATTTTCCTAGATGGTCCAGATATCAAAAGAAAGGTGCCAGGTGCATTCGCCCACCCCCCCCCCCCCTCCCCCACCCCCTCTCCCCCTGCTCTTTAAGGGTTTTAAATACTTAATATGCTTTATACAGAAATCCACCACTTATTAGGTATGTAGCCAGGTTCCCATCCATTTACGCACTTGCTAAATGGCAACCAACTTGTGAAAGAGGAGAAACGTATCCAGATGTAGATGTCCCTGATAGAAACCTGCTATAATCATTGCATGCAGTAAAACTATCTGCACCCCAAATAATAAATAGTAAATTAATGGTGGTTATGCTATAATGGCCATCTGTCTACAATAGTCCCATATGACTCATATCCCCTATAGAAAGACTAAATGCATTGTAGAACCTGTATACAAAGGTTATTAAAACCATATCCTTCCAGTGACCACTATAGACAGGTTTGACTGTATTACATTGATAAGATGAACACATACAGGCCTACAATGTTCAGTGACCTTTTAAAGACGGGTTTTACTACCGGGTTATTACAAGGGTTTACAGCTGTGCAGACAAATATGATTAAATGATCCATCCACCACCGCAGTGTTTTGTTATTAGCATTGTGCCGGCATCAATCACAGCAAAATATCATACTTACAGGATGAGCACAGCCTGCTTCAGGCACATGATTGTTTGCCTGAAATATGTTTAATTGATAGTCAGATATTATGACGATTCATAAACACCTTTGCTTAATGTACTTACTGGTATGCTTACAAAATGGGGTAAACATGTACATGCACACATTCCTTGGCAGTTACATGTATTTCTCCCTGTAGACTATTTAGTGCACATTTTTCCACAAATGTGAATGAAGGATATATAGTCTTAATGATAATCTAAACTGTTGAAAGTATCAACAAGTACAATCTGCTAGTGCTAGGATATTCCACCAACAGAACTGTCGGTTAACCAAGGAGTTACTTGGCAAGCTTTGCAGAGTTTTCCTTTTCTATGGGAAGAAAATGGGTTTTTAAAGGAATATACCGAACCTATAATACCAAACTTGATTGTTTTTTTTGTTGTTGGGGGGGGGGGTTAATTCCTACTAGAAATGATATTGGTTTTTAAATATCCATTTTGTGAGCACCTTGGACATCCTTCGAAATAAATATTCATGGAGATGCATTATAAAAGGTGTAAATCATTATTTATGCATCATTGTTGCATTTGTGGCATATTCTAAAATGTAGGCCCTGCACTGTCAACATTTTTACAACATGGCACATTGACGGATTAGAAAGTGTCCATTTTCAGTAGCTTAGTAATTAAAAGCTAAACAGTTGGGTTCAATAAGGCAATAGGTAGCCAACTTCTTAATGAAAACTGAAAATAAACTTGTAAACTATATCCCAATGCACTTGCACTTTGAGAGAGGAAATGGACATTTTCTTTCGGGGGGGGGGGGGGGGGGGGGGGGAGAGATTTATTATTTTGGCCTGTAAGGCCTGCATGGGTATACATGTAGAACGAAAATCAATTCAAACCATACAGTGGCTTATAGAATATAGACTAGTCTTGATGCTAATTAAATTCCAGTAGACAATAGTCCGTAATATGATACCATATCTACTTTCATATACCTGGCATTTCTAAATTTTCTTGTCATGTCACAGAAATGTAATATCTTTAATAAAAACAATATATTCATCACGTCTGGCATTTTGCCAAGTACTATCAATTTCATATTTTGATCAAATTTTTTAAAATACTGGTACATGAATTTATACATTCTTCTTTGTACCTTAACCTAGTATGCACTATGAACATAATGGACAAAGAAAGCGGACAAAATATAGTTTCTCATTCTACCCTCAACAATTGCTGTGGTAGACAAAGGAACATCCCTTCACTGCTATTATGTAAAAATGTGTAGAACAGGTGAATATGCATGTGACACCTGTTCTACACATTTTTACATACATGTAATAGCAGTAAAGGGATGTTCCTTTGTCGACCACAGCAATTGTTGAGGGTAGAATGAGGAACTGTATATTTTGTCCGCTTTCTTTGTCCGTCATATTCATAGTGATGAATGATAGGTATATATTCAATTCAATTCAATTCAATTTATTTTGCCAAGCAATAAAAAACATACAGGGTAAAACAAAAGCAGTATACAAAGTTTCACACAATTACAATTACTAACATAGATAAACACAGAAATACACAGAATCAATTTACACACATGAATAATACAAAGGAAATTGCTAATGCTGGTAGCAGCCAGAAAGGAGGTGGTCCTTGTATGCGGCTGACCAATTAATAAAATATAAAAATATATAGACTCTGTAATTCTACATGTTCATGTACAGAGTGTACGAAAGAGTATGAAAACTTCCATTATGCTTGAAAAATTCTTTTCAAATTGTATAGCACAGGATATAAATACGTACGCTCAACACTTCAAAGTCAATGACAAGCTCGACGATGACCAGAATGCAGTCGATGACGACCAGGACCAAGATTGCGATGTGGAATTTCTGCGTCTCCATGATCTCGTGGAGCTTCTCTCGCAGCGAGAGCGGCTCCGTCCTGGCCGGGTGCCCATCATGGGAGTCGCTGACCACCGAGTCGCTACTGTCGTCTTTGACAATCACCCTCTGCTGATCATTGCCTTCGGAGGGCTTTGTCGTGTCGCTCAGACGACGGAAACCAAACATCTCGGCATCTGCAGGGGCTGTCTCACCTGAAAAGATTGACAAAGAAAATGCACAAATAAAATTATGAAAACAAAAAAAGGCATACTTGTTGACCTGACATTTGCTCCTATAACACTTGCTCCAAGATTTAATGCTTCTACTATAGCTGGGTTAGGGTTAGGTTTCAATTAGGTGTAGGGTCAACATTAGGATTAAGGTTAGACTTAGAGCTAAGATTAGGTATGTATATAGACTTTTTGGTAGGGTTGAACTTGGAATGTGGTAATACTAGTAATCATTTGTAAAACCAGACTTACTGTGTTTTTATGTTCCAGTGCAGGGCCCCCGTTTCATAAAAACTTGTTATCAATAACAAGTTACAATAACTGTTATAAGCTACTGAAACTGTTGCATTCGATTGGTTGACAGAAAGATTGTTATAAAAAATGTAACACTTGTTATAGATAACAAATTTTATGTAATGGGAGCCAAACGTGTACATGAAGAATTTTACACATGTGTTCAAGCCCTTACATGTACATTGTATGTGCTCACAAGTGTGTGTGGTGACAACTCTACCAGCACATTAACATTAAAGAATAAATCAAATTTTCACAAGAATATAAACTACATATGCACATAGTCATAAAATATCCTGAATCTAAATACACCAATTGTTCATATACACAATGTAGCTGGAGCAGATCGATATAAGTCTTAAAAAGATAATGCCTATTTTTTCTGATGATGCCAAAAAACTCATTTACTTTATCACAGCAGAGTTAATGCTCTTCTAGGTCTGACCGACAAATTAAAAAAAAGATACACATTTTCAAAAGTACCGTTTAAAAAAATCTACTCCACATAATTAAACTCATTTAAGCACTTAAAAAAAAAATTAACAACTTACTCCATTCTTCCTCCCAGCTAGGCTTCACCCATCCCACATGATACTATCATTTGTTTTTATCAAGGGTGTATTCTAATGAATGGTAAGTCATACAGGTGCATTTATGAAATCATATGATTTGACCTAGTGGCCTGTACTTCAAAATGAACACATAATAATTGAATATTGCACATGTATACAATTTTCGAAAAACCTGAGGGGACCAAACGATGATGAAATGGCAAGGAAATGAACAATTATACTTTACTTGTGCTGTAATCTAATATCTTCCAGAATAGTTTGACCAAGTCATTATACACTGTACAGAGAAGGAGTTATTCCTTGGTATAGGTTCAATAATATATAATTCTCAGTGAACTCTTTGAGTATATATTTACATTATCAGAGTCCAAAGGCAATTTCGATTGGGGACAAAGTGGGAGGGTACCTGTTAAACGATCGATACGCCTCCTAATATTTGCACTTTGACAGGGTTCTAAGGTAGCACATCTAAACAAACTTTGAACCCTTGTAGCATTACCGGTACACAATTCAAAGGAGCTGATCGATTCCTGGTAGACCCCAGGAGGCAAAGTATTGTTCTTTTAAAGTTCACATTCGAGTCAAACTAAAAGGGATCCTCAATTCCAGGGGACATTAACTTCAAAGGCATGGTGTAAAAAGGCTACTTTATCATGGTTACCCCCCATCCCGGAAAGAAAAAAAATGCATTTGATTGAGGCAATCTGCATAGGAAATTCAATTTCCCACACTATTTCTCGGTTTCTCCAATCTCCCTTTTTGATTTTGCCTTTCAAGATTTCCTGGAGGCGCATTGCAAGCCAAGATTTCTGTCATTTTTCAGAAGGACAATTAAATAGCATACACTGAATGCGTATTATAAGATTCTGTATATGTTTGCTGTTGTGAATGATTGCATATTAGTAAGTCCAGGATTATAACAAGCTTATACAGTAATTAGCAATGCACCATTTTATTAAATTTCAGTTCTGTGACCTTCAATTTTGTAAAGAAGTAGAACCGACTTATAATGAACTATACAACCGTCTAATAATGCACTTCACAGGCTTAGGTGATCTGAAATGAACAGAGCATCCTTCATGTTTACTTTCAACTAAACTTATCACTTTTCAATCCACAATAAAAGATATAATATCAGATTGGTAGAATTTATTTAAGGCAGTCCAATTTTCAAACATTCAATTTCATCATAGTCCATCACAGTCAAATATCTTTCAGTATGGAAAGAGAGAACATTGTTTTTACCTCAATTGAATTCTCTGAGTGCACAGCACTTAAAAAAAGATCCACTCTTCAACAATTCACCTGTGAGAAGATTCCAGGGACTAGAGAATAAATTCCAAACTTGTTAAAACAGAAAGAACACAAACTGATCCTCTCCTCGATTTGCCAAGAATACCATAAGGCCTGTTTAAACTCAGCGAGTGGCACGCTACTGTTTTTCTACTGGTACATACTACACGTTTAATGAACACTAAATGACTTGTTTTAGGCTCTCTTCATACACTAGCTTACATGTACTTTGATGACCTCACACTATATCGCTTCACGGTGCGTGTTGCATGTCACTCCCACGGTAGAAGCTAGTGCAAGTTGAGCCCCTAACTAATTACATAGTATGACTAAGTACAGCTCACCAGAATGAGGTTCCCTGGGACCGAAACTTTACTAGTCATGTGACTATACCTGACACCGTGTAGTCGATCACTTAGCAAATCTCGTTATCAGTTGACAAACACAGAGGCTAGGCACACTGGGTAAGGCGGACTCACAGAGTCACAATATATTGTAAACAGAAGCCAAAAGAAGATGCATGGAACTGATACATGTTGCGGTTGTTCCTTACTTAGAATTGTAGCTCAAGCAATAAACTTGATATTTTGAATTTGCTTGCAGTTTGGGAAAATGCAAAATATGTGCTTCAATCTTGCCAAAAAGTCAATGAAATAAAACTTTACAAAATACAAGAGGAACTGTATCAATCAACACTCAAAGTACAAAAATTATCATCAGTTTCAATATTATCAGCATTAATACATGTAATACTAATACATGTAGCAAAAATAGGCAACATTGTTATTGAGCAAGTGATAATAATTAATAAATACAGGTAAGTTCATATTAATTTTCACTGATTGTTGTAATGATTACAGCTAGGATCATAATTGTTCAACGGCTTATAAGCTTCAATTTGATATATGATTTATCCATTTCATTTTCCAATTCAGAGTTGGTCTTTAACTGTCTGTAGTACTGTCTAACAGCGGTTTCTTGACTTTCAGTTATTTTTACAAAGTATACTGGATATAGACAGGATGTTTGTACTCAACAGAAGCATCAATTGGAGAATGAGTATGCTATTTGACTTTGAAATATATTCCTACATGTACAAACAAACAACTATACATTTATCAATGGCTAATAGTACCAGGAAATACAAACAGTATAAAATGGGTTTACATGATTTTTGCTTCACTATTCCCTGTTCTTAACATATTATGTAGAATTAAGGGTGCCAATTCATTTACGATCAAAGTTAGAATCCTTTTCTACATTTTAAAGAAATTGTGAAATGCCACGTAACAGACTATTCAACAAATATATTACAATGGTGCAAAAAAATGGCAAGAGCCAGACATGAAGAAAAAGAGATTAACCACATAGAAAATAGGAGGAAATGTGGTTTGATATCTGCTTTTACAAAATAGCTGGGTGAGAGAAGAATAAGAAAGATTAACAGGAGAGAGTGAGTGAGTGAGTGAGAATGAGAAAGAAAGAGAGAGAGAGAGAGAGAGAGAGAGAGAGGGAGAAACTGAGAGACAGGGGAGCAGAAATTAAAACATAGATTCTTCCAAATAAATCTAAATGGCAAAATGGTTTGTAGCCTAGTTACTCTACAAAATCAGGATTACCTCAATCTTACCCAAAGCTCCTTAAAAGAAGGGGGATAGAGAGAGAGAGAGAGAGAGGGGGGGGGGGGGGGCTATGTGACCCCTAAATAATCTTGAACAGTTACTTCCTATGCTTTGAAAATTGTCCTGTAAAACTTTTTGAGAACGAAGCATAACACAAAAACAATATTTATTTACCTTCCAATTTGGTTTTATGCTTATCAGTTTTAGCTCCTGAATGAGTTTCACATCCATCGTTTTTATCCTCGGAAGTTTCACAAACTCCTCCTTGCTCTGCAAATTGGCCATCACCACTCCTTTCTCCCACTTTGTTGTTTCCATGGGAACTACTACCCCCATCTCCCTGTTCCAACAAACCCTGAGAAACTTCCTCAGTCTGCTTTAAATCAGGCTTCATGGTTCCAGAGTCTACAGCACACCTACCTTCACCTTCACCCTCGGCCATTACCGCTTTACACTGCTAACTTCAATACAAAGTGAACCCTTTGAGAGAAGTTAATGGATTCTTTTTTCCCTCTCAAATACCGATCCGACCGTGACACACGATACTAAAAATTTATTATCCTGCTTTCACTGTCAGACAATACCATGTACACACAATATGATCACACAAAGTTATCTATTTTGTTGGCCGTCAATTATATTGCAGTCAAGTTCCACAACAATAAGTAATTGAGAACAAACACTCAGGCAGGACAGAACAAGCTACAGACCCCAAAGCTTGAATGAAAGAGCTGAAGATTGAAGAGGGAAAATAACATACATGTAGAACACGGAATATGAGGAAATGAACTTTTAATTTGTATGCGCTGTGTGCAAAAAAAAAGAGGAAATAAATAGGATACACAATTACTGAGAAATACACCGAGGGCTCTTTGAAGGAACAACATACCTGACCATTGAGGTTTTTTTTGGGGGGGGGGGGGATTATGATCATCAATATCAACAACAAAAAGTTAAATTTGTTCCAGGGTATGAAATAACTTTTAACAAAAAGAGACTTAGACCTCTGACTAACTTCCTTTTTTAATGTGATTTTGAACTGACAAAAACCTAAACATAGTGATGTATTTTAATTTCAGTCGAAAATGAACCAAAGTGTTTCAGACATCACCAATCATGTGTACGTAATGTTTTCTTTTAATGATATGCCTAGGTAATAATGCAGGCATCTTTTCAAGACCAAAAAAAAAAGTCACGCAATCAGTAAAGTAAAACAAAGACACTTGAAGAATTAAAAGAAAAGAAAAGAAAATCCTCCTTTGAGTCTGTTTATAATCACCTGGCCTGAAACTTCCCAATATGGTATGGGGTGTTTTATTGGTTAAATAAAATTATTGCAAAACTCAGGATTATTACTGGGAAAAAAGGTGTTAGGCTAGTGATGAAGTCGTGCTCCATTATCGAATTAAGCCTCCCCATAGAAAAAGATGCAAAACAGACCTTCTTTAAGGAGATACTTAATTACTTTTTATTATTGATGCATTTATTGTAAAAAAAATTGTACAATCTGAATAGAATAATATTAAAATAATTCAATTAGATTGTGTAAATAGTTTTAATGTACATGTACGTAATGTTTCTATGTTTGAGTCATATTTCATAACAATAGAAACCTTAGTGCAAACAAAAACTACTTCTTTAAGATTCAATGTTTACTCTTAGTGATTGATTTATTGTCATAAGGAATGGTGTAAAGAATGGGACCAAACATGATTTGATCTTCCTCTTTGCTTGCTCCATTTACCAAAGGTCATGCTGAAATACAAAGTAACTAGAATTGTTGGCAATAAATGAATAAATGAATGAATAAAAATACATGTGTCTCTTTTTCACCAGTTGAAAGAGTAAAAACAATTGAAAAACTCTCTCTGAAGCTGGTTAGTCAAGTTTTGTTCTATTCTGAAAGTATGGCATTTACAAATTCCATTTTTCTTGCAGAGAAAAAGGTAGAGCCGGAAAACAGTTCATATATCCTGGGGCCACAATCTAAATTACATTAATTTATTTCCTTCTTTTTGTATCTTCTCTCCAATTTGCCATACAGTTAATTTACATGAAATGGCTCTTTGAAAGTGAGCTATCCTATGGCTAAATTATTCCTGTATATTGTGAACTATTCCTTACTTGGCCTTCCAAGTCATAATCTACCGCTAACTAACACTGATATGATAAATATCTACTGGTAGCCTATGTGTAAGCAGGTAGGTAATATACTGTATATCCCTCAAATTTCAATGCAACTAAAAACTATAACAAAATGCAAGTCCAAGTTAGTGAGCCTGAGGAGTTGAAAATCAAGTTTGCTTTGGCAAGTTTTAATATTCTGAATTGCATTAATTTGAATTGAGACAAATCTTTCCCGTTACTTTGGTAAATATTTCACACCTTAAATTTCTTTAATGCAAAAGTATGATTTAAAAAAAAGGATTATTCCCTCTCTATCATAGCTTTTATCTTCTTATTGCTCTGATTGCTGATGAAATATTTCAATTGTTTTAGTTGCTCGAGCAGAATGTAGTTAAAGCATGCCCATTAGCATCTCCTGAAGAAAAATAAATCCAAAGCTAGAAAGTACAATGAAGTTTTCCCAAAGAAATACACTTAAAAAAACTGCCCATTGCGAACATAACCTGGAACTTCAGAAACAGCTAGGTTTCCAACTACATTAGGTTAGAATGTGGCCTGTGGGTCACTTCCAACCACATGTATTTGATCAAAATGAGAAATTATTAAATAAAAAAAAATGAGCAGTTTAAATGTTTCATTATTTTGATCATTTAACCATGAAGTATATATTCAATGGCCATAATTTACCATGGCAATGTTAAGCTCAGTATTAACTGAAATCTACTTTAGTCAGGAGGAGGAGGAGGAGTAGGAGTAGGAGGAGGAGGAGGAGGAGGAGGAGGAGGAGGAGAGAGAGGAGAGGGAGGAGGAGGAGGGGGAGAGGGAGGAGGAAGAGGAGGGGGGAGGGAGGAGGAGGGGAGAGGGATCAGGGAGGAGGGGGAGGGAGGAGGAAGAGAAGATGGAGAGGGAGGATGAGGAGGAGGAGGGGGAGAGGGAGGAGGGAGAGGTGGAGGAGAGGAGGAGAGGGGGTGTGGAGGAGAGGGGGATGAGGAGGAGAGGGGGATGAGGAGGAGAGGGGGATGAGGAGGAGAGGGGGATGAGGAGGAGAGGGGGTGTGGAGGAGAGGGGGATGAGGAGGAGAGGGGGATGAGGAGGAGAGGGGGATGAGGAGGAGAGGGGGATGAGGAGGGGAAGAGGGAGGAGGGAGAGGTGGAGGAGAGGAGGAGAGGGGGATGAGGAGGAGAGGGGGATGAGGAGGAGAGGGGGATGAGGAGGAGAGGTGGAGGAGAGGAGGAGAGGGGGTGTGGAGGAGAGGGGGATGAGGAGGAGAGGGGGATGAGGAGGAGAGGGGGATGAGGAGGAGAGGGGGTGTGGAGGAGAGGGGGATGAGGAGGAGAGGGGGATGAGGAGGAGAGGGGATGAGGAGGAGAGGGGGATGAGGAGGAGAGGGGGATGAGGAGGAGAGGGGGATGAAAAGGAGAGGGGGTGTGGAGGAGAGGGGGATGAGGAGGAGAGGGGGATGAGGAGGAGAGGGGGATGAGGAGGAGAGGGGGATGAGGAGGGGAAGAGAGGAGGAGGGAGAGGTGGAGGAGAGGAGGAGAGGGGGATGAGGAGGAGAGGGGGATGAGGAGGAGAGGGGGATGAGGAGGAGAGGTGGGAGGAGAGGAGGAGAGGGGTGTGGAGGAGAGGGGGATGAGGAGGAGAGGGGATGAGGAGGAGAGGGGGATGAGGAGGAGAGGGGATGAGGAGGGGAAGAGGGAGGAGGAAGAGAAGGTGGAGGAGAGGGGGTGAGGCCGGAGGAGGAGGAGAGGAAGAGGAGGAGGAGGAGGGGAGGAAGAGGGAGGAGGAGGAGGAGGAGGAGAGGGAGGAGGAAGAGAAGGTGGATGAGGAGAGGGAGGATGAGGAGGAAGAGGAGGGGGAAAATAGGTGTTAGTGTTACAATAGAAAAGACTGCTCAGTGCAAACAACTCACGTAAATATTTGAGATTGAGTCAGCTCAGCTCTCTTTGGCTTGGTAAATTCCGGGGGGGGGGGGAGGTGGCAGCTAGATGACAAGAAAAGGCCAAGCTTGATCAGCGTATTGAAAATGATGATCTTGCTTGCGTTTGCTGTTGATGGCCGGTCCCCACGCCGAGACGGTCGGCAGCCTACGGTTTGGTTCAGCCGACACACGGGCACGCATGGGGGGCTCGTTCCTAGAAACCAACGACAAGACAGTCATAACTTTATCCGCCAACTACGGAGATGTCTCTGATCTTCCTAAACCGTTTCACGAAGAGCTTACTAGCTAGTATCTCGTGAGATCGATATTATCGGCGAGAAGAGGAGCCGAGAATTAGCCTTAGTCGCAATACCACCAGATTATTAAAATTAATATTAGGGAAAATGCAATTATTTAAATGAATTAGTAATAAAAAAGATTAAAAATGATACCAAGAAATAAGAGATCCAATATACTTCCAAATTTGTGTAGATTAAACAATTGAAGTACTTGTAAAATATAATTGTGAGTTTTTTATACATGACCAGTGAATCAGTTTTGTTGTTGAGATGCGCACCCCCCGAATATTTTCATTTGATAGTTTATAAAAATACACCTTATATTATTCTTTGAAAAAATACGATGTAATGAAATTTGTGTTCAATGTTTTTGGCGTCAGCACAATATAAAAATTACAAAACTTCAATATTTCAAACGTTAAAACATATGTTTAAACCATTCACTTTGCATAATTGAAAATAAAATTCATCTCGAAATTAATATGGGTCTGAAAACTAAAGAATACACTTCAAACTATGGCTTGCCTGCCGTGGCAAAATACATATCCCTTCGATGAGTTTACAATGTGGAAATAAAGGCGTATAATCAGTTTATTTAAGTGGGAAAATCCTTAAATACAAACATGGCATATTTCATGAGATTATCAAATACAAAAAACGATAATTCACTGTTTAAGTGAATGTGTAGAAAAATCATAGTTGGAGGATTTATTGTCCTTTTTTGCCAGCCATAGTCTACCCAATAAATGACATGTGATGGCGTGCCCATCGACTAAATAGTTATGACAGAGATACGACGGTGTCAGAGGTGTCATAACTCCTTAGTCAGGATGTTGTCGTTGATCTTGGCAAAGAGGGCTTGGTGAAACACGTAGCGGACAAGTTGTTCACTAACGCTGATTTAGTCAAGAAGTTAGACTTATGACGGTTTGTAGGAACGGGCCCCTGGTCTCCAGCTTGCTCCTTGCAAGGCAAGGATGCCTGCAGCTTGACCCTCCACCAGCATCGGCGTTGTCGTCAGTGAAAACGCGATAAAACGAGATGGGTTGGGCTTATATTTCTTTGTAAAGAATGAAAAGATGCAATCACTTAACACTTTGACCGGCAGATAATAATGGAGAAGTTTGCAGTAGAATCTCTAGAATATTTAAGGGATTAAGGAGGTGAGAAACAATGCCTTCGATCAAAGGAGTTCTTACTTTTGTTGTTATCGTGTTTCGTACTAGTCTTAATTTGAGCCGTTAACTCTGAAGTGCGTTCGCAATCACAGCTTTCTGATTTTTTTTTGTGGGGGTGCCGCGGGACCGGAAGGGGGTATGGGGATGCAGTGGCGGATCCAGGAGGGGGTACCGCCCCCCCCCCCCTCCTTGAGAAAAAAAAACATGTCAAAACATGTGATTTTTACCTTT